TACAGTGTCGGCAATTTGGCGAGAAATTTGCTTTTAAATTCTGGTCTCTTTTTTGACTCACAAGGCGTACAAGTGCCTGGTATGAGAAATGGACTTTATGTCTTTACGCGCACGCGAATAATAGGAGGAAGAGAAGAAGTCAGAGTCGGATGAATGGGTCGTCTTGGTGCATGAGCCTCGGTTCGGTCAGAAGTCGTCATTTGATTTCCGCGAGGCTCAGTAAGCCTTGCACACATCACCCACCACTCAACGCTCGCGACAACGCCCTTGACTCTCAACTACCTAGGTACACAAGTTGCATCTCGGTCGTGTTTTTCATCAGCGGCGCCCTGTGCAGCCCATAGGACTTAGCTCGCCTATCGGCAACACCCCAGTATGACCGTCCCCTCCAAAGCCGATTCTCCCTAAAGTACTGTGTAGAAATAGTTCCTGCCATATATATAGTGTTCGTCGGTCAATCCGTGAGTTCCGCACACGCTCTTGACTGATGCATTTGAGAGTCAAAGGTGACAATTGACTCAGTCTCGACGCATCCAGGGTAGAAAATATTGTTTGAATTGCTTTCTAACCCATTGCCGACATCTTTTGGCCGTGGTCTATTGCCGACACCATAGAGAAGAGTCTAAGACAAGAGTCGACGGAGGCGACTATTGATGGGAAAAGAATGGACTGGGAGCTGGTGTCGCTTGTCAAGTCGACGCCTGCTACCCTCGGACCACCTTTGTTTTGAGGTCGTTGGGGTGCCGTTGCTAAGAAGGGCGCGGCCTCCATAACCCATAAACCGTGTTTGGAATCGACAACCATCCTCTGAACTGAAATGAGGCAATTTGAGGATTTTTTCCAGGTTGGAAAATATGTCGAGTCGTTTATTACGACCTGGAGAACTGATTTGTGGACCGGCTCGGTGGTTTGCACGTGGTTCGGGCCAAGCTCGGCGGCACAGTATTGGTACTTGTGTAGTCAACCCCAATAAGGCAGAGAGGTAGCGGGTCCTGCAAGCAAGCGTGAGTATCTTTAGACACAAAAGGGAAGAAAAGCTCTCTCGCTTACCTGTTGACCATCCGTCAAAGCACAGGGTCAATATTTGGGGTAACGGACCCATGCAAACTTCATGACGAGCAGTTGACCTGTCGCAGCTTGTAAGACCGCACAAAGTAGAAGACTTGTGGCGGTGAGCTTCATATTGATCAAACTCCGAGTAGTGGATCAGTAACAAGATTGATACTGAGAGCTACTACTTCAGGAGAGATATACATGGCCACAGCTGCCTGTGAAAGGTATGTATTATCCCCAGATCTGCAAAGACCCAACTGCGAGTGGTCATCAGTTCGGTGGCTGTGCTGGGTGATGAATCATAGCGGGAACTGTATCCGCGCTTTGTTGGCCATTGGGATCCGCGACCCAAGTCGAGAATATGAGGATGCTTACGGCAAATTAATGATCGGTGTACCTCCCGCAGCCTTTCACCTCCTGGGGTATGGCGTATCGCATGGAGCAACTTGTCGATTGATCGACGTCATGGTGACGAATGTGATATCCAGCAAGATTGATGAGGTTGGGTAAGAGCCTTGTAACATTGGAGGAGGCTCCGTCTCAAGTGATTCGGCTCAGAGAATGCGAAGTCCACAGCATTCAATCGATGCTGGCTGCACCACTGCATGCCTTCTCCACCAGAGCTTCATCAGTTCTTCCACAAATCTTTTGTCCGACGCGCTCCAGCTGTCCAGTCCCATTTGCATCATGTCTTCATGATTGATCTCAACATCGGCCTTCTTGTTCTGCTCAGCTAACAAAGGTCGACTGTCATCCTCAGCCACCGGATTATTGGAGCTTGCATCGTCTTCGTCATCATTGTCGTGATATCTCTCCTCGCTGCGGTCGTTGCCGTCTGCCCTTGCAATAGCAGCAGCGACAGTTTGAAAAATAGCCGCGGTCATGCGGTGGAAATATGCCACGACCGCCACTTCGCGAGTCTGCTCCTCCTCTGATCCATCAAGTAACAGTGACGAATCCCGTTCTATTTCGTGTTCTTCTCCGTCGGCGAATCCTTCACGCCGATCTCCGGCCGATGCCCACCAGACGAAAGAAGTGTATGCCATTCGAGACCAAGACGCAGGCTCCACTACTAGTTTGTTCGTCGAATACGAGGATGAAAGTGAAGAAATGGAGGAGGTTTCGTCGTCGATGGCGGTCGTTTCACTAGGCTCCAATCCTCGCAGACCACGCATGAGGTGCGCAAACCGACGAGAGTCTCGTTGGGTTGCTCTGATGGCGACTTTGGGAAAAGCCTTCGTTAACTCTGGACTTGAAACAACAATGCGAGGGAACACTTTTGCTGAGGGATCTTGTGAGCGCGGCTTAGGCATGAGTACAAGGACGTCATAGAGGTCGGGTTTCGAGGCAAGCACATCATCCGTTGTGCAGGCAATGAAACCGTGGTTGGTTCCGGCAACTCCAGCCTGCTCCAGCTGGGGGATGTCCGTAACCCCAACAGTGAAGAGCGGACGCAGCCGAACATTGTGAGTATCGGCCTCGTGGGTCAGAGGCAGATGTGACTTTGCAACAGACGAGAGGATAGAGAGATTATACACTGCAAAACACGGTCAGTATCTGACCAAGTTTATCAGGTAGTTTTATCTTACCAAGATTGCAACAGAATTCCACGGGAGTCTCCGTGATGATCAAAATCCGTTTGCGAAGCAAGGCTGCTCGATACAATGGAAATATGAGAGGCCCAAAAAGCTTGATAGAATCTATCAGTGTGAGCGCAGGATGGTGAGGCGTCAAGGCATGATGCGGAGAAATAAAGGTTGTCGCGGTAGACATTGTCCTGAACTTAAGGTAGCCATTGGGGCGATGACTTAAGTCATCTGCCGAAGATTCAAGGGGCGTCTGTGAGGAGCGCTCCCCCGGCTGCAACTTGGACTTCTCCCAGTATTGTTCTAGGGTGGTAACACTTTCCGGGTCGTCGATTTGTGCCCTAGTCATGTCAACAATTGCAGCCGAGAATATTATATCGTTTGCGCCTACCTTGCGAGCTCCATCAAAGACTCTGCATGGCGCCAAATCCGTCCCATGCGACCGTGTTCCAAAGGGACCAGTACGCCAACAGCCACCATTCGCGCGGCGCGTTCGACCTGCTCGTCTGCCCTGTTGACGAAGGCACTAAGACCAGCATAATCGTCGGAGACAAAGTATCTTCCCCCATCATTTTAGCAGCTTTGGCTAGCTCTTGAATATATCACTCACACCAAATCCTCTTCGACGTTGTGTAAACCGGAAGGCAGAGACTTGAACTCGACAACTCCCTCGACGGGAACTATAGACCTGAGTCAATTTGAGAGCCAGATGTGAAAGGAATTGCTGAGGCTTACCGTCATCAAGCGATCGATGCCATCCCAAGGTGTATCTGAAGAGTTGTCAGCATGCGCAAAGGGCCTGAAGTCGCACAGGCATACCCTTTGCGGTGGTCGAAGTTGACCAAGAAGATGGCGAGAATGGGCGGAATTGGCGGTTCGTTGCTCGTGTCAATCGTTAAGAAGTTCGAGGCCTGGTCCGCCATTCATGAAGACGCTGTTGCATAACGACAATATAGACTGTCGTACTTCTGGAAAACAGGGGTGTGGAGAGCGATTCAATCAAAGCTGCAGATCGTCAATTGACTGCGCAGGTGGTGAGCCAAATCAAATGTCAAATGACGCCCATGTGGATGGTTCAAATGACAGGGCCGCAACATGCAGCACTCGTACCCAGTACTCGTCGGAAAGATCAACACTCTTTCGTCAGAACCGTGTCGTTATGAAACTTGCCAATTCTTGAGAAAGGAAGAGTTCTTGTGCGCTTGTGACTGCACCTTCACATTTCGACTCTCCCGTTGTATGAGCCTCACCAATATCGGTATGCTTGGCAGCGGACATACCTTAAAATATCTCTCGAGCCTTGAAACACAGTCGTCAAGTTGCCAAGTGAACACCACGAAGACCCTATCATCTAACTCTAGCCATGATATCCACCACCATATATACAGGCATATCATTGACAGCATCAAGCAAGTTTGATGACCTGAGGGTAGTCTTAACGCTTCAAATTCCCGTCATGCCCTACGCGTCTTGCGCCAGCTTAAAGGTCAAATAGAGGAAACGATTCGAGGCTTTATCAAGAGGGAGCGCGTGCCGTGCCGCCGTTTGCACGGAGTCTCAAGTTCCATGTCCATCTGCATCGAGCACCGGCAGTACAGAATACTTGGTAAAGGTAGTGTCAAGCGTCAGACCGATGGCGTGGAATGTGGGATGCATGCCATGCGAGACTTCGGAGACACCCGTCGAGTCATCTCTGACAACAACCCCTACTGCCCGTCCTCCACGTCTCAACAGTACGACGGAATGCTGTCGTGCCAGTTGAGGCGATGATTTTGCCTCGAAATCTTTTCTCGTGTGGATATTATTTGGGGCTCATTGTCACCATCTCGTGTTTGAAGTTGTGGTGCCCCTCCCACGATGACACCCTCCTGGGGGCAAATTTTCTGTCTGGTATCGGCATCGCGACAGGTGCTGGCGTTTACCTCGCTTTTCTCAGCCTCCTCACCATCCCCCTGCTTCAAGGTCATATGATATATCTGCACCGTGTCACATTGACTTGGTTCCAGGATGTCAACATGTCCGAGCATTGGGCTTCCTCCGAAACCAAGTCACCCCTTTCCATCTCCTTACGCCAGACGGGGGAACCCATCATGCGTGGCACGTCCTGACGCTCGAAACATATCGAAAAATTGAGAAGGCGCTGAGGCAAGAGCCCTGAGGACTGTGTCACAACATCATAAAGGGACTGGGGTTCAAGGCACTGAGACACAATCCAACCGCCAGGCTGGTAATATACCTACATGGAGCAGCAGGAACACTGGGATCATAGTGGCGACCGCAAAGCTATCGCACTTTATCTGCCGTTAAATCCAACATACATACTCTTGCCGTAGACTACCGCGGGTTCGGCACGAGCACTGGATGGCCGTCAAAAGCTTGTCTTCTGACCGATGCACTCTGGTGGAGTTTGCATTGAAAACTGCTGGAATTCCCCCGGAGCGCATCGTCATCTTCGGGCAGTCGCTAGGTACGGCAGTCAGCATATCCCTCTCGTACCACCTCGCTCTACAATCGCCACCAACTCTCTTTGCGGGGAGCGTGCTCATAGCGCCATTTGCGAATGTCGAACTTCTGACCCAGACGTATAGCATTGCTGGCACCATTCCTCTTCTTTCGCCTGTGGTACGATGGCCCAAGGCTCTAGACTGGCTCAATAGCTTCATCATAAGTAAATGGCCATCAAAGGACAAATTGGCCGAACTCATTCGTCGGTTGGAGACTTTATGGCTTTCAGAGAAGGGGATAAGGTACGACATCACAATCATCCACGCACAAGACGATTACGACATCCCGTGGTCACATTCGCACATTTTGTTTTGGCATGCCGCCAACGCAACAAGACTCCCTGAAGCGATCCTAAGTTTCGAAGAACTGGAAGTTGAGAAGGCCGGGCGGAAATCAGATCTTGGAGATGGCTGGAGGGAGGTAGCCTGGAGAGGGGATGCGGGAGTGCTGCGAGAGCAGATCCCGGACCATGGACTTCATGATCAAATCATGATTTATCTGGTTGTGAGTCTCGCCGTCGCACGAGCATTACAAAGCCAGGATCGAGAATAGACGTCCACGTATCCTGTCTGCCGTGGTCAGGTCAATCGGACGTGCAAATTGAAAGTCTTCTCAACTTGCTGAATGCTCAGCAGTGGCCGCCTCGTTTCACTACGACTCGCTCCCGAAGTATCCGCGTTGTGTCACGATTGTCTCTCTGCACAAAGATGAGATGTCGCTGGGACCATGACCATGGCGTGTCGCGGCTCCGCAGGTTCGACAACGTCATCGAAAGCTTTCAGATGTCTGTTATGAGTGCGTTTTATATGTATGTTGACCCATCTAGGTTGATAGGCCGTCTATCTGAGGGCCAAACGACTAATTGGCCAAGGTTAAGCACATAGGCCATTGCCGCCGTCCATCTCGATTCCCGAGATATCTCCCTGTTTGATTTGTTTCCACGGTGGTTGACGAACTAGAAGGAAATCGCCACTTGTTAGGCCGAAGCTGTACAAATCGTTGTCAGGCTCATGCAGTTGATCCATGACTAAACATGCTTGAAAAGGCTCGCTTTTCGCGTCAAATCCACGAGATGTTCACAAAACACCACTCGGTCCTCGCTTCATCAGCATCAACTTAGGTATTGGTCTCCACTCCATCCTTACCTAATCGAGCCGCAACGGATAGTTCTCTTCCGCCTTGGGAGTTGCCCTACTTCTTTCTCTTCGCGTTCTATTCTGTTTGTCGGGCCATTGGGCAGAAAGAAATGACGGGCTTTTAAAAGATGGCCTCCAATTTGTAAGACATACAAATTCCATCCTGTCCCTGCCCGGAACGCCACTTTCCAGGATAGAACGGAGCGGCGGTGAAATCTACGAATCGCATCACGGAAGATGCTACGGCCGGTTAGGGCCTGCACTTTTCCCATCTCACAAGCCAGGCCTAGCAGAGTTTGAGTACTACTACATTTGGCCTAGGCTTTCATTGGCGGCTCCTATGTCCGTATTGCTCGGGTTTAGGCAAGTCAATAACCTCTCGTTGTGGACCAGACCGGCGCTCCCGTGAATGGGACTTTGACTGCAGAATGCCGCCAGCGCGCTTGGTCAGCCCGCTGAGGGCTGGCGACCTTCTATTGAATCTCATGGTCATGGAGTCGAAGTTGGAGGTATGCGATTACGTGCAGGGATACACGACTTCATGGGGATGTATATAAGAACACCTGGTCAACCGGATGAAAATCTCGAACAACGCTCAGCCCCATCAAAGCATAACAGCTTCCATCCACCAATATGGCCCAGACATTCGTTATGCGAGGGGTTGATGGCAAGGTGAAGAAGACACCAGCTGAGATCCCCGAGCTCAAGCCCAACGAAGTCCTCGTCAAGATCACCCACAGCGGTCTCTGTGGCACAGACTTGTACTACATAGATCCTGGCTGTGCTCTGGGTCATGAAGGCGTTGGAATCGTGGAGCAAGTTGGAAATGCAGTGACTGCCCATAAAATCGGTGATAGAGTGGGTGGAGGATATCTTAGAAGCGTACGATTCCATGACTTCAGAGAAAACGGACCAACTTTCTCTTGGGAGACCATGAAATACTGACAACAATGGTTCTCTCCAGAGCTGTGGCCAGTGCAAATACTGCCTCACCGGCAGAGACATCATGTGCTACAACAGAGACGTCTTCGGCTTCGCAGGCTTCAGCAACGGCACCTTCGCGACCTATTACGTCGCGACAGAAGGATACGTCTATTCCATCCCCGAATCCATGCCCTCGGAAATCGCAGCACCTCTTCAATGCGCTGGCGCCACGGTCTACGCGGCCCTGAAGACGTACTACCAGACAGGCATGCGCGTCGGTGTGCTGGGTATTGGCGGGCTGGGCCACTTGGCGATCCAGTTCGCCGCGAAAATGGGAGCGCCGACCACGGTTTTCAGCACGAGCCACAGCAAGGAGAAAGAGGCGCGCGATTTCGGAGCCTCGGAGTTCATTGTGCTTGGGCAGGAGGACAAGTTGGAGACACCTGTTGATCTGTTGCTGATTACAGCCTTCAAGGCTCCCAATTGGTCGACGTAAGTCGCTTGCTTTCCCAGCAGAAAGGAAATCCTTCATGAAGCAACACCTTCAGCTAACCGGAAGCTCGACAGGTTCATGAGCGACAAAGTCGTGGCCAGAGGGGCATCCATCGTCGTGCTGGGCGCTATCGGCATGACCTTGGAATTCCCGTAAGCTTCTCCTTCCCGTCTCTCTTCCCCCTGTCGATTGCACTGTCCCCGTCCCCCAATGCGTCTCACACAGGTTCTCTCGCACACGTCTATTTATTTACTCACATACTTTCTGCATCTCGCCGATTAGATTCTTCCCGTACTTCTTCAACTGCTACAACCTAGTGACCAACCTGGTGGCGTCGCGTGCCACACACGCAGAAATGCTCGCTTTCGCCGCCCACCACGGCGTCAAGCCTCTGATCGAGGAGTTTCCGATGGACGAGGTCGGCGTGGCGGAGGCCGTGGTGAGGCTGCAGCAGGGCAAGGTCAGGTACAGGGCTGTGTTGAAGGCGTGAGCCATCACCGAGGCTTAGAGGGAGAGGATGACGAGGATGCAATCGGCGGTAGAAAAGTCAAAGGTAGAAAACCGGACGACCAAGGCGGCAATGCTTCAGGGTTGGTTGCTAGATTCTTTTCCTTGTTTAACCAGGACTTTCGCGGTCCACAACACAGGAAAGCGAAGCACATCTACATATTAATGATTGCTAGGTGTTCTACTTCCAGCGAATGGCATTGGATGTGCACTGTTAACTACGCCAGCCACATGGGGCGAGGCAGGGCGAGGCAGGACAAGGCGGTGTAGCTAGGATATGTATATATGTATATACACTCGGTACATCGTTCGAAATAGTGCATCCCTCCGCACCTCTCCTCATTGTTCATTAAAGGGGGTATCTATACTCCATACGCGGTACTCTATGTGTATACCCGGTATGTGCTACGTAGTTGTTATGTAACTGTTCTATACTTCGCGGCCGCCCCTGGACCCTCACCTCCCAGGACATGGCAGAGCTCCATGCAAGTAAGGAACGTAGAGGGGTTGAGTACGCTTCCTAACCAACCGTGGATGATTCTCACTTCCTCGTACCTGAGCGCAAAGACGAAATGAAGTGGTATTGCTTTAAACTCTCCCTCTTAGTCTCTCCGCGCGCCCCTTTAATATTGGATGTGGCGTCGTATTTCAAAATAGAAGGGAACTGGAAGACCTTTTCAATGGAGCAAAAAGAAGCACATGAAGGATGAATAAACATTAAAAATTAACTACAGAGAACCACTCCGTGTATACCTTCCTATTTACACAGTGTTCCCCAAAAGAAGCATGAAAAACGGAAAGGGAAGAGGAGAAAAACAAGGGCAGACCCTCTCACGCCTACGTCGCAGAGGGACACTCAGGGTTATCGCTCGGACACTCGTAGGCGGTACAGTCAAAATTGCCGCAAGTGTTTTCGATGAAGACGCCGCTGTCCCAGCCCGCAGCGGCCGGGATAAACGCGATCTCGTCCGAGTAGAGGAACTGGTGGCACTCCCCCGTGGCCTCGTTGTAGGTGAAAGCGTCGCAGAAGCCGTTGCTGTCGCACTCTTCCAGGCACGCCTCGTAGCTGGGCTGTGGCAGTATGTCCCAGTTCGGGTTCGAGTCGAGGTACGTCAGCTGTGTGCCGCAGAACACTGTCCACTGGCACTGGCCACAGCCTGGGCCGGGGACTATCGCCTGGTCGGTCGGGCAGGAGCTAAATTGTGCTGTAGTAGTTGTAGTAGTAGTTGTAGTAGTCGTTGTGGTAGTCGTCGAGGTAGTCGTGGTAGTAGGTATAGTGGTAGTCATAGTTGTAGTCGTAGGTATAGGAGTCGTGGCGGTAGTTGTGATGGTAGTTATGGTGGTAATGGGACTCGAAGTAGATGTTGTGATCACACCCGTTGAAGCCTTGGTCTTCCAGGTAGGTTCGACAGTAACCTGCAAGAAACAGTCAGAGGTACATAGACAAGAATAACTAGAGATCATACTGTGATGGTTTCTGGAACCTCGATGCACGAACAAGCCGCCTCTTGTTCATGTGGTGACAACTGCTCTAACTGCTGCAGCAGCGAGTTGAGTGGGTTCGGCGGTGTCCACGAACGCTTGTGAAACCAGCGATGAGAGTGAGCGAAAGCCGTGGCGGTGACAGTGACGGCCGGTTCAGGGAAACGGGCAGCACAATACTGCTCCGCTGGTCCGTAGTGTGCTAATTGAGCATATTGCCCGTAGATGCCCGAGTTACAGAGCCCATCCGACCCAGACCAAGTCCTGTCGGCCGAGGTTGGGCTTGAAAGTCCAAGGACTGCTAGACCAAGTAGTTGGCACCACATCTTGAGGGCTTGGAAGGGAAAATCAAAATGCTTCATTGAGACTGATGCCTAGGTACGAGGTACCGGGTAGAGTAGGGGCCCTTCTTATACAAGAGGATTACTTGTACGGGGGACAACCCTGATAATATACATAGTTCCGAGTGAGAATTACTGACAAGAGCGAACTTGGAGACCTCCTTGCATTAGAGGTCGAGTAGCCTCTGTGATGCAAACATTTGCGGGATAGATGGCGACAGTTGCGACTATTTAGGTATGAAGTTAGACAGGACGGACCGTGGCGTCTAACGGCTGGAGCTAGACCGCTTTTCGGGGGCAACGCGAAATTCATCAACCCAGGGATATTGTAGGGTACTTCTCATTTCTTTCTTGCAGGGCTGAAAGAAGCGTGGACCAATGCCGGATTTGGCAAATATGACTGCCCTCGTGGATGCAGTCTAGGCCTGTTTGAGCTGGCCAGGGGCCAAAGTCGCCAGATGTGGTTCCAAATCTCGCATCGGAGAATTCCCACAGCTCCCTTCCGATGGTCGATATACGAACGTCGTTTTTGGTGTCCAGAGAGCCTCTCCAGGAACATGTTCTTGATCATCCGTCCGCACCTTGACGTCTCGTTCCAAAGTGTTTCGTTCGAATGAAGACTTTTGCAGTTCGCATTATTGCAGCCTTGAAGATGAACCGCAAGCTCCAGGCAGCGTCGAGTGGTGTAACCTGTCGACACGAACCCCATGCACCTTTAAGGAGAGAATCCAATTTCAGGATTAGCGCTTGAAAGCTTCGTATAGCTCTGTCTTGCTGGACCGTTCCGCTCGAGCATGGTCGAATAACCACAAACATGCTGGTGCAGAGCTAGACACACACGTACGGACAGGTGGCAATGCACTTAGAGCAAATGGGTTCCTTCTCCCCTGGCAGTGCATGGTGACGGCACATTGGTCTTTTGCGATTCGCTCGGGCGATGGTCGGCACTGATCACGGAGTACTCGGTACATACATACCTTGTACTCCGTCCTTCGCCTGATCTCTCCCCTGGTGTCGCCAGATTCATCCTTCCAGAAACGCACACATTCTCGTAAGACGTTAGCTCGACTGGAAAACGCGGATGGTCCGAGCCTGCCGTCAGGCCTAAAATTCGTCATCAACATTCAATATGTTAGACATCCTACCTTGAGAGACATTGACTGCCTCTTGTCTTCTTGAATATATACGAAATCCCGCCACCCCCAATCATGTCCTGGTCAAGAGTGACCACATACTCGAGACAAACGTCGTCAATTGCGGACAATATTTGTCCTTTCAGGTCCGAATCTGCGTCCTTCCGAGCCACGATGGAAGTGTCCACGTGCCTGTATTGCATGAGTTGATGCTTCTTCGCCTCGAGTTCAGTAACAGTTGGCGGCGTATGTTGGCCCAAACTCCCCTTAGCAGTGGTCCATGAGCTGCTTGAACCTTTCGTTGGCGATAGGACCCTTGATCCCAGAAGTGGGGCCTCAAGCCCTCTATTGTCGGATCCTTCTGTGCCATTCTCACCAGTGAACTGACTCTGGATATCATCACCTTCGCCTTGGCGATCTTCATCCCACCCTGCACCCTTGCAATCACAGCCAATCAGATCGTGGGTTCGCAACCCATCCCCTTCATCCAAGCGAAAAAGGTCCTTTAACTCCTCTTGACTGAAACTTGAATTGCTGCCATGGGCCTTTGTCGCTGGCTCATATGAACCGGATACCACGTTCGCTCCTTCTTGCATGATACTGTCTGCTAACGCTCTCTTTACAACTTGCCGTTGCCAAATACGCTCTTCCAGACCACCTTTGGTGAGAAACCTGTAGATCTTACAATGCCTCTGCTGACCTTGTCGGTGAATGCGCGCAACTGCTTGATCATCAGTCGCAGGATTCCAGTCCACGTCGAAAAGGACTAGGCGATTTGCCCCAATCAAATTCAGTCCGACTCCACCTGCCTTTGCACTCAAAAGAAACAGGAAGCACTGGGAGGCAGTTGAGCGATTGAATTCGTCCACGAGGACTTGCCTCTTTTTTGCCGCGACCGAGCCATCAAGACGCAGAAAAGACAGGTTGGAGTTTGCTGCCAACTGTTGGATCAAATTGAGCGTGGACGTATAGTTGGAGATGACAACAACCTTTTCATTGGTGGTACTGCGTATTTGTTGGAGAAGCTGATCGAGAATCCGGATCTTGCAAGAGAGTGAATTTTGATATAGTCTTGATAGTCCCGCAGGAAGCATTTCATTTAACGTGACGAGCGATAATGAAGACGTTGACTCATCGTTACCGTAGTTAGGGTCCATCAATGCTGGGCTGTTGCAGAGTTTCTTCAGAATAGTGATCAGCTGAAATGCCGTCTCCTGGCTCCGCAACGCACTGTGGAACATAGGCGAGCGAAGAACGCTTCTGTATATTTTTGCCTGGGCTGGCGTCGGTTTGCAGAATAGGACATATTCAGTCTTCGGAGGCAAAAAGTCTGCTAGAATGTCTGCTGTTCTTCGTAGTATGAAGGCTGATGTCGTCCGTGCCAATTCTTCGCTGGCATCCTGACCGCGCTCAACTTCAGTTGGTAACGCATCCGGCTGGCGGCTTCTCATAATGGGCTTCTCAAAATCCCGGCTGAAGCCCTTTTGAGAACCCAGACATCCATCGTTCACGAAGTTGACCATGGCAAAGAACTCACCAAGATCGTTCTGTATTGGTGTTCCCGACAGAATGATCCTCCGCTTGGTGTTTAGCGATTCAATAGCTTGAGCGGCTTTGTTCTTCATAGTTTTGAGACGATGGCCTTCGTCGCAGATAACAATATCAATAGGCTGTCCTTTGGCGAGATCATTGGCTACCATCCTCAATCTTTCATAACCAATAATCATCACCTGATAGACTTTCCCATCAAAACTGCTCAGTCGAGTACGTTGATCTTCAAACTCGAGCACCCCCAATCGGTCGGAGCCGAGCCATTTCCTGAATTCTCTCTTCCAGTTCCGAATAAGCGACACCGGACAGACAATGAGAGCTTTTCTGATGACAGGTGGATCCTTAAAGACAGGATTTTGACGCAATAGTGTCCATAAAAGAGCGATCGTGGTCAGCGTCTTCCCCAACCCCATGTCATCAGCCAGGATGCATCCTTGACCGTCGAAGTTACGCAGCCCCATAACGCATTCGTACAGAAATTTTACGCCCTCTTGTTGATGCGGTCGCAGTTTCTTCCCGATCAGCGGATCCAAAACCACGTCCACGGTCTGTCGGCCTTTCGGCGGACATCTGGGTCTCCTGAAGACAAGCGCGCCTTCTGCATTGGGGTCATGTCGTGGAGTGAGCGATTCACCCAAGCGTTGTGGAAGAATATTTGTTTCCTTCAATGGCTGTTTGAATGAGGTGACACAAGTGGGTTGCGGGGGCTGATGTTTAACCTGAGCCTTCTCTTTCTGTATCTGGGCTTTCATCTGAGTTCGTATACTTGGCTTTGTTTGTTGGGCTTCGGAATGTTTCGCAGGCAGAGACGCAGGTGTGGCCTTATGTCCCGTGTTTACAGATTTGGTCTTGGGACCGACAATTTCCAAAAAAGCATGTTTGCTGATTTGGGAATCGACCTCGACTTCCTTTCCGCTGATGGTCAGGTTTGACTCGGGCAGCAAGGGCGCAGAGAAGGCAGTGCGGCCGATGTTCCTTCCCGACTTGCTGTACAGGGTTGCGAAGCCATCTTTGACGGCGAGCACACCGTCGTCCGTCCAAGTCTTGTTCTTCTTGTTCGTAGGAACACGCCTGGAGAGATAGTGAGTGAGTGGTCTTTTCCTAGCATTGCGCATATTTCATACCATAGAATCGAAAAGTAGCCCTCAGTGCCATCTGACCCATTGCCATTAGGTTCCGTGACAGGACTCGGAGGGTTGAAGATCGACTTGAGGGGTTGTCTTCGGTCGTCATTGGAGGGGTTCTTCGCTGCTTGTTGGTTGGAAGGGCTGAGCTTCCTTCGCTTAGCAGGAGGAGTCCCGTGGTCGGGAGTCTCGCTGTCGGGAATGGATCTGCGGATAGTGAGAGGCTTGAAAGGCTTGGAGAACATGATCCGTTGCTGTACTTCGGGGTCGCCGCAAGTCTCTCCTGAGTGCTGGGTACTCTGCGAAAGTCGGTCGATGGAACGCGCGGCGCGTACACCGAGAGAACGCGTGATCACGTGAATGCCCTCCAGCTTCAAATGACAGAAAGTTCGTCATAGCAAATTACTCGAACGCCGCTTGTCACACTGCGAACTCTTTCGGACCACCTTCTGTATGATGGTGTCAAAATGCAGATTCAGAGAATATACGGAGGGATTGTACAGAACACCAAGCTTTGCCAAAATCCATGAATTAGATTGAAGAGAGTTGTTATCCGATGAATCTATCTACCCAATTGTTCGCATTCATAGATCCATAACCATACTGTAAAACGAAAATCCACCACCAGTCCCATCCCTTTCTCCTTTAACGTTCTCACTTCAGTCTACCTTCCTTCCCTTCTGTACTAAAACCGGCCATAAAACATGGATCAAATGATATTATCCGCCGCATTGGTCTTGCCTATAACTTTCCGCCTCCTAGTTCCTCTCCAGCATTTGGTTCAATCTCCGCCTCCTGAGGCCGCCTCCACCATTAGATCCAGCATCTGGGTTACTTGTTGGAGTGCTCGAGAAACTCGATGTGATGCTAGAGCTCGTTGGTCTTGGCGTCGGATCCTCATCGACGTCTGACGAGGTAGTTGTTGGAGGCGGAGTCGGCGAGTTATCGTCAAGGGATGATGTTGTGGCTTGGCCTGGGGTAGCAGTCTCTGATGCAGCGAGCACAATATTTGACGTCGTAGTTGTTGTTGGGTCTGGAGAAACAGCTGTGGTGGTCGATCTAGTTGCAGAGCTTGTGGAGGTTGGGTTTGCTTCGACATCTGTAGGATCTGATGACGATGGCGCTGTTGTGGTAGGCGTTGAGCTCACCGAAGGCGTAGTAGAGCTTGACATATCTGCCGAAACCGTGGTAGAATCAGATGATGTGGTGGCCGCATTCGAGGAAGTGCTTGACGCAACAACAATCGACGACGTTGTGATGATGTCCACGAAATTGGCCAAATCCGATGACGTAGTGATTGTGACCGCCGACGTAGCTGTAGAGGTCCCGGCGCCCGAAGAGGTAGTGGTCGGGTCTGCTTCACCATCAAACGCCAGGAATGAGGCGGTGGTTGTGGGTATAGGGGTTGTTGTGAAATTTACGGCGCTAGACGACGTAGTTGTAAGTTCCAAAGACGTGAAGTCGGACGATGCGCTGGATGTAGGGTCTATCGCAGCTACATATGAAGTTGTACTTGTACCCAATGCAGAACTCGGAGCTGCAGCGGACGAAGGATCATCGAGTGGGTCTGAGAAGCTAGTTGTTGATGCCGCTGTGGATAGAGTTGACGTTTTCGACACTGAGAACCCAATAGTAGATGTTGTAGTTAGTGTCTGCGTGATAGAGTCAATGGGCGAGCTAATCGAGCTAGTCGATGTGGCAGATGTAGGGTCAGCCACGGGGTCGACGGAGCTAGACGAGATAGTAGTCGTGGACGCGAGAGAGCTCGTTGTGGCTGGATCCGCGCTGGTGAAAGACGTAGTGGGCGTTGTGAATGTGCCAGAGTCCGAACTTGAAGTGGCAGACGTGAAGGAGAACGAAAACGATGTTGTAGGATCACCTAAATCAGCAAAATTAAATGCAGTTATGGTTGTCGAAATACCGAAACTTGTGGTTGTCGATGTGAGGGCATCGGAGGACGTTATGGTTGAATCTACGGGATCCGAAGATGTCGTAGACAGGATGGTATTGATAGTCGCAACAACTGACCCTGAAGTTGACGTGGTGAAGGGTGAATCGGAAGATGATGTCGGAACAGGGTCCGACATAGTCGACAACGTCGTGGAAACTAGATCAGAAGACGTCGTCGAGCCCGTGGTCAAGAATAGGGCCGTTGTGGCTAAGGCTGGGTCCAAAGAGGTGGTAGATAGGGTGCTTGAAGCTGTGGCGGAGACCGGATCTAATGTTGTAGTTGAAAGCAAATTTGAGGCGCTGGTAAAAGACAGCCCGAAAGGAGGGTCGATTGTTGTGGTCGACGAAGTGACTGTGGAACCAGACGTTGTTAAGATAAGACTGAGGGAAGCAGTAACGGTGTTCACGGTGGAGGCGGTTGGATCAGCGGACGGTGTGGTTGTTGTTTCAATGTTAGAGCTTGTAGACCTAGACGCAGAAGAGGTGAAAGTGCTCGAAGGACTAGCATCTTGCGAGACGATCACAGCCTCGAGACTCATTAAGGAACCATTGGAAGGCGCAGCGTCCGAAATGCTCAAGTATGGGAAAGTGTTCACGATCCCAAAGAGTGTGAAGGTTTGGGGGGCTGATCCGCCGAAAGCGCTTGAGTAACCCAGAGCGCTGCATTGCAGGGTAGGCAAGCCGGTACCTGTATCTGGGCAAACCAAGGCACACGACGCTGCCGTCATATCAAGAGCATTCATTATGCCCGGTGGCACAAATAGGAAAGAAACCAGGCTCTGACCTATTGTCGGGATGCTACCAATATTGCCAGAGTTCGCTTCGATGAGGTTGCCCTGAGAGTCGAAGGTGAACAGCGCTGGTGTGCCAGAAGAAAATCCAATATAGTCCCAAGGGTAAGAGGGTGTACCGCTAGGAACAGAAATGGCTGGCTGACCATCAGGAATCACGCTGCTGCCGGAGCTAATGAGCGAGAAAGTCGGGTTCGCTTCAACGCTGCATGGCGTATCGCTTGAAAGAGTAGTCGCGGTGGTAGAGATGCTGGTGGATATAGTGGAGGGGTCAGCTGGCGCGGCAGAAGTTATAGTTGCCGGACTAGATGTAGTAGAACCAGAAGGGTCTAGATCGCCGGAGGGGTTGGTAGATGATGCTGGCGTAGTAGTAGTTGGATCAGAGGCTGTGCTTGATAGAGGAGTGGCTGTTGCTGTGCTAGATGGAGGATCGATAACAGCAGAATTCGACGTGGTCAAGCTCGTCTGCGCTGTAACTGTTGTCGACGGACGCGATCCAACGGCAACAAGAGGAGAGTTCGAGGTTGTTGCTGATCCAGCTGTATGATCGGCACTCGAGCCAGGAGTGCCAATTGTCGTTGTGCTGCTCGAGACCGAGAGAGGAGCACCGCCACCCAAAACCGAAACCGAAGTAGTCGTTGAGGTCGCTGACGGAGCGACACCGCCAGAAGGACTGTTAATTGTTGCTGGAGCCTGACTTGTTCCATCTAAAGCTGCGTTGGTGCTAGTGGTGCCGACCACATTAGCAGCTGTTGAAGATACGATGGTGTTAACGTCTGTCTCGACAAGCGTAACAGGAGTGCAGTTATCAGGTACGACCCCGTCCCAGTAGGTGAAGACCGTTGTATCTGTGAAGATACAAAATTGAGCGCCCCCAAATCCAATAGCATCAGTCTTTGTATCGAGACTCCACCCGGCAAAGAAGGCTGGAGCATATGTGCCATCATCGCTGGTCTTGCGTATCGGCTCCGTCAATGTGTTGCTGTCAAAACCCATATAGCCGGATTGTCCGCTAAATCCGAGGACTTGGGTTTGAGGGTTGAAAAGCAGTGGCCAGGCCTTGCTTGCATCAGTAACAGCAATGGCCTCAGTCCCTGAAAAGCCGAGGTAGCTTGTAGCGCTCTGGCGCTTGTGCTTCTGTACATTGCTTGATAGAGAAATCAAAAAACTGCCGTCACCCGGTGTGCGACTTGGCACTGCGTCTGCTGTAAGTGCTGCAGCAATTGTCGAAGAGGCCAAAGATGTTGACAATGCTCCATTTGGTGCCACGGTTGTCGATGATGGGACCGTGTTGGCTCCGTGCGGGGTGGGATCTCCAGCAGCTTGCGTCGATGGTGATGTCGACGAGGCTCGCAGCACTGGGGCACCTGAAGTACTGCTTCCGCTGGCTGGACCAGGCTGTGGGGTTTTAGATGCGGTGGATCCAGGGTTGCCGGATGAACCTGGTTGTGATGTTGTAGAGCCCGTTGATCCCTGTGTCCCAGCATTTGAGACAACTCCACCAGATGGGATTTCTTGCGATGTCGAAGACCCAGTTGGTGGTGAAGCACCCGAGCTTGAGGCATCTGCAGCAGACGGATCAGACTGCGACGTTGCGGAGCCAGTCTGACCTGGAGGACCTGAACTTGAGGCACCAGCAGCAGGCGGATCAGATTGGGCTGTCGTAGAACCGAATGGAGATCCTGTCGTGGAAGCATTTACGCCGGCTGTGGTTGGGTCACCGGCACCGGAGACCAGTACGGAGGAAGCTGTACCAGAGGTTGGATCCGCTGTTGGCGCGGCAGAAACCGGGCTTGAGGTTTTTGACGACTTGTGTGAATGACCGCGAGTGCTCGAAGATGTTGAGGAGTGGTTGTGTGTTTTAACATGTGTAGGTGATGGTCTTGAACTTTGCAGAATGTTCCCAGAACCACCGCTGGCCCATTTGGCATGGTCGCCGTCGTCGCCGCTGTTTCCATTGCCTTTTCCAGAGCCGTCACCATGATCATGACCGCTATCGCCCCCTGTCCTAGTGCTATTGCTCCAATCTGCCCATATGACAGAACCGTCCGTGGGAATTCCGGTATGAACGGCCCCAGGAGCTCCAGTGTTCCCCCCTGGCCCTCCTCGATGGCCGCCGTTGCCCGCTGGTCCACTTGGAGAGTCATGGCCTCCATGCCAGTCACCCCACCTGTCACCAGGCGGTAAGTTTGGATCATTCAGGTTCGTCCAACCTTGACCGTCGTCATTACAGGTCACGAATTCGGTAGGATACGGACAGACTGTAACCGTCCGAGTCTGCTTCACTCTAACCGTCACGTCAACATTGGTCAAAGCAGTGACGACGGCAAGCGAGGCAAGAAGAGCCACAGGAGCAAACATGTTTGCAAAGGAGTGGCTAGAACACATAAACGAATGGACGGCACCAAGTGCCCAAAGACCGAAGAAAAACACACTAAACAAGAGAATGGACAACGATGAACTGAAGTACAACAAGGAGAGACTTGAAAATGAGGGAGTAGAAGTGAAGAACTCACTCGGCTGGCATCCCTATATTGCGACCGGAGACTCCTTTCGCCGCCCGCCAAAGCTATGCATTCGATGGCTTTGTGGCATAAAGCCTCCTTCGCCTTTGTTGCCAGAGTTCCAAGGGCGATATCGACCCCGTCATGCTCGAAGCGGAATAGTGTCCAACGTACAGATCCCTTTTCAGCTGCTTCTATATGTTAATACTTCGAACGGTCTGGGCATCCCTCATGGCCGGTGGAGGCGAGAAGGCCTCAGAAGGGAAATTTGACCATGAACGACGTCAAGCCTCATTCAGGGGAACCAGGGACAGTACGAGGCATAGCCGTGTTTATACTGGAGCAGCTTAGACACGGAACCCTAAAGGTCGGGTGGCGGCTAATCTGTCCGATAGAGCACAAATGTGGCTTTTGCCTCCTGCAGCGGGCCTGAGCCTTTGTCTTATCCGGGTGATCCCGGTGATCCCTGTTCTTGCGTCGAGAGCATCATCTGTCTGCTCTTTCGGAAACAAGAGTTCGCAACTCTTAGACACTATCGATGCGGAACGTTGACGCTGACTCCTGTGACACTAGACTAGCTCAGCCTTTCGCTTGAAGTTGAATTCGCCTGGAGTCTTTTGCCGACTCCCGAAGCGGCCAAGCAAGATCCGGTTTTTCATGAACCTCAATTCCACCTTCGCCGCCAACCCTGCATTTCCGGCTCAGCTCCCTAGCATCATGTTATCTCGTCGAATATTCACCAGCGAGCGCGTCCACTGTCTAGACGAAGAATGATGGCAGCGCCCTGTGCGGAGAAGATCCTGCGTAGTGGTGGAAGATTTCGCCAACCCGGCTTGGTCGATCGGCATCAAAAGTCCTCGGTGGGCCTTGAAGCAGTGAATTAGACGATAGCTGGCGATGATTATCACATTTGAATGAGTCAATAAACCTCACAGTTATCGGAACGCGGCAAAAAGAGGATGGGATCGGGTGTTATCGATGAAACAGGTTGCTCGAAGGAAGAATTCCTTCACAATACCCCCGACTGAATAGCTACAGTACATACAAGTACAAGATCTGCTGTGGGTGGTCGATAGAACTGTAGATCGCTCAATCCAAACTGCGTTCAAAAATGTACTGCCCCCACTGGGCTGGGCGCGGTCTCAGAAGACCGTGGCTCCCGGAACCTGTGCCAGATAAAACGCTGCCTCAAACATGTCGTGGGAGAGGATGGTGGAGACGAAGAAGAACACAAACAGGATCCAAGGCAATGATACAGAGAAGGTGAGGAGGCTCGCAGCAATATGGGTCAATGGTGGACGAATGACAGGGAAAAAGATCTCCTCAGGGTTACCCCTCGAATCGCGTTGCTTGGTGGCTGTCGGAGTACTCAGGACGTCTTCGGCTTTTTCACTCATGATAATGTCGGCCTTCTTCTGGCCTAACTTGAGTTGATTATTCTTCGACTCGAGGTCACTTTGCAATGTTTGTACAAGGGCCCTTAATTCTTGGATTTCGTCCATAGCCAAATCAACTCTTTTCTGTAGGACGAGCATGGGTGACTTTGCCGAATTGGGAGCTTCTGGAGGAGGAGTACACGGAGACAGGGTAGCCCGCCGACATGGGGAGTCAGGAATATCAGATCGCAGTTTCAATGGTGAAAGAGGAAGTCTTCGGGAAACAGGAGACCTACTGGACCAGTCGGGCCTCATCCGCCACACCGAAAAAGGCGTGGCGGGTCCAGAAACGGCACTTAAGATGTCAATTGGTGAGGTTGGAGACAGAGCCATGGTCCTAATCTTGCGAGCGCCTAGTGGTGTCCCACAGTGAGCGATGCTGCTGTTCAATGGGGTTTCGCATTCTCCTTCACATTTCCATTTAATGGTCCCAAATGTGGTGCGGAGGATCTTCATCAGAACCTCCTCACTTCCGGCAGCCGTATCGATTGACAGGGTCAATGATGGCATAGGTGATATTGGCGGGGTCCCGTTTCTCTTGAGAAGTTGTCTCAAAGCAATTTTGATGACTGGAAGAAGATATGTCGATCCCCAGTCCTCAATGGCTTCGATCCACCCTTGAAATTCTTTGAACGAACAGGTATCATCGAGGTTGAACCTGGAGAGTTCCGACATACAATAGCGCCCGTCAGAATCGACGTAGTGATAGTAAATAAGGGCGGTGGAGTTGTCGATGGCGCAAGAGAACGATATTGGCTTTTCAAAGACCGGGCGAGGGCTGGTGCATTTCCTGAACAATAGCTGCAAAGCCCGCACGCAATGGGCACCCGCTATTGCACACTGATTTTTGGCGGACTCTACGGCATCTTCAGATGCAGTATTCACTCGTTCAAAGACAAGGAACGGGCAATAGGTGGTTGTCCCAGGAAACACGGTGCCCGAGTCGAAATCGACAATCGTCCCTGATGCCGATGTGCAGTGCGGCAAAACCGACAACTCTCTCTCATTGAAGGCATGCGTGGTGAAACCAGTCAACAGACCGGGTCGAGGAACAGGCAACTCGAAAAGACTCTCTTGAGCTTTGACAGCTCGCGGTGGGAGTGCCTCTCGGTTGAGCTTTGGGGCCAGGGATCGATGGAGGACAAGGTTGACGCCGGTCGTTGGGAGGACGTTGGGAGGGAACACCATGGATGATCCGAATCCCTTGTTATTCGCTACTTGTTTCCGCCACTCTCTCTCTTGATTGTCGAATCGGTTAAGCTTTTGCAAGCACGGCTGCAATCTGACAGAGAAAGGGCGTGAAAGCTCAGACAACTGGAGATCATCGGTGAAAATGATCCGAAATGCACTGAGAACGATCGTTCGAAAGTCAGACCATCTAAGGTGACTACCGTCAATAGCTCTCAGCAGGGACACTGGCGTGTCAGGCAAAGGGCTTGAGGTCTCCATGACTCGGGATGAGAAGTGAAACGACGCAGTCGTGGTGAACAGGACCAGACAAAGGTCAACAGGCTGTCCTTAACTGGCACGCCTATCCTGGAGATGCTGTGCACGGTCGACCTAGAAGAGGGTGAGAGCATCGCAGGAAATCCGGTCAGGTAATATGTCCAAACCACGTGTCTGGCGCCTCTTTTGTGACAAAAAGTCGGCGCCTATACAGGGACACGTTCTTCAGTTCTCAAACGGTGCTAATAATTAGTTAGTGCTATTGACACCTGTCCGTAACCCGTCAAAAGCGTGTCTTCAAGAACACTATACCTTTGTTGTGCTGCTGGTCCCTACAGACACGCGGGATAGCTAGGCATGCTTCAGGGGTTTCATAGCTTCGACCCACGGTCACAAAGACCACCGGGCGCGTAGACAGCCTCTCATGGCATGGACAATCTCTTAGATACTTCGAATTAAGGGGCTATGGAGAGCCCAAGGATGGGAGTAGGTCGCCTGGTGCTAGACTTTCCATTCGTCGCATTGAAACGTGCATATCGTGACGGGCGGCTACAGACGGGGTGGGCGGTTAGGAAGCTTGTCGATGCCCCACGATCCCCACGGACAGCGGCTTGAAAGAGAAGGTGCGAAGGACATTATCTGTCGCCGATCAGAACGATTGACAATCCCTCCTAGCTGAAGACCAATCTAAGAGGGAGAAGAATGTCATTTCAGCCCCAGAAAGTGGTGCGACACCAGAACGAGGTCTAGTAAAGCACAGGGCAAGAATTTGAGGGAGTGGCAGCGAGACCAATCAGAACGCGTACCGTGCAGCGGGCATCTATGCCGAGATTCAGACACTAGTCCTATTTCCAGAATCAGAAATCTTGTTCGGGCGGACTTGGCGGTCTTATATAATCTTCGCAGTCGGAGTCTGCGGCGTTACCCATGCCAACCATGCCTGGCCCACACTTCATCCCCACCAAGGATGACTTGAGACTTATGACGATGCGACTGTGGTGTTCGTGTAAGACCCTAACATGCTGGTAACGTCGAATACTCACCACCACGCCCGCAGTGACGCGGTTTTGGCGACGGGTTACAGTTCCCTCGCCTCCATGTCTGCACTTGCCTGTGTGAATCTCGCCTGAGATTTTTGAGTTGTTCGTGTCAGCTTTTACCTTGAACACGAGCTTACCATCGCAGAACACCATCATGAGATGCCGCTTTATCCTCACTGAGGCTCGAAGGCCTTATCCTCGTTCCAAATATAGGGTGAGGGAGAGCAAACCATGAGGTATTTAAGTCAGCCTGCTTCGTAAACCCTCGAGTCTCTAGTCGCCAGAACAGCTAACGGGAGAACACTTCTGCTCACGGCTTTGGTCCTGTTTCTTACTGCTATTCTGCTGTTACCTCATCATGGGAGATGCTGGAGAGACTAGAGGTCCTCTGCGGATAGCGATAATTGGCGGAGGTATAGGTGGACTAAGTCTCCTTTTAGGTATCTTGAAGCACTGCGACCGACACGTTATCGAACCACACCTGTACGAAGCCGCCCATGCATTTTCAGAGATTGGTGCTGGTGTTGGCTTTCTTCCTAATGCTGTACGAGCCATGCGCGCCATCGACCCTGAAATCTACGAAGCCTACAGCCGAATCGCAGACCAAGCTCCTCTTACAAAAGTCAATGGCCGAGATATGTCGGTCTTTTCCAATGTTTACATGGGTATGGACGGAAGAGGAGGGACCAACACGTCTAAGGCCTTTGAAGAGATTTGTACAATCCACAATGACAATAGGTTCCATAATATCCATCGAGCAGTTTTCTTGGATGCGATGGTGAACCTCTTGCCCGGCGGCTTCAAGGGAGGCCTGGTCAGCTTCAATAAAAGGTGCACCAATGTACAAGAAGTTGGAGGGCGTGTCGAGGTTCTCTTTGCGGATGACACCTCGCAAACATTTGATGCAGTTGTCGGTTGTGACGGCGTTAAATCCCGAGTGCGAAATATTCTTCATGGAGAACAGGAAAGGTATGAACCGCAATTCACGGGTAAATATGCCTACCGAGGGCTTCTCCCAATCAACGATGCCATTAGTGCTCTTGGAAAGGAGACTGCAACGACCCAGGCTCTGTTTTTCGGCTATGGTGGTCATCTTGTCACATTTCCAATCGATCAAGGAAAGACGCTCAATGTTGTTGCGTTCCGAGGTGCCCCGGAATGGAATTATGGCGGTCACTGGGTTGTCCCTGCGACTGTTCAAGACGCTCTTGAAGATTTCAAGGACTGGAGCGAACCGGTGAAAAAGCTGCTCTCCTTATTGAAAGGGCCGGATAAATGGGGTCTCTTCGATCTGCCCCCTGCGAAGACCTTTGTCAAAGACGGCAAAATCTGTCTTCTGGGTGATTGTGCGCATGCTTCGACACCCCACCTTGGCGCAGGGGCAGGTATGGCTATAGAAGATGGTGCTGTTCTCAGTCGACTACTTGGGGAAATCAAAAGGCCTGATACGACCCAACTTCAGAGGGCATTTGAGGCCTATGATGCAGTTCGGAGAGGCCGTGATCAACGACTTGTGACCGCAAGTAGGAACGCTGGTATGCTTTATGAGTTTGAACAGCCCAAGGTTGAAGATGATATTAGGGAAATCCGGCATATCCTGAGTAATCAGTGGGACTGGGTTTGGGATTTGGACATCGAAGCACACTGCGAAGAGGCTATCGGATTGATGCACCGTTCAATATCTCTGAATGATACCTCCTGAGGCACTGTCACTTAATTGTGGCTTTTGGTCGTCGCATTTGAATCACGCCATCCTTTCCTCCAACATTCCCTGTTTGACCGTGCATGTCAGGTACCATTTACTTTTTCCCACTTCCCAAATTCTCTTGGATTGTGCCTGCAATTGTTTGTCAGCCTGAGGCGATGCCGAAACGGCATCGTAATGTCTTCCGAGTAAGTAGTCGTTGGCGGAAAAGGGAACCCACCTCCTACTGCTCCTTGTTCCGTGAACTGCTTTCCGATGGCACCCTTAGATGAGAAGGGCCCGCCGACTGCCTGTTTTTGGGGAGTGAAACATCAGTGCATTAATTCCTTGCAATCCAAAAGGTGTACCATTCTTAGGCCGAATCGATGGATCGGACCTTTGTGACAGGTCCCATATAACTCACCTCACCAACGCTGCCGATGGCTCCCTCCGCTGCGTGGTGTTATTTCGAGTGTTACCGAGTATTGGATTCTCTAAACTCACGTTTGAATTGCTTGCCAACTGCACCATCCTTGTCAAAGATGGGCTTCTTGTCTCCCTGCATTTGTTCGGCCGCTTGCGGATTGTGAGTGGGTTGGTCAAAAGAGTTTGCTCAGGATCTAACATACCCGATTGTGCGGTACCACCTTCAAGTTACTTGGTGTCAATGACCGGCCTCAAACAGCACCTACAGTCTAAAGCAAGACTTGACTTACCCACTGAGCCCTCAGGCGTGAATTTTTTTCCCACTGCCCCTTCACTGCTGAGAGGACCGCCCACCTTTTGTCCCATTTGTCCAATGGCTGCCACCCGCAATTAGCCTGACCTGAAACTCACGGGGCGCTATGAGTGAGGTGTTTCCAGGAACAGATCGGTCTTACATCCTTCTGGCTTGAACTGAGAGCCAACGGAGCCCTTGCTGGCGTCAAGTGCGGACTTGTCTTGGTCAGCCATTCCTGCGCTGTTGTGAGTGAGTGTCAGCGTTTAGGCATGAATCAAGACTGACTTGCTAGATACACCGAAAATAGTCTGGAGTGCTGCAAGGGGATCAGTTGGTGAGCTTGCTTTGAGCGGGTAAAAACACATTTCATAGTTGAAATTGGACGGGTGAACGTAGATTGCTGACAGGTAATTCAGAGTCAACGAGAGGGTTATATTTGACATACCTGTAGAGGTGTCAGTTGGCAATTCACGACATCATGAAGCAAGCACCTCTGCCGCCTCTTCGCATCATCCTGACGTCACCAACACAGCCTCGTGGCGTCTTGCTTACCTTTCTCTAAGAGTTCTTGAGTTACTGATTGATATGGCAGGCTGAACTTTCGCGAACTGTCAATACGTTCTGGTTACTCGAGCTGCCCAAGGCCCAGACAGCAGGGCGGAATTCGAAGACATTTCGTATTCAAATGTGCTGATCAGGTCTCCGCAAAACACTCCTCCGGTGCCTCACCGTCGCCATCGACGTCATGACCATCGATGTTGATGGGCAAGTGTGATGATCCGACCTACAACTTCCCCCTCTCAGGGTTCATGCATAAGCGCCCAGGAGTCGGTTCATCCAATCAGTGCATGACATTGGAAGCTCGCGGGCAGGGTGATTACTCTCCGCTTCGTCGCGTCAAGGGAACTTTCAGCTGTACGAGTACCTAGCTCGCCAGGAAGCTTGAGGCGATAAGTGACGATGTGGAGAGCTCGAGGGTCTAGTGAGCTAGCCAAATAGTGCAAACATGACAAACATGACAAACACCGTTCATTTTCTCACCCGGACTCCAACGCGTAATGGTAGAACATGTACTACATCTTTTGATTTGGCCATTGCTAGATACTGCCTGTAATGTTCGACTGAAGCTGATATAGAGCACTGACGTGAATGGAACTCTCTATAATACGCTGCTTTACCTTCCTGCTTATGAATCCTCCGAGGATACAGACCTTGCAGCATGGATGGCGGCTTCCCGTCTCACAAGATGCCGGCCCTGTTGACAATGCAGGAACTGAATGGCGACCTGCCTCCTATTTTTCTCACTTCTCGTCTTCTTTGCTATTTCCAATCTGCTCCATTTCACATCACTCACAAAGATTTGGCTTGAGCAAAGACCGAGGATCTGTCTTTCATTGGCTTTTTTGGATCTCGATTGGAATGCCCCATTGTTAATCTCCTTGTTTTGCCTCGAGAGTGAATCCGACCTCTTCGGCATGTTACATGGACATTTTCAATTCACCCTTTCCATTTGTATCTTCAGATGATGGTCCCGCCGTGATAGCGTCCGTTTGAGAACAGACCAGCTCTAGGGACAATCGTCGTCAGGTCGCCAACAAGTCTCAATGACATCCACACCATCCTCTGCCAGCCACATCAACGCGACGGCCATCGAGAACGCATTCCCCACTCCTCCGACAGGTGATAATGGTTCAGAGAGTGCTTTTTACCTCAAAGGCCGCATGTCTCCAGCCCCTCGCAAATTTCTGCCCATGCAGCGCGCTCAATCGACCCCGCCTGAGTTGACGCACTCGAGTCAATTCGCTATACTCACGAAGAGCTCACAAGGGCAGACATCTGATGTGGCCAGCTTGGAACACTCGTGGAACAGGTTGCGCTTATCCAAAAAGAGGAGCCAATACTACGATGGTGCGTTCGCCTACCGCGAGCCAAATAATACTGCGAAGGAACGAGTTGCAAAGGACTGGGTAATCCTTGCCGAGATCAAGTTGAACTGCTGCGTAAGAATTGAAACTGTCTTTCGCAGCTGCTACTGACCATCAACACAGGTCGAGTCAGAGAAGGAATTCCTCATCGACTTGTCCTTTCGACTGTCCGAGATTTATCAACGTCCTGCATCTTGCATCATGGCCATGGTTACCACTAACATTCCAATACTACTCGGTGGCAATTCCGAACCAGCATATCATCTTACGATTACAGCTTTACCTTCAGAAATAGCAGCCACCAAGAACAAGAGAAGTACACATTTGATTCAGGATTTTATTCATGATACACTTCAGATCCCGCCAAAGCGGGGCGTTGTGCGATTCGATGCCGTCGCGGAAGAGAACATGGCAACAAACGGAATGACTGCGCTGCAGGAGATTGAGCAGCTGGAAAGGCAGTCTAATGACGAAGATGGCATGATGAGGGCGCTCAGCCGACAAAAAAGTCGCCGAAGCAAGAAATCCAGCGCGCCGACTCTTGCAGAAAGGATTCGTGTTGGCCTTCCGTCAATCAGGTCGACGACTCCTTCGACCCAGTTTTTCAACACGCTCGAAACCACAGAAATAAAATCGGCTATGGCCAGTGGGCCAGGCAAAAAACGCGTCAAGAAGAGACAAAGTATTCTCGGTTTCTTCAGGAAATGACAAGGACTTGGTTGGATTACATTTTATTCGCCATCGACCACCCCAACCCTAGAGATTTCATGGATAACGCAGTGACGCGCCTGGTATAGTAATGAGCAAGTGTTGGCTACCGTGCATGCAATAGTACATAAAGCAAATTCTAGTACTTGATTTTCAGTGTCCTCGGAGGCCATGGTTGGATGAGTGCCCGTTCTGTAGCAGCGACTATTCACTTCTGCCTCACTTCACTTCAACTGCGCCGGTAGCTCTGATCACTGTCAGTTCCTTCCCTTCCTGCGTTCACCAGGTACCCGGAAGAGAGAGCTATCGACCTGTCTTACATTATCGGCGTCACCGACAGTTACTTTATCAGAGGTTTGCTCCTGACACGTATGCCAAACCTGTATTTCCTCAGCCTCACGTATCCTCTTCTATCGCAATGAATAACAAATATGGAACTCGGCGACTTCACAAAATACTACAGAATCCTCGGTCTCCCGAATCATGCATCATTAGAAGAGCTGGACGAGAGATATTTTGAACTCATAGAATACTGGACTATGAAAGGTCGAGGCGCCAACGACAACGGCGGGCCAAAGCTGGAACTGCATCTTATCGACCAAGCCTACAAGGCCATCCTGTTAAAGGCCATAAGAGAGAATGAAGAGACGCGCAAGCCGGCACCATCGACATACACAATGAAAGATATCTCGCAAGGTCAAGATCGAATAATAAGGTCTTGTCTTGACAATGGCGAGTCGTGGAACCCGCCGCCCGAGGAGAGGTCCTCATCACTTGATTTTGAGGATACACTTGAAGAGCGGTCTCCATCACCCCAGTTTGAGGATATTTCGGACAGACTTAAGGTCGGACCTGTTGAGGAAGAGGTAGAGGATTGTTTGGGAACTGCGCCAGGATTTTCGATCAACGAGATCTCAGGTGAACTCCACCACGCTCCGGACAGGGCAGTCATCGTCCGTACGTGACCAACAGTATTGATGATCAGAACTAACCATGAGTTCTCCAGATGCTGTCAACTGCCAAGGAGTTTGGGGATATGGAGTTGCACTGTACCTCAGAAGACTGGTATGAATACGCCATCTACTTCTATCCAATGTTGCTGACCACGCCAAGTATCCAGAAGCATTCAAGATCTACAAGGCGCACTGCGAATCAACAAATCGACCATACGACCTCATTGGAAGTTGTTTGCTTATCCCTCCGCAACCTTCGGACTACGAAAATGAGATCAGGATAAGATTGAAGGGAACAGCCAATACAATTCCTCTGGGGCAGTCAGTTTTCAGACCACGACGTTGGATCGCCTGTCTATTCACCAGCATCGGCTACGGTAAGCCCAACATGAAAACCAACAACCCAGGAAAGGATCCGCCGAACAAGATCATCCCTAATACAAGAATGGCACTCGAAGAACTCAGAGTTCGCCTTGAAGACTACGGACCGACGAATTTTAACCCTAGAACCGCCTGGAAAACTGAGGCCGATAAACCAGGTGAGATCTGGAGCCCGAAATTCAATAGCGGCGCATTCGGAGTGGATTGGGAGGATACTCGCATGGTGATCGACGAGGAGTTTGAGGGATTCGAGCGGCCTTGGACTGTGATAGAGAAGTTCAATAAAAATGAATACGGATCTCCAGATGATGATGGCGAGAACGATACTGACGAACGCAGAAACACCAGAGAGTGCTGCGGGCTGACCTGTCCGGTGTAAAAGATGGGATACGAGCGTTAACTTCAACCGCGAGGCATCAGAGAAAGGCGTTGAAGAAAAAGGGATGTACTATGCTGCAGCCGGTTTAGCTGCACTTTCTCTTGGCATAAATCAAATTTCAAAACTGCCTATCGTCACTTGCGCCTAGCACTTCCCTCTCCCAAACCACCAGTGAATCCTTTCCATCTCGTAATCTTCCTGGAATCAATAATGGAAGATCAAGCTGTTGACACCCGTCCGCAAAAAAGAGTCAAACTCGACACTGACCAGGTGGACTTAATTACATTGTCTCCTGATCAAGCTAGCGGCTCATCTACCATAGCCAAGAATCTAACAATGGATGACGGCGCAAAAGAATGCGAGGTAGGTATCACTGCCTTTGTCGACGGAGATAGAAGCCTCTTTCGAGGGATTCTTAAGAAGAGATATACAGATTTCATGGTCAACGAGATCTTGCCTTGCGGAACCGTGCTGCACCTCCGATCGATGAGTGCCAAAGGCCTGCAAGTGCAAAATTCACGCAATAATGGTGCAGAGGCTCCCGTGCAAGACGTCCTTGAACATGCAAGGCACGAGGCAGTGGCATCGGAGCCTCCTACGGCGGAACTCGAGTCAAAAGAGACGGGGATCCCGGGAAAGGCTAAGAGTTTAGATGACTCTAAAGAAGACGACATAGGCATCCAGAACCCAGAGGTAAATTCCCTATCACTTGAGAATTTGGTCAGGACTGACGAATTACAGATTTCCGCCGATGATCGCGTTAAACTTCTCGAGTATTTCAGCGAGGAAATAGTGGCACAGATGATCTCCCTGTATGAATCAATTCTTCGAAATCCTGGTAAGAAGTCTCGAGAATATTCGACCGTTCGGACAGCATTCACCTCCGACCGCAGTCTGCGGTCAAAAATCCATCAGGAGATCCGTCGCATTTTCCGCAGCAAGATCGACTCTACGACAGACAATGAGGGTATATTGGTCCTCACTGCAACAGCCATGTCGTCGAACAACAGTCGTAACCGCGGCTGGACAAAGCCCAAGGAAAAGTCTTCGCGACCGGGAAAACTGAGCTGGTTGGATCGTGGTGGTGAATACATCCATTTCACTCTCTACAAGGAAAACAAGGACACGCTTGAGGTCATTTCATACCTGACGAAACAACTCAAGACTAACAACAAGACGTTTCAGTTTGCGGGGACGAAAGATCGGCGTGCTGTGACCGTGCAAAGAGCCAGCGCTTACCGTATCGAAGCAGAGCGATTGGCCGCATTGAACCGTACCCTACGATATGCGGCGGTGGGAGATTTCGAGTACCAGAAACGTGGCCTGGAACTTGGTGATTTAACTGGAAACGAGTTTGTGGTCACGTTGAGAGACTGCCACCTTGATGAATCGACCCCGGAACAGAGCACCGCCGAGAGGAAGGCTGCCGTTCAGTCCTACCTCTCACGGTCGCTCCATCAGCTCTACAAGCATGGCTTTTTGAATTACTACGGTCTGCAACGTTTTGGGACTTTTGCTACCCGTACCGACGTCGTTGGTTTGAAGATTCTCAAGGATGACTTCAAGGGCGCCTGCGACGCAATACTCGAATTTTCGCCTGTGGCGTTGAACAAGTCTCAGCCCCCGGACAACGGCGTCCTCGTGAGCCAAGACGACCGATCTCGTGCTGAAGGTATCAATATATGGCGCACGACCGGTAGGATCAACGATGCTCTCGACAAGATTCCGCGCAAGTTTTCTGCCGAAACAGCCTTGATACGCCATTTAGGTAAACGCCCGCAGGACTATTTGGGCGCTCTACTTGGAATTCAGCGCAATCTGAGGCTTATGTATGTCCATGCCTATCAGTCCTTTGTGTGGAATCTTGCCGTGGGTGAACGGTGGCGGTTATTCGGTGGCATGGTCGTGGAAGGCGATCTAGTGCTGGTCCACGAGCACCGAGAGAAGCAAATCGCCGAGGAACCACTGAAGGAGACGGTGGACGCAGATGGAGAAGTTGTCATCGAACCATCTGGCGATGATCGCGCCTACGATGTCGACGACAGGTTTGAGCGCGCCCGCGCGCTCAGCGCCGCCGAAGTAGACAGCGGCCAATACTCCATCTTCGACATCGTCTTGCCTCTGCCGGGATTTGACGTCGTCTACCCCGCCAACGCGAGCGGCGAATGGTACAAGACATTCATGGCGAGCGAAGCAGGCGGTCGACTCGACCCGTACAACATGCGCAGGAAGCAAAAGGACTTTAGTCTGAGTGGCGGGTACCGCAAAGTCCTGGCGCGGATCGGAGAGACATTCGAGGTCAGCGTCCACGAGTACGGCGACCGAGACAGTGACAAGCAATTCGTCGAGACCGACATGGAGCGGATCCAGCGGGAAAAGCTGGCGTTGCAACAAGAAGAACCATCCGAGACCGCTGCAAATGAAGGTCCAAGCCGAACTCCGACAACGGACGTCGTCGCCGTCCCCGATGCCGCAGAGCAGCAGCCTCAACAACCGCCGCACGGAGCGGACGCCAAAGACAGCGACAACAACGGCGAAATACCCAAAAACACCACGCCGCCGCCGCCGAGCAGTCCGACGCTCAAGCTCGCTGCCGTGCTCAAGTTCCAGCTCGGTTCAAGCCAGTATGCGACAATGGCGCTGAGAGAGCTATCCAACGGCGGTATTCAGGCCTACAAAGCCGAATTTACGGGCGGGAGGTAAAACAAAGTTCGCTGACCCTTTCCCAAAGAAACAAAGTATAACAAAGAAAGAAAGACAAAAAAATGAGGGAATCGATAGGGCGTGCAACATTGATCAGGGAAATAGATGCTGGATGTGTGGGGCGGAGCGTCGACTAGTGATCGTGGTGATGCCTAATGGGATGAGCTACAGGGTGTGAAGGGGTGAGAGAGAAAGAGTACCAGGATATCCCCATGGATGTCCGTGGCATCGCGGCTGACAGGGAGCATTAAATTGAGAGCGTCCTGGTATGTAGTGTTTTCCATCAAAGTTGTGCTGACCGAAGAGCTCACCAACTCCTTCCCCTCGCTCTACTACGGTCAAGTACCCTGCGACTCTGAAAGCCCTCGATTCAACAAATACAGTTCCTGCCATTTCCTCTCACTCAAGACTTAGAGGTCTAGGCTCACGAATCGCCGGCGATATTCTCTGGCTAACATAAATAGTGAAGAGACTGGAGTACCTCGAGGATTTCCAACGTGTCCATGCCGTTTCACAGAGGAGATCAAGTCATCGTCAAGTCCGGCTCGTAGCCTTCAAGCATCACCAGGGCAGGAGAGACATGTCATGGGAAAATACAGCGGGACGGAGACACACATACACCAGGTCACTCTTACCGAATGCTTCATCCTCTGGATGAGCTGGTTCCATCCATTCCGCCTCGAACGGATGTCCGACTGCCGGGAGCCTGAAGCCGTACAATAGTCAGTACTTGGCCATGGTGGCCCTCGTGTCCAGCAGCTCGAGGAGAGCGGTTTGGACGTGCTCTTGCCACTCGCGCAGTTGTCGATCTTGGAATTCAAACCCTTCGCCTGCCATCGACTTTCCTTCTCTGACCGCCGGGGCCGATATTCTGATAAGGACGTTGTAATGCTTCTCCTGAAGTTCCGACGCGCTGGATGGCAGCGCAAGCCTAATGACCTTGTCGATGTATTGGTTGACTCTCTTCACACTCACACTCCGAGCGATTTCGTGGTTACCTGTCGCTTACGTCAGTTATTCACGCTAAGAACAGAAGGGGACGGTGGCTGGCACGTACAATCCTCGCAGATATTGAGAATTGTACATTGTTCACAGTCGGACGAGGGGATATGTGTGAGTTTGGCGTCGAACGACTTCAGCGCCCATTCGTATATCGTCGCAGCAGTGTAAGCACGAAACAGGGCCCGTTCGGACATATGAGGCCCGGCGATCAAAGCCTTCAGGCGTCGTTCTGTCTGTCCATCGGCGGACGAATCAACCAACAAACGAGTCAGCTTCAGCGGCTCACCCGTCAGCCTTGACGAAGTTGGCGTCACGATCCTAGTGCCCTGTATGATGTGAACGAAGGTTTCGTCAATCTGTTGCATGGTTTTTTGCAGGACGTTCTGGATATGTCGCTTTGGAAGAGGAGGCTCGTAGCCCGTGCTGCCGCGGTGCTCTCGAGGACGGAGGAGAAATTGCGACTCCCATTCTTCGAGATCGATTGGACTGGAATGAACTGGGGGTTTTCTTTCGGCTTCGGCGTCCCGAAAGTCAACCGAGATGCTATCGGAAGGAGAACTTGATGTCGACGTAGCATGAGAAGTTTGGCCCGCCTCATTTGAAAGAGAAAGACGCAATGTTTCGCCGCCATCACCCTGGGCAGGACTCTCTCCAGGGTCTTCAAGATTGAAAGTTGAACCTTCGTTCAGCGTGTTGTCGGTCTGATGTGGGTATGTAGATTTTCGTTTGCCGCCCTCAAAATAGTCTCTCATTTTTGGCCCGTAGTCCGCCCAATTCCGGAGAAGCCTATCTAGCTTCAGCCCGTGGCTGCGGCCCAAACCCACAATTTTATTCGTGATCTGCTCCTTGGTGAAGGCAGACTCTGCCTCTTCAGTTGTATCTTGAAACTTTAACCGAACTTCTGCCGCGAGCTGGGCAACGGTAGAGAAAGTTGACTGAGAAAGGAGGCTGTCTAGGACATCGCAAAGGAGAACCTCCTCTGGTTTGGTCCAGTAACACATTGTAAGAGAGGGCGGTGACGGGTTGAGCTCTGAACTAGAGGTGATGTAAGAGAGGGGTAGCTATGAAGAAGACTCGGGCCAACGAGAGAAAGACACAGGCACGGAGTGAGATAGAAGTAGGGAACGAGAGGGAAGTGAGGTGAAAATGAGATGGAAGAGAAGTTACTAGTATCTGAGAACCCATAAGCCTACCTACTTCACAGGTCCTGTTCATCTTCCCCAGTGCCATTCACTGTCTCGTTTCGACTATTCACTCTTTTGTATTCCCTGGATGGTGCTACACACTTGGGACTGTGCATCTGCCCACTGCTTAAGCGATCGAGATGTTTGTGGGGACTAGCTCCCACCAGCAAACAAAGAAAGACAACAATTGGCCTCAGATTCCGTGGAAGCATCTCCAGAATTCACTTGGTTGGTCAGGCTCCTGCTCGCTCGGCGTGACTTCCACACGTCTACACCGCACTCATCTGCCTTATTTCTCAATCCTCACCTCACTTTCTTCTCGATTGCCCGTGGAAATTCTGCATATTAATCACCATTCGAGACGTAGAAAGTGCGAGATTCCCGACCATTGTTCCCTCCCATCTCGTCTACCCACAGCAATCGAGTTATACGCAACTCTCAGCCGAACCTCACATCCACTTCAACCACACGGCTAAGTCCCAACATACCAGCCAGCAATAATTGCTTCATTTCTCATGTGAATACCCTTTGAGAAAATTACTCAATTACATTGAGGTTCAGCTACCAACAAACCCCAGACGACACTGTTCCAGGACAAATTCAACATCCTCCAGCCCATACGCTCAGTGTAGGAACAAGGGATTGACGTGTGAACCTCCCTCTTCCCATATTGCCAGGGGGCGCGTCCAGCGAAATCGATCCGGGTTACCACCGAGGTCCAGCAGAGAGAACAGAGCTCCGTCTCCAGAACTTGGGACATCCCGGAGCTTGAGAGTCTGTCTCATGATGATCAATGTCAACCGGTCCTTCAATCTCTTCGTGAAGTTCACATCGCACTAGACACCGGCGTCGAACGTACAAAGGCATCATTTCTCCTCCAATACGACAAAAAGGCCAACTCCGGACCACCAGCGGACGCCCCGACAACTGTCCAGTGGCAAAACTATGAAAACTCCGTTCCAAGTCAAGTCGCTTTCAAAGACGAGGGGCAAATGATATGGGGAGACGAGGTCGAGCAGGAGCTTAGGACTGAAGGAATCAAGCAGTCGCAGGTCATTCGGCACCTGAAAGCTTCTTTGTTCGACGCGCAAATCCTTTCCCAACGAACACCTCAGCAAGAACTCTCACGAAGTCTCACCGAAATGAGAAAAGTCGAGCTCAAGAACAGCTTACAGTCTTGCGGCGAGGATGCTGACGATTACCAACTGGAAACCCTGTCACTTTACTCCGACTACATGGTCGCTATGTCCTTTATTTCATTGCAAAGACCCATGGAAGCCTTGGTTGACCCGTTCGCGACAACCGCGAGCTCTACAAAGCTTGGAACCCACCGGGAAACGTGCAAATTCACGTTTCGTTGCCATTACCGGTAGGACCAACTCCCAGACAGGTGCGATAGGTGGTAGCTGCGGCGAAAGCGGCGGGTATACCCAACCCTTACCCAGTGGCCGAGCGTGCTTCAGCCTTAATCCATCATCTCTTCAAATCACGCGCCGATGGCCAGTCAATCATCGGGAAGAGATATCTAATTTCTGATGTTGGCGCTGGTTCCGCGGATCATCAAGTTTGGGAAGTGGTCGAGCAACAACCCCTACAACTACGGGAGGTTGGCATTCCTGAGGAAGCCAAAACCGCCTGGTGCGGCGGAGCCTTTGTCAACCAAATAGCTACTCAACAGATCATGAGGGATATTCGCGACATCGACCGAGTACTGAGAGCAACACAGAGGAGCAATGGACCCAGTGACCGACAGTCGTTTGAACTCAAGATAGCTAAGAAGTTCGAGAAGGAGAAGCTACGATTCGAAGGAAGAGAAACTATCTACCTCCGGATTTAGGGCCTCCCAGACATACCAGAATTTAGGCTCCGCGGGGGAAACAAGGTGGTCCTTTAGCCGGAAGATATCAAGAACGCTTTCGCGCCTTGTCTTGGGAAAATCGTCCTTATGCTTGATACCGCCATCAAAAGTCTCGAAAGGCAGACCTCGCAAGGGGCGGTACAAGGCATTGACGAGATTATTGTGGTGGGAGGCGTCAGCCAAAACCGATACTTTCTCGGCCAAATTCGCAACCGATATTCCGGCGGTCTAAGAAGTCTTTTCCGCTACGCGATCCCAGTTACTCTTCCCCCTGAGGCCGCGTCGGGGTCTCTCACTGTTGCACATGGGGCCGTGCTGCCATCTGCTGAAAGAGATCTTATCAAAGAAAGATACTTACGCAGAAGTTTTTGTGTGGGACGGCATGACGAGATTGACAGGCGTATGTACCCGGCGGAGAGCTGGTACACAAGTCCTCAGAATGGTCATGTTCGTGTCAACGTCACCCGTTTCCTCTTCCGACAAGGTTTCCATCCTCAACGGTTTTCCTCCGCGCCTTTTCAGGGCTGGCGGGGCCTTATCCCCGATGACATGGAGGATGGAAGTTGGTTGATCCAAGAGCAACTCTACTACTCAGACACCCTTTCTCAGGATGGTCTATGGATAGACGATCCGACCGTCGACATTCAGGCTATGCCGGCACCGCTCTCCTTCCGTATCTCGTCGGAAGAAGCTCGACTATTTCCTCGGGAGCGGGGACCAACTAATGCCGAGTGGTTCTACCTCGAGTATGATCTGATCCTGTCTCTGGACGGACATATCATGACGTTCATCTTCACTATCCCCAAGAAAGGGCGATTCCCTAAACGCGGCGACCGCTATGCAAATGTTATGCGTAAAGCGGGTCATTATGACACTGCGGGAGTTTCTAAGCTATTCAACTCTGCTTAGAAACGAACAATCCGGTCGGCCTTTTTGGAAAAACACATTACAACAGCATCCGCCTCTAAACAGAAGGGCTGGACTTGGCCCTAGGTTCTGGGCGGCACAACACAGCTGATGAATTTCCTTAGTCCAATCCCCTTCAGTTTCCTCTGAAACACAGCGGAATCAATCAAGGTTGCTCCCTACAGCCAAACCTGGCCGTTCAAAGGACAACTAAGAGCTTTGGCGGACCTTTGTTCCATATGCATGGCTTTGATTGGGAACGTAGGTCTAGGACATGAAGCTTATCGATGGACAGGATATTTTTCATCGAGCCCTGGAAGACGGAGACATGTGGCAGTTGCTTCAATCGTTTCCTCATTCACTCCTTCATGCCCGCTCAATCTTCGGAGAAACATCTCCCAGACGTGGACCAACATATCCCTGCGCTTTTGGGTAAATCCTGCCGACTGTCGATGGGATGCCAAGGCGAGGAGCAGCAAGATTGGAGAATAGATGAGTTTTGAGACAACAAAACACGATAAAGGCGATGATGACATATGCTCTAAAGAGTTAAAAACGCATTGTAAGGGTATTCTCACACTGATTCTCTCTCCCATCCTCTGGTTTTGTTCTAGCCTCGTTCTCCTGCTCCCAGCTATTGGATGCCTGGTGTGCATGGCCCGGGTCCGACTCCAGGCCCCGAAGAATGAGAGATGAGGAACAGGGGAAGTGAAGAACTACACCTCACCTGTCGCTTTTCTTGTTTTTTTCTTTTCCAGGCGTAACCAAGTAAAGACTGACCCCGAGACGGAGTCCTGTACGCACCTGAAGGACAGATATGCACACTCAATTCAAGCCCGACTGCACATGCAGGCGACCTATTCTTGGCCATCGTCGGGCTACCAGATTCGTGCTGGTTGTGCTGCGCCCTGGCCAGACGTGCATATGCTTATTTACCTCACGCTCGACAAATTTCCCTTCGCTAGGTGCTTCCTGTATTGCGACTGCATGGTGGCTGCTGGCAGTCAGCTTGAGGGTGAATATGACCACCGTCTTTAAAGTCACAAGCCTGACGCTGAGGATCACGCTCACGATCCTATGGCTGGTGATGAAGATTGCGTCTGGTGGCACGTGAAGGTAAGACGTGTCGCCTACGACGGCCTCCATATCGTCGTTGCGCCCTTGAACTCCTGATCGAAGAAAAATCTGGGCGTCTAGGGGAACCTCTTTGACGATAGAATGCCCCCCCCTGATCCGTTGTTGAAACTCTGAAGCGAACCTCGGCAAACAACCCGGGCTGATAATTTACACCAGGCAAGATTTAGGCAGTAACAAGTCAGTGTTGTCTTCCCACTCTGACAACCATTTCGACATGAGTGTCGCTGAAAGACGGGATAAATAAATGCTCAGGAGACTCCAACACGACAGGCATGCGAGCATCAGGTAGCTTGATCAATGACCAATCCGGACGCACCATCGGATAAGAAATCGAGGCTCGTTGGAATCTTTCTAGGTGTGTTCCGGAGCACAATGTCAAGCAATATAGATATATGAAAGAGCGCAGGCTCTTGAGGCTTGGAGGCGGTTCTGGTATACATTTCCGCGTGCAGGTTAGTCACAGAACCTCAAACAAACAAACCAAAACCCTCTCCCCTCTCTGCTCTTCTCTTTTTTTTTTCCTTTTTCTGGCAATTTATCCGCCTCCACCATGCACAAGTATTTTCCTAGTAGGCCGATTCTTCCGTGTTGAGCATCCCCACCATTAAGCCTTCAGAGGATGCTCTAACGGCATCATCAAGCAGGTGTTGAATCTCTTTCGACGTGCTTCTGCATCTGGATAACTAGGGCGAATTTGGAATTCATCTTCACCTGGACACAAAGGTGTCGTGCAGCAAACTCCCGTCTTTCACGGAATGCCTCCTGCGTAAGCGCTCAACTATTATAACGGAGCATATTCAAAGGCAAAGACGCAGACTTGCTGCTCAAGCGATGTTAAAAGGTGGAAGTCGATACCGAACCTCCACTCGCGGATATTAATTGGCTGCACCGCAAGGCTAACCGGGAATGGTTAGCGGCTGCACGAGATGAAAGTACAAGTGAAAGCCTGTACTACTCAGTACACCGAGTTGTTACCCCCTCCCCCTATGAGGGACGCCCGTTATACGCGGTCGAATACGAGTTTATACTTGCTGCTAGTTGGAATTGTGATGGTCCTTTGAGCCGATTTTTCCACGCGCCAGGGAATTTACGAGTTGGCTCCGAGGGGACACAACCTTGTGTTGTTTGCGTCGAAAGTTCAATGTCAACGACGTGCTCCAATTTGCCAACTCTGCTGAATAGCAACAACTCATCAGCCGTGTCTTCTTTGCTTGTTGCCTGGAGCTCCTGGACGTTCATTTCCGCCTCTCTTCGCGCGCCCTTGAAGCATTATAATCTTCATTATCGACTCGAATGCACAGATCGCCCGACCACGGTGCGAAGCCTCCCGGGGATATGGGTCTTTGATAGCCTTGTACGGCTATTTGCTTACCATGGCTTGCCTCCAACACCGGCCTCGGTCTGAGGATCCCAGGAAAGCTAACACAGTACGAATCGGTGGTCCCGTCGGATTCTGTCCACAACACCAACAGACACGAGCCGTACTCAGTTCCGGCCCTGCTTCCTGCCCTTCCCTCGTCTCAGACAGCCACTGGCACGAGAAATAATGCTACGGCGGTCAGGGTCAATTCCGTGTACAGAGCGCATGGATGTTTTCAGCGAAGCGCCCGATGCCATAGCTGGAGTCCCTCTTTCGCCGCCCAGCTGTGCAGGGCGTTGTCCTGGATAAATCTCACAAATTCCCCGGGGCTCGGTTCGTTGCCCTGTTATCCTACAAAGCAAGTCCAATTGTTGACAACTGACGAAGGGATGACGTCTAGCTATATAACTGATTTGGCGAGCCAAAACCAATGATAATAAACGATGGCGACGACGGCGACAAGGAAGTCTACCTTGTCGGGAGATGATCTCGATCCTCATCTCCCCCCTCTTCTAGGCCTTCCTAAACTCGCTCCGCCTTTCAAGCCCACGCTTTATTTCCATTCCCGTCACTCTTCACCCTCTCAAGCCGTAGCATGTTCTCGCGCATCTCACTCTCACTGGGCAAGTTGACCACGATCAAATAGAGTATATCCTTGTGCAAGACGCGTCGGATCAGCCCTTTGTTCCTCCTCGGCAGTCTGCCCATCTCCGCGTTCCTGACGTCTGTCTCGCTCAATTCGTACCCTCTCCTCCTCGCCCGCCGCTGGGCCCTGCGACCTCTCCGCTTGGCCTTCGGGTCGAAGTGGCCGCCTGTGAGCAGCCCGAGGATGGTACCCGAGTTGGCCGGGTGGTTGGGGTCTGCGAATCGCGAAGCAAATTTCTTTTCCGGCGGAGGCATCACCAGTTTGCTGTCTGGGTGCATCCCCGCGTAGGACGCCTGTGCGCGGCGATCGAGATAACTCGCTAGGAAGCCGGAGGAGGAATGCAGCTTGTCCTTCACGCTTTGTGGGAGTACGCTTTGAGTGGCGCCCGAGGTCCCTCCTGCACTGTCTAGCGCTGCTTGAGCAGCGGCATCAAGCGCTGGATAGATCAATGGCGCGGATTCAGGGAGAGACAGCTCGCCCCGGCTGACGCCCGAGGTGAGGCGAATCTTGGCGAGCTTTTGCTTAAGTTCCGAGTCGGGGATTGAGGTCGCTTTGACGAGTGCTTGATCGGTCGAGCTGAGGCCCGTGTTCATCAGGTTCATGCCGAGAATCGGGTCATGCGGGTTGTCGGGCTTGAAGGTCATGATCATGCAGTACAGACCGCGGGGTTTGAAGAGCGATTCGTTAATTTGATCGAGGTACGTATTGCGGCGATAGCGGGACTGGATCTCTTTGCCTGTTTCGCTGGCGACCTGTATCGCGATGGTGACGGCCATGATGATCGGATTAGGCACCATTCCCACGGCAAAGCAGGCCACGTTGATGACATCGAAGACGGGGCTGGCTTTTGAGGCTCTGTCCAGGTCGTTGATGAAATCGATGAAGGTCTTTTGATCTATGCCAGCACACTCGCCCAGCAGAGGCGCATACGCCCGAACGAATCCCCGCGATTTGTCCTTGGGTCGACGCTGAGGAAGAATAACTGGACATGGGAGCGGTTTGAAGGTCTGAGTGGGGCTTGGAGCGATCTTGTGCTCGTGCAAAAAGGCCCTCGCAACTTCTTCGTCCGATGCAGGGCTTGTAGCCGCTGCTTGCTCGTATGTAGGAGGTGGTTGGCTCAGCTCCTCGGCTGCCTCATCGAGGGCCCATTCCGCCCTATCGTTGTCCAAATCGGAACTGCTCACGCTCGAGGAATCGTCGTCGTCAGCGCCCTCGTCATCCTGGGTATGAGATTTCTTCTCCCCAAAATGGCTGGTGTTGGCGCCGGGGTTAGTCCTAAACCTAGAGCTTTCACCTGCCTCACTTTCGCCTAGAGGATTAGGAGAAATCCCACGCTCTCTCGCGGCCTTCTTTTCTTTGTGGTCTGCAATGGCTTCCGATGCTGCTCCAATTCCTGCGCCGATGCCTTTCACGAGCCTGCTGATGATAGGCATAACTGGAAGACCGAGGGGGAGTGCGGGGTTCACTTCGAGATTGGAATATAATAATGACTTGTTCTGAAGCGACGCAGGTTGAGGGGTGTTCTGGAATGCTTCACAGAGTAAGTGGCGTTCCTCTGCCGAAGTGTTCTTTGAGTTTGGGATCTCTGAGATTATATAGGTATATATCTACCCCAAACCGATCCGCAGCTGAACAGAAGTACACAGGCAGCGACGAAATCCGTGCCATTCGAGGTTAGGAGCGCGAAAAGATTGAAGCTTGGGGCTTTCAACACTGCCTCCCGTCCCCAATTAGCACGCTTCGCGAGATGGTCCACGACGGGAAAGTCCAATTGGCACAAGCATTGGCAACCAGGGCCAAGAAAAGCTTAGCACGAGGCTAATTAGTAATGGCGGTGTAAGCCCTAATGGCGGGACAGAGCAGATAGGAGGCCTAGTGCCCAGCTCTGCCAACCAAGTGCAAGGCGCAACGCCATTTCGCCTGGGTTGCCTGATTCAATGGAAAACGCGTGCTTGTCAGCCGCCGCGCAATCTGGCAACACGGACGTACAGTATGTAGGAGTCGAGCAACAAAGCTTTACCTTCGCGGAGTTGACTTTTATTGGAAGCGTCAATAGGACTTGATGGATCCTCCGAGCGAGGCACTGGGAAGCAACGAAGCAACTTAGCCGGTCCACGCTCTCCTTTGCTTCTCGTTGCTTTTGCCGTGAACAGCTACACAAACCAGACGTTTGGCGTCTTCGCTCTCGGAAACGGCTGCGCAATGTGACGGTCTCATGGTGAATCTGCGTTGACATCCCGAGCGTGGTACGGCAGCAGGGGACGCTAGCTCAGTCGGGTTCTTAAACAGGTCTGTACAACATCCTGGCGAGCTCGAATGCCCTCAACAAGCGGTCAGTCGATCCCTACGACCTTTTTATTAGAAGAGGGATCAGAATGGGCTCTTGGACAATTTTGACACATAAGATACGTCCGCGTCTGGCACGTAACGTTCCGAGGAAAATGGTGAACTGGCATCGCTCGGGTCTGAACACGTTGCAGCCCTTGCCGTGTGAAGATAATCACCTGCCCATCAAGTCGCACCGCAGAACAAGTTCAGCAACCCGGAGCGTTCATCGGTCTCTGAGCTTATGTCACGTCGATGTATCCTGAGCTGTTTGGAACCTGGTGCGTTCGTGAGCAAAAGCTTGGATATGTAGAAATGCGGTCAGGTTGCACTACCGCCATGATCCTGGCACTGCTGATCTCTGAACGATAATGCTGCTAAAACTGTGGAGTAGCAGATCGCCTTCCAGATATTCAAATTGCATGATCCCTGCTCTTGTCGGAACAATCAAATTCCTGGAGACCAGCCGACCTCTTAAGGCCTTGATCCCATTGCCCTGAACATTTCTTGATGAAACCCTTGTGTCGTATTTGCCTGTTTCATATGGTGACGACAAAGATTGGTTGCCCAGTTGTTTGTCCACAGTGCCGCACCAAGAAGATTTCGACTCGGAGTGAGGTGATCATCCGCGGCTTCAATCTTGGGTCATGTGATATTGGAGGCGAGGCAAGGTGCATTGGATTGTACTTGTAGGTTGACTGCCATAACTGAAGCCTGATCCTTGTTGCTTCTGATCCCAGGGCTTTTGCACCAACATCATCCTTGCCAGAGTTGGATCGGAATGATCGAGAGGGGTTAGATCCAATGCTGGGGTAGCTGCTAGCATGACCCTAGATTGTTGCCGCCTCCATCTGCAGCAGTGACATGCAGAACTGAGTCCAAGTCCCAACCTCCCGCAATATCAGACACTGAGTCCTTGGGATTTCCCAGAGGGAATGGTGCCTGTCGGCGGGTGCAAAGTTGGTCGATCACGTCTGCTCGGCAGCGATCAGCGCTGCATCCGCGTCTGCTCCAGTGTACTCCGTACGAGGTACACAATGGGAGCCACCAGAGGTCCCAGGGAACCCCAGCCACGGCCCCGCAGTTTTTGCAGGACCGCTTCGTACAGCGTAGAGCCCCAAGCACGAATTCACCAACCAGAGGAGAAACAGGAGAGCACGAGAAGGTGTCTCTTTAGCCCGAGGGGAGGGACGGTTGATCCCGTTGTTTCTGCTTATTGAGATCAATAGTTAAGTCACCTTGAGCAGTGAGTGTGACTAAAGCTGCAAGGCGAGAATAATCATGCAATTTGGACCTCTGTATGCCCGCAGAACTTCCTCCCCGCACCTAGAAGACATTATCTGCGTATGGACAAACCGAAGCCGCGGCGACCATTCAGTAACTTAGGGAGTGTGGAAAGCGTTTTCAAGCCAATGCCCGAAGCCAAAATGTCGAGGATTGGCATCCAGACTATGACCGACCTCGCCCTCCAAGAAGTCTCCTCTTCCTAGAGGAACATCGCTGAAGGACTTGTGCGGACACATTGGTTGGCTACGAGCCATCTGTGCCTGATTATTGCATTCGAAGTTGCAAGGGAATCAGGGATTTTGGGCAACATGATCGCTCTCATTATAGGTTTCCCTTTCCCACCGATTTTCACTTGAAGCTCGTCAAGAAAAACGCTCAATGCGAACGGGGCATCCATGGGAGTCGGACAAGCGAGAAAATGACCCGGGAGCACCACATTGTCGGCAAAATAGACACATGATGGAAGAGCAAGTCATTAAGAATCAAAGTTTGAGTCATGCGGAGACCTGGGATGTGAGAGCACGGCAAAGGAATCATTTGGTTGATCCCCTGAGAATATTATTCGCTGGTGCGGAGGGCTTGAAACATTGTTCTGCAGCAGCTTTTCTTCGGTGGGTGATTGCATGCACCATGGCTCGATGCCAAAGTGTTGCATGTGAGAAGAGAATTCGCATGGCTCTGTGTAATCGACCTACAGTAGAGCCGACGGCGTGAGTGGCCGACTACTCGTACATAATCAGTGGCTCTTACTCCGTTTCTTTGTCGTCGCTGCTCGCCTCATGGGCGAGCTGAGCCGGAATGGAGCCGTTGCGTCGGCATTCACGAGACAGTTGCGCATGTGTACTCCGTTCTCCGTACACCATACCTGTAAGGTGACTGCGCATGGATATGTTGGTGTCGAGATCCATATCTCGAATATCTCCTTACCAATAAGCTGAGAAGTCCGGCAAAAAAAGTCTTCTGAAAAAACCAACCACTGATAATTCCACGGCTAACCCAGGTGACGCAACATCAAAGTGGACCTGGGCTTTGGGGGCACAGGCTTGCTGTTTAGATTTCATGTGCATTCGGATCCATTCTCTGGGGCCGTGTGAGGCGACATTACTCCGGTACAAGGGGGGAAGCAGCCAAAGGTGAGGACTGACGAGCGTGATTGTACAAATTCTCCATATCTGGGTTTTGTATGACCTGTAGGCAAAGCTGTCAAGACTGTGTCCGATGGGTCCCTGCACTTGTAGCAACTGCATGCCTTTTTTGCGCAAGGGTCATTTCTTCGTGATTGCCCTAGCGATCCTGAGTTCCATCCCATCTCTTTCCAAAGAGCAATCTGGATGATGAGGCAGCGAAGGGGCGGGAGCGATCTGTAGGGGTAATAGCTGCGGGGCCCTGCTTAACCCGACAAAGCCTGGCGGGCGCCTCCTAAGGTGATCAGCATCGAACTTGTTTCGGTTGTTCGGTTACTCAGCCTATAGATGCGTGCCCAGGAACTTCCCCATATGCACGCAATGGACGAAGAACTGGTAGACAGCAATAGCTGACCGAGGCGCCCCTGGGTCGAAGGGTTCAGGATTGCAATCTGCAAAAAAGCCATGGCTGCCAGGACCTGAATATTTGTTGAGCTTGGCTGGTGAAGACAGAAAATTTGGTCGTTGAAGCTCTCCTCATGGTGGGATTGTCGGATCGATTCGAGAGTCAGTCTTACCACTTTGACTCTCCGTCTTCCGGCGTTTGTCCATATTTGAACTGTGGAGAGGGGAGATTGGAATTTGTGCGGTCCGTGTGTCTGTGTTATGCTAAGAAAGAAATACGAAGTCGTGGGCCCAAGGCATCTCCGCGTGGGTTGCTAAGGACAGTGCAGTAGCTAAGGAGGACGATATATTTAATACAAGCCAGTACTCCGTGCAGCAAGGGTGGTCAGTTGATGGGAGTCCGTCGCCTCGGTGGACGCGGTTCATGGCCGCCAGTAAGACCAAGGTACGGAGGAGAGGCGGGAGTCTGCGATAGTGTCAGCATCATTTACGTGTGCGTCTCTAAGAAGCGAACCCTAATCCGAAACATACAAATAGAGCTCAAGGCTCCAGAGTCATTGGACGGAATGAAAGAGGAGCCGAGTGGTGGTGTGCGAATGGTAGAGAATCGGAGTTGGATGTATTATTGTGCATACTGCATGGAGTATGTAGAGGCTGCATTCCCAGGAAGAGGCCGGACCATGGGGCAAACAAGGGCCAGGCTCACAACACCTGTGGGTGCCAGGCCCTATGGGTGCTCTACCCATGTACCGTAGGGGGGCTTACAACCTACTAGCTCGGTGCCTAGGTGCCTAGGTGCCTAGAACTAACCAACCTTAACTGCACCAAGTCATCCCAAGGCACCAAGTATCAGGCACCACAGGCATCAACCACCTGGGCTGGTAAGGCATAACGAACCACACACACACATCATACAACCACGCACCCAGCACCAAGCATCTGAACGCGTATCCCACTCCCCTTCGTGCGCCCTTAGTGCCCTCGACAGAATCGGGAGCTAACCAACTAGCCCACCTAACAGGAAACTCCCGCCCAGGGCTTGACTCCTGAAAAGTGCTTGGGCCTTTCCTGTGTGCCAATTGTCAATCGTCAACTTACTGGCTGCCGAACTGCGTTCGAACCTCTCCTTCCCTTTTATCATCCGTTTCCAATTCACCACCATCACCACCGCCATCCATCCCCCCTCTATATCCATCCATCGACACAATCTCTTTGTTATTGTCGTCGTCGTTATCACTGCCCCCTTCGCCCCCCTCCCCTTTGCGTTTACTTCCACCTACGGCCGCCCTCCACGAGACACCTTGTACACGCGCCGCGGCTGCCAACTTTCGTTTCTTGAGCTGCTGGGTTTCGACTCTGGAGCTTCCTGTCCCTGCGAAGACAAGTTTCTTCCGGCCCTTCGCTTCTTCTTCGACGTTCGACACTTATCGTCACGTACATAATCCACCTTCATTCAATTGCAATTCAGTCTCGGGTCGATTCGTGACCATTGTATGCCCTGTCCGTCCCGCAAGGCTCACCCTCTTGTCTCTGACCAGTTCACGCACTTATCCTGTCATGTCGAGACGTGGTGCCACAATTTAGAAAGAAAATATATCCCTGGCCCAAGGTGCGTACTGCTCTCTAAGCTGGCCTCTCGTCGAGTCCGCAAAACTGGAAATTGGCTCGATCACATACTAACTGGAATGTCCGCAGTCGAATTTCTCGCGGAAAGAACTCTCCTTTATCCCGCCCCCAAAATTGAAACAGGATTACCGAAACACGACCTGGCCCTTACTAGGCATCTTTTGCTGAAACATAGTCAAAGGAGAAGATGGCTGCTTTGGTCCAAACACTGCCTCCCCAAACAACGACGGTTACAATGTTGGGTCGCCCCTCGTCTTCGGGGGGCTATCCTTCTCCAGGCTCACAAGGCCAGATGAGAAACCAGCCTAGCCGATATAACATGCCCGCCACTGGGTACAGAGGCATGCCAGCTAGTGGTCCCATTGCTCCTTATGCCTTCACGTCCACGCCGCAATTGGCCACCACCAATGTCAACGCCAATCCTAATGCACGCCCCTTCGCTCTGAATACCGGGCGGTCGATTTCGTCTCCCAAAGCCCCTCAACCGGCTGCCTCTCCTTCCTCCCAACCTTCTACAAATGGTCTTCCACATGTCGATGCTGGAAATCGTCCTCTGTCACTAGGCCTACCCCCTATACCATCCGGGTCCCTCATGGGTTCTCAATCGACAGTGGTTGCCCCTAAGCCATCGCCGGATCGTTATCGAAGGAACGTGCGACGAAGTGACGGAGAGAGTGGTCCGAATCGTGTCCCTACAGGTTCCACCTTGCCCTCAGGCTCTGGCATGGCTGCGGTCGGCTCCCTTTATAACCATCCAACTCAATCCAGTAGTACACCGTCCCTGCGTTCTCAGCACTCTTACCGGAGCTCACCCCAAGGATATAACCTTCAGCCCAAGACAGCTAGCGCTGATGATCTCCAATTGGTTCGTCCTCAGCCTACGGAGCTGGCTGCAAGGTATCGGAGACGCAGTTTTGGCAGCATCGAGACAGCAGGTCTAAATCATTCTTCGGATAGTCAAGAAACCGTCTCCCCTCATCCGAAGGCATTCCTTGATTCGTCACCAGTACAAGAAGATATCTTGCCGCCACCTCAGCGACCCGTTCATCACAGACACAACTCGAGTGCTGACAGTGTTGCGTCCTCCAAGTCTGCCAGATCTTCCCGACCTGAATCAGTAAGTATTATCCGGTGATATGTTGTCAGAATTTCCCACTCACAATCCAACAGTCACGAAATGAACAGCCTCCCACGACCACTACTCCTGGCCCATTTCCTTCACCCAAGCAGGATCCGAGACTTACCGCACCCCCTCGGCTTGGAGATTCCAGCATTCGGCACCCGTCTCCCTTATCACGGCCAGTCAACATCCTCCCTGATAACACAGACGAGGACCGCCCTGCGGCATCAGGCTCGACTCCCTCTCAGACACCCTCTGCACCAAGCTCCGCTGCTGAGCAACTCGTAACGGTGAGCAAAAAGGAGGTAAAAAAGTCTAAATCAAAATTGCGGCGGGCATTTTCTTTCGGGAGCGCAGCAGAACTTAGAAAGGCTACTGCCCAACACAACTTGGAGAAGAGTGTGGCCAACAATCAGACAATATCCAAGAGGAATTCAAAATATGAGGACGAGCTGGAGCCCGAGCAAGCGCGCATTGCTGAAAAGCAGGAGGCTGCAGGATTGGGCGAAAGCATTTACTCGGGTCAGGGCACCTTCTTTACCGGCTCGACCGACAATTTGTCCATTTCTTCGACAGCTTCTTCGGCCTCAGTTATGCTTCGTAAAATGGGCAAGGGAGTGAAGAAGGGAACCCGATCTCTTGTCGGCCTGTTCCGGCCGAAGTCAATAATTGGTGTCCCCGCTGCTGATGCGCCTGTGAACTCGGCAAGTATGGCACAGGTTTCAATGGTCACTGTTGAAGCAGAAAGAGAGAACGTCAATGTCAATGTCAATCCTCACGAGCAAGCGGGAGGTGGTACGGGGTTCCCCAAACTTGAACGCAATTCCATCGACACCAAACTTTCCTTCGAAAGTGGCACCGTATCCAGCGATACACGATCACGGCGAAGCATTGTCGGTGGTGAGAAGGAGCGTGCTGAGGTTCTCGCTGCTGTGAAGAAAGGCATCCTTAAGCGAACCGATTCGAATCAACCATCGCCGAAAGTCAAACCATACGACTTCAAAGCTCCTGATTTCAACTTACCTCAAATTCCTCACATTAACGATTCGCCGAAATCGAGCGCTCCTAGTACACCTGCTGATGAACCACCTCGATCCGGTCATCGCCGAACCGACTCAATCACCATTGAAAGTAACGATCATGACGATTACTTTACTTCCATGACTAGACTTGGCAGTTTAGACTCAAAAAATATACCGGTAACCCCTCAGGGTCTCATTCGAAACATTTCATTCAGCCCACGAATTCAGTTCTACGATACTTGGCCCAGTGGAGAGTACGATCGGCGGGGTGAGATAGCAACTTGCAATCGATTGACTCCGATGCTGGCTCAGCAAATCAAAGAGGAGCTCAATACCTTCAAGATGGTACGTGACATTGCCTGCTTTGCACTGGATAATGCTAACCCCTTACAGGAAATGGAGGTTCACGAGTCATCCAAAGTCTACACTCACTTCTTTTAGTGCGGATGATCATCAATGGACAATCCTAGAAATGTCACTTTGTTCACCGAGTTTACGTTTGAGCAAGAAGTGATCACTGGCACGCGAGTCACCAAGAATACTCACGATTTCTACGACCCTTGCAGTACATTTGCAGCAAAGCATTGTTTTCGTCGCTAGATAACGGCGCGAAACTGTTCGTCGGGGCCTATTCTCCACCACGGGCCCTGTGTACATTTAAGAAAAGCACGTTCGTGTTGCATTTCATCCCGATCATGAAATTAGGTTCGAAGTAAGGTGTCCGGCGCAAGGCAACAATCACCCAAGGATGGTTATTAAGGTGGCATCAAGAGAGAATACATGTTGATCTTGGTTTTCAGTCTGGAGAAAGGAGGAAATTTCATCATTGGACCTTTCAGCCTACCCTTTTTCTAATCGAGGACCACTTGGTTTGGGAACTTGACTGAGCTTTGTCGTTGGAGTGATGGGCATCACAGATTGGTTCCTATTGGAACCGGCTTGGATGTTATTTAGCCTAGTACAAGTAGGAGACCAGCTGATCACTGGGTGTCTCTCATACCCTTTGGTTCAAGGTCAGAGAGAGAAGGGGAGGACATGCAGCTCTTTCTCCGAGGTGGGGGAAAATAATTGGTTTTCTGGTCTCCTGAAACATTGACCTCTCGACTTTCAAAACATGCTCGGGGCACCAGCCGTATTTGCGCAAGGCTGGGCTTTTCAAAGCAAATAGGAACACAGTACTGAGAAGGGAAGGTTAGCCGTAACGGCTAGTGTAATTTTAGTAAGGTTTCGATCACGTGTAAGGCTCACTCTACTATGCCGCTTTTAAATGCCTGCTCTTGTTGCTCGCAACTCTCCAATCTTTCATCTCTGCCACCTTGTTCCTGTTATATTTACACTAAATCTTCAGGTGTACCAGGTCGGCTCGGGCACCTCATCTAACAGGTAAAAGGTCCCTAGCTCGCGTTCTTTGTATGCCACCGGGTCGTGCAACGTGTGCGTCCTCACGTCCCTCCAAAACCGATCCAGTCCCACCTTTCTCGCCGTGGAGCTCGCACCTGTCACCTCAAACACTCCGCTTGTGACGCGGAGGCTGGTCTCAGTGGCCACGATTTTGATGCTCGCCACCCATTCTGCGACCTCTCCCCGCCGCCGTGCGCTCACATCTCTCTTCTCACCGTGGTCGGCGTACACATCCCTGATTTTCTCGCCTGCAAGATCTGCCAGCGCCTCAGCTGCCCTCAGATGGGCGTGGAAGTTGCCATACCGCGCCAAGATGTAGTGTTCGTCCGTTGCCTTCGCTTTATTGTCCCCGCCGTAGGGCCACGCTCGCGTTTTCGAGGTGGTCCATTTCTTGGCTTCCTCGAGCGCGCCCAGTCCGATGCCCACGTAGAAATTAGAGAAGACCAGCTGGATGGTCGGTAACAATAGGGACGCAAAAGGGACCTTCAAAACCTCGGCGATGGGCCTCTTGGTCTTACTGTCCCAACCGAATGCATCGGTCCACGGAACACGCACATTCTCGATCTTCACGCTCCCGGACTCGGTCAGCCTCATGCCGATGTTGTCCCAATCATGGCCAAATTGGATTCCCGGCTGTTTTGTCGGTACAATTGTGAAGATGTGGTCTTCGGTACCATCCAACACGCCCTCGAGGATCGTGGCGTCGGATACGACGCCGCCCGTGTTGAAAGATTTGAAACCATTAAACACGATCTCCTCACCGTCGCTAGTGATCTTGAGGTCGGCGTTCCGCGGGTTCACGGCACCGCCCACAAACCAATCATTGTCCAGAATCAGCTTCTGTATGCGGTGTTTCTGCTCGTCAGTGCCGACGACGTTGGCCGTGGTAGACCACAGCAGATGGTAGCCCAGCAGCATGCCGATGGAGCCATCGCCCTTTGCGACTTCTCGGATTGCCTTGTAAGCGATCGCCCAATCCTGACCGGCCCCACCATAGTTCTTGGGCCCCAAGAGCTTGGTTAACCCTGAAGCCTTGAGAAGCTGAATCTCACTGAATGGTGACTTGTTCTCAATGTCACGCTTTGGAGCATCCGCGGCCAGAATCTGACCGACATCCTGCGCACGTGCGATCCACTCTTCTGCAGTACTGGGAAGTCCTGGCCTGGAAAACTTGAAAGGCTGGTCGAGACCTACGGCGGTCTTGGGAGTTTGAACTGAGCCCATGATCACCGGGAAGAGATCCTCACTTATGCAATCAAAGGCTTTTTGACAGAAAACGCTAAGAACCACCGACTTCGAGATTTTAACGGCCTAGAAATGGACAAAGTCGAGCAGGCAGCATTTGAAGGGTCACTTTATATGAAAGGGGAGATGCCGTGTTGTCGGACCACATGTCGAATGTCTCGACTCATTGCGAGAAAATATCCACTTTGTTCAAGCCAATGGAAATATTCGGGCGACAGGACCGCGTTTTCTTGTTGTTCGCATCCTCAACTGACGTGCTCGGATGGCTTGAGCACGAATTCGAAGAACTATTTGCACATGATTTTGAGACGCGGAAATATCCCGGAGCGAGAACGTTCAGTTCTAGGCCGTTAGCAACTCGGATGCCCTACTTATCCTAACGAAGCTAGTGTGAGAGTGAGTCAAGATGGCAGAAGAAAAGAGGTTTGTACTGTTATGTCAGGGACACACTTTCGACTCGTGGCATTGTAAGAGAAGACGCCATATAGGATCCATTACAAAGTACCAATTACTCGCGAAGGGTAGGGATTGCTCATATTCGGGCACTGCCTCAACGAACTCGCGTGTCTAGCTTTAAACAGCCAAAACAGCTAAGCCCACTGAAGCAGGAGCCAAGAGAAATCCTCCGTCAGAGCGGTCTGCTACAAGGACTTTACTGGACTTTACTCCGTGGCAACGCACACAGCGAGCAACCACCTTCTTCGATTTGAAGGACCCGGACCGGGACATTTCTGAATCCAACAAGTAATGCTTTCTTCACTTATCAAAAGTCTGGTGCGCATGCGATGTTCCGTCGAACGCCGCATGCTGGGCGGTTGGTTGGACTGGTATCAGAGAATGCGGGAAACATTAGCGAAGAACGGCCATCTTGGATTCATCTGCTTCGGGGGTCCTCCTGTTCACTTTCAAATTGTAAGCACAATCCATGCCCTCTAAATCCCCTATCGACAACTGCCTGAACTTCGCATTTTGGGAAGCAGCTCCACAAGAGATTCGTGGAGAAATACCAATGGCTGGACGAGCCTATGTTCCAAGAGCTGTTTGCAGTCACTCAGGCGCTCTCTGGCCCTGCCAGCACGAAGATGCTATACTGCATTAACCTCAACCGGAATGGTTTCTTATCCGCGCTTTCAGCTTTCCTGCTGTGGTCGTACGTTTCCCCTTTTCTTCCTAGATACAATTACTGCTAATATGATAAACCTGGTACGCAGGCTTCCCGGTGCCATAGGAATGTACGCCTTATCGCTTGGTATATCCAACATTGGTGACGTACTTCCTGCTCCAGTCTATGCCCTTCTCTCTGGTCTTAATGCTGCTACTGTGGGCGTGATTGCACTTGCCGCAGTCCAACTATCACAGAAGGCCATAACGGATAAGATCACGAGGATATTGGTATTTTTGGGAGCCACGGCGGGAATGCTTTACAACGCACTATGGTTTTTCCCTGTGTTGATCTTCCTGGCTGGCCCTGTGACAATCATCTGGGACTTTCGGTGGCTGCATGCTTTGATCAAGAAGGTTTCAGGAACAGTGCAAAGGATGAGACGGAGACACCATAGCGACGAAGTTGAGATGAATACCGCAGACCACTCACCAGCGAACCAGCGTAAGTCATGCTGAGCTGTACCGTACTGCTCAGTTCAGTACATAGGCTGACACTCTATCGCAAGCTCGTGGGGGAAACCTAGAGAATCCCTTTCCCGGACGAGCAACTGGAGAGTCAGACATTTCCACGCCATTCAGCGATGTTCGACGCGTCTCAGATGGTAGGCAAGATTCAAGAGTCATCCCTGCGGGCAGAGAATTGAACGTTTCTTGGAAATTTGGTACCATTCTCATAGCAGCTTTTTTCGCGACGTTCACTATCATCATGGTGCTGCGAGGAGTACTAAGACATCGGCCACTCCTGTTCAGTCTTTTTTCCAACATGTACCTTGCGGGAACTATTATATTTGGCGGGGGCCCTGTGGTCATTCCACTTCTTCGACAGTGAGTGTGATGAAGGTCTATAGTTCCGAACGCAGCTAACAGTTTTTGGCACAACTCAGGTACATTGTGACGGAAGGCTGGGTTTCATCCCGGGATTTTCTTTTGGGATTGGCTATTATACAGTCTTTCCCAGGACCCAACTTCAACTGTAGGTCCCGACCCTGCACTCCTTACACCTCCATTGTGAACTGACGAGCCATTTTGGTAATTCCTTTCGATAGTTGCCGTGTATTTAGGCTCGCTGACCGCTATCAATGCGTCGCTTCCTAGTGCGGCAGGCGCTCTTATCGCCTTCGTCGGCATCTTTGCGCCCGGGTTAATCCTTGTGCACGGCACCATGGGACTTTGGAGGGCACTTCGCACTCGCCGATGGGTCAAGGCCGGCTTGCGTGGTGTAAACGCCGCCGCGGTCGGGTTAATTTATACTGCCATCTACAGGCTTTGGGAAATTGGTTATATAGACGAAGAGTTTACAAGCGGCTCGAGCTTGGGACGAGATCCCTGGTGGGTGGTTGTGACGGCGACGAGCTATGTCGGTGGATGCTGGTTTGGACTCCCTGTTCCACTGGCGATACTGCTTGGGGGCGTCATGGGGCTCATTCGGTATGGCGTTACCTCTGGCTAAGGCACCACCGATCCATTGGCCTTTAGAAAATAGCCCATCGATGATGATGATGACCGCGACGAGGTGCCTTCCCTCCCCGAACCACCGAGAACATAACTGTTCAACCTCAGCTGGTGTGCGTCTTGCAACTCCCGAAAACAGAGCCGGGACTAGAGCGTGTGGTCAAGTACCACAACGTGTCTGTGAACCTGTTCCGCAAATCTCCAGAAGTCGGGAAGAGCCCTGTCACTGTCCTCTTCTTGTCGTCTTGTCATTGTCCAACCAATGAGCAGTCAGTCTCGCCATAACGAGTATTGGACCTTCTCTTGCAGCATCGCGAATTCTCTTGGCCGCCAAATTCAGACCTAAAGTTCCACTCTCAACTTGGCTCCAACACCAATGGCGAGTCAGCCTGACGACGCAATTTGGACAATATATGCCATCATCTCCACCGCCATGGACTGTCACTCACTCTGATTGAGAAGTCATTTGAAACCTACGCTCTCATGATGTTCTCTGTCGGTCTAGCTCGTGTTCCCTCTCCTGTTCAGTTATGCCATTGGCACATTGCCTACAATCCATTACGGAATTGTACCGTCGTTTGCTTGTCAAGCGGCGGCAGATTTCAAATGGTATTTTCCTTTTGTCCGTCCCAACGCTATGTTTGAAAACCAGAGTCTTGACTCGAGAAAGTTTTCAGAGAAACCGGGTAGCGACGAGTCCTGCTGAATATCGACAATCCCCACGGTTGTGCTAGGGCGAAGACTTGCTGCTGACTTCCATGCCCAAGACGGCACAATCAAAAAGATATCAAGGGCTGGAGAGAGGATCTGGTATTTGTATCGAGTATTGGTAGACCAGCATCTACTCAACAAGGCCGACATAATGGGTTCGAACATCATCGTTCCCACCGGCCACGCCGATGGCAACTCAGCGGCAGATCGGATCAAGTTTGCGTGAGTTTGCTTTCTTCTTTGTTGAGGCTCTTCTAAGCTTGCAATCAGCTATTGGGTTCCGAATGTGTCGGGCGGACTTGTGATATCTAAGATTCCGCAGCGCACTAAATGGGACCTCGAGTCCAACGTCAAGTATGCCCAAACAGCAGAGAATGTAGGCTTCGAGTATGCCCTCTCACAGATCCGATTTATGGCTGGCTACGGCGCCGAGTACCAACATGAGCCTGTCTCCTTCTCTCAAGCGCTGCTTCATCAAACCAAAAAGCTCAATCTCATCGCGGCACTCCTACCTGGCCCGTGGAATCCTGCCGTTGCAGCCAAGCAGATCGCCAGCATCGACCACTATTCCAATGGCAGGGTGGCAGTCAATGTTGTTTCAGGATGGTTCAAAGCCGAGTTTACCAGCATCGGCCAATGGTGGCTCGACCATGCAGAGCGTTATCGACGATCGAGAGAGTTTATCACTTGCCTTAAGGGGATATGGACACAAGACAAGTTCACTTTCCAAGGTGACTTCTATCAGTTCCATGACTATACGCTTCAGCCCAAACCTCTGAAATGGGAAGGGAGAGACCACCCTGAGATTTTCCAGGGTGGTAATTCGATTGATGCCAGGGAGAACGCCGCAACAGTGTCTTCATACTATTTCATGAACGGCAACAGTGAGATTTGGTTCCCTCCAACAATGTCTCCAAACAGAATTTGCTGACAGTGACGAATTCGTAGCCCTCGAAGGCTTCCAGACACAGATCGCCGACGTCAGGGAGCGCGCTCGTCGTGAAGACCGAGAAGATCAAGTCAAATTCGCGGTCAACGGATTTGTCATAGCCCGTGAGACCGAAGAGGAGGCAATCCGTGTCCTCCAGGAAATTCAAGGCAAGGCAGACAAAGAAGCTGTCGAGGCATTCGGCGACCAAGTTAAGAACGCAGGGGCATCGACCGCTAACAAGACCGGTATGTGGGCGAACAGCAAGTTTGAGGATCTGGTGCAATACAATGACGGCTTCAAAACGAAGCTCATCGGAACGCCCCAGCAAATTGCCGACCGCATCCTGCTCTTGAAGAGTCTGGGTGTTAGTATACTGCTGGTAGCATTTCTCCACTACGACGAGGAGATCGAGCAGTTTGGAAGGGAGGTTATTCCTTTGGTCCGGAAGTTGGAGGCCGAAGGTAGAGGGAAAGATGCTGAGTACGAGATCAAGTTGACAGGCGATGTGTACAAAGCTAGGCTGCCTGAAAAGGGCAAGAGCTCGTAGAATTGTCGGCGGCCTCGTCTATTCCTCTTGGGAGGCGCGTGGCGTAGTCCCCTAGGCACCTAGAAATAAAAATGGCTATGTACACCCTGCGTGGTAGGACTTTTACTGGTGTACTCGCTCTACTCAGTGGAAGACCAGTTCCAGCCTTGCAGACATAGGTGGCAAGGCTGAGTTAGAATAGGGCGGCATCACCATGTTTCTTAACGGGGTAAGATGCCGGCTTGGCATTTGGCTGCAGCGGAGTGTGAGGAGTGAAGAGTGGGCGGCGACGTCAGCGAACGAATCCACTCTTGGTGCTCTTGTACCCTCTGTTCATCTGCTCTTCGTATCAAATGCAGCATTTCCTTGTTGCGCAGGGACCGAAGAACCAACCTCATAACCTGGGCTCGGCCAACTCTCGAGTCGTTCGATCGATAACGAGACTGTTCCTTCTGGCGAAGCTCGTTTCGTCGCCCTTCCATTCCTGATCCCCCTGCTTCAAGGCACACGGTCTCCGCCTGCGAACCTACCCAAGATGAGTGGCTTCAGGTCCGTCATGAAGGATGGATGGCATCCAAAGGGCCGGGATGGCGGTAAGGAGTCATGGAGAGGCGATTTCAAGGGGATAAACCAAGTGGTCAGTCATTGATTCCCGGAATTATGCTGAAGTGGCGGAAGGCGCTGAAAAATGGAACAGGCTGGATGGATGGGAAAAGGCAGAGATCCCAACAAGAAAGACGGTGTTGAGCATATGTCACGGCCCCTTTCGACGCTCAAAGATCCGGCGTCGTTTGGCCCGCCTCCCAAAAACGTCAACTATCACGGTGGTGCTGCGCTGCCCAACGAGATAACGCCACAGACTGGGGGATGGGGCGCTCCCTTGACTCAAGAGCAGATCTCTAGCGCAAATCGAGCTATCAAGGCTTCCGAGCAAGAGATCGAAGAAGAGAATAAACGTGCAGGTCCCCCTTTACCATATCGGGCGGATAGAACTGGGCTGAAGACGGATCACCTACCACCCCCTCCTATTCATCGTGACTTGAATCGATCACCCGAAGTTGCGGAAACAGGGCCGGCCAAACCGAAACCGGGTCTACCTCCAAGACTGCCCTCCCGACAGAATACGGGGAGTACATCCACTCCTCCGCCTGTCGCAAATTCTCCACCCCCGACAACCGCCCCTCCAGCCTACGAACCCATTCCTGTCGCTGCACCTAGCCCACAACCAAGCGCAAGTTACGGAACCAACCAAGCTGCCATCAACAGGTTAGGGAATGCCGGCGTTTCCGTCCCGGCGCTGGGTATCGGCTCTGATCAGAGTTCAAATCCCTGGCGTCATGAGCAAAGCCAGCCAAGCTTGCCAAAGAGCCTTCCCGCAATGTCTCAAACACCTGTAAACCAGCTATCGGAGCTTCAAGCCCGCTTCTCCCGCATGAATTCGAACTCTAGTACCGGGCAACACCAAAACACCACTCCTCCATTCGCCACCCCCGCTCAATCCCCTCCGCCGGTCAAGGCGAACACACCCTCCCAACAATCCTATCCGACACAGCCGCAACCACAAAGCCCGGCGCAAGGAACCACATGGGCTGAAAAGCAAGCCGCCATGCGTACTGCCCAAAACGCCTTCAAGGATCCTGCATCCGTTTCCGCCGCTGATGCTGGCTCGGCTGTCCGCACGGCCAACTCGTTCCGAGAACGGCACCAAGACAGCATCAACGCCGCCGGGGCTAAAGCGAATCAGTGGAACAAGAAATATAATGTGACAGGCCGCCTCAACTCTTTCCTCGAGAAACACAGTTCCTCTGACAATCCCCAATCGCCAAACAGTGCCAATGTAGGCGGAACTGCACCAATGCAACCGTCTTTACCAAATCAGACTGCCGAGATGGCGGCCTCGATATCTCGCAAGCCCCCGCCACCTCCACCACCGAAGAAGCCCGCGAACATGCATGGCAGTGTTGGTTCAATGGGAGTTGCCCCGCCGCCCGTGCCGCTGGGGACGAAGCCAAGTTATTCATGATTTGGAGGCGAGGCGAGGCGTGGTGCTAGGGTTATCAGTTGAAGCGCGTAGATTTTATAGCAGAGATGCGGCAAGTACATATGGAGCAGCAGAGTAATATGCAATTCCCCCGAGCGGCCAGATGTGCGAATGAGACGGATTGTTCAGCGATACCGTTGTAGCCATGGCTTTAGTCTCCAGTGACTGTGAGTGACCGCCGGATCTATCCACCGCACGAGAGTGGTACGTGTTACGTCGATAACACGGCGTTCACTCGACGGAGAACTGTAACGCTCTTTTTCTTGGGGCTGAGAACTGTCGCCTCTGTTTTGTTTTACTGACTAGCACTGTCAGAGCGCCCGCCTACATAAAGGCAGCTAGTATTATAGGGGACAAAGAGGACACAAGGACAGGCACAGAGGTGATACAGATGTCTCGACGGTGCTCATGGAATCTACCCGAGGAGACTGACTACCTTGACTAGATATTTCTTGCGCCGACACACCGGACGGACGAGGTGATCACGGGCCTTGGGAGTCTCGATCGGCTGGATGACCCGTCAGATGAACATGAACTACTCAATGTGAAAAGATGGATTGCGGACAGCATATGGATGGACATGGATTTTTGGTATCTGGGCGAAAAATTGCATGAATATCCAGTCCAACCCAATCCGATCCCATCCGATCCAATCCAATCCGCCCTCGGGGGAAGCGGTCTCCCATGGAATCCTGACTGCTACGGAGTACCTCGCAGCCCGCGGAGGCGCTGGGAACTCAGCGGTCAGTCAGTTCCACCGCATCACGATGCTTGCTTCCCATTCTAGAACACGACACCCTTGACCTGTGCGTTCTTGGAGATGTCGATGTTGCGGATCATCAGGACGAAGAAGAGAGCCAGGCCCATGACACTGGTACCGGCGATCAACATCCTGCGTTGCGCGATTCCATATGCCTCCATGATGGCCTCGCGCGCGGGACTGCCCATCGGATAGCTCAGTTGCACGGTCAAGTCGCCGTAGATGGTCTCCCACTCGGGCTTGAGGTTTTCGGGTAGGAGTCTTTGGAGCGCACCGGGCAGGGAGTGCGTCCAGATGGCGCCGCAGATGCTGTTCCCGACGGCGCCGCCCATGTACCCGAAAAGGCCGAGCATGGCCAGCACGGCGGCGATCTGGCCGTGCTCCGCGGCCGCCATGACGGCGACTTGTTGGCACAGGATCATGGTGCTACCCGCGAAGGCGATGAAGATCTGACACATGATGATATATCCGATGTTGGTGTGCGGGCGGCGGAAGTGGATCATCAAGCCCACGCCGAGCATGTACAGCGGGACGGCACACAGCAAAAGCCACTTGAAGCGGCCCGTGACGCGCATGAGAAAGCCCACGAAGAGCAACCACAGGCCAGAGATGATGTCGAAGGTACTGCTCACGTAGCCCGCTTGCGCGATCGTCAGGTTGTTGACGACCTGTAGGAAAGAGCTGAAGTAGCTGCCCCAGCAGTAATACGCGATCTGGTACACGGCGTCGAGGAGTAGAGCGCCGAGAATGGTTCGCGAGACGAGAAGTTGGTAGGGAATGAAAGGCTTCGGAGCGAGGTATCGCTCGAAGACGGCGAATGCAAGCAGCAGCACGAAGCCCACGACCAGCATCGCGATGATGGAGCCGGATTCCCAGTCATCCGCTGTCGATTGAGCGAGGGAAAAGGGCAGGAGGAAGAGAACCAGCCCGGTGGCGAGGAGAATGACACCAAAAGCTGTAGGATTGTGGGTGGACACGTCAGGTTTCTTTCTTCCCAGGGAAGGTTTTTGGTAAAGTCGCTTACCGTCAAATTCAATCATGTAGAACCAGATGCTCTGACACAAGGTTCGACCGCTCTTGGGCCTGTCCAACAATCCCTGCTTCTTCGCTTTCCGCAAGTTATACTGCATGACAAAGTACAACGGGGCAGCCACAAAGGGGGTGATGATGGCAAAGGTCCCAAATGCCCAACGCCAGTTGATGTCTTCGTAGAAGCCCTCTGAGGCACTGGGGCCGGCAAACGCGGTGACCATGTATGGAGAAGAGGTGAATGCGAAAGCGAGGCCCCGATTCTTCAACTTGCTGGTGTCCGCTGTCATGACATCCACCGAGTAGATCATGCCGGTGAATCCGATGCTAGTAAAGACCTACATAACCATTTTAGTCATCTGACACAACCAAAATCGAGGATCCGCTCAACCGGAGGCATACCTGGGCCGCGCAGAATGTCTGAATGTTTGTACAGGCGGCTTGCAGGACGAGGCCCAGTGTGCCTAGGCCGACCATGAACAGGAACGCCTCTGGCCGACCCCAAATATCTAACATTTTGGCAATCGGCAGATAGGCAGCCCCCGTCATCACACTTGAGACGATGTAAATGACTGGGATGAGCGAGTGGTATTCGAATCCACTGGTCACGTATGGTGTTAGATTGGCGGTGATGGAAAACTGAAAGGCGTTGACGAAGTACAGCAGATAGAAGCTATTCAGACAAGTTAGCAACATGCTATGTCGGGCATTGTCGACGCTGGCTCGATGATGAGGACGTACCATATGTAGGTGATGATGAGGGATGTCTTGGTCCATGCCAGCGTGATTGCTTCGACTCTTCTCACGCCTTCCTGAGCATCTTGGGCAGGAAGCTCGGGTTGACCTTCGTCGCTCCCATTGCTACTACCGACGGGATCGTGCGCGTGCGTCGCGACATTCTTGTCGTCGGTCCTCTCCAACACTGTACTTTCGCGGCTCTGTTCAGCAATATTGTTGTCATCGGGTCGCAAGAACTGTCTTAGCGAGTTGAGCTTGAATCTTCCTGCAGCAGACATTGTGAATGTGTCTCTGACGACCGAGTGGTGATGCGAATGGGAATCTTTAGTGGACGAGGAATCTCAACGCGGACGGATCGGTTCACTCAAATGGCCTAGGTGTAAGGCCCTGTCACGCTATACCTTCGAGCCTAGACAAGACGACGAGAGCAAAGAGCATGGCAGCGCTCAAGGAGAAACCCGATGTCGGATCCGCCACGACATGCTAACTAACGACAAGATCTTCGTTGAGGGCACTTTGCTCATCTAAGTTGGCTTGTACGCTCGAATAAACCATGGCTCGGGATGACCAAGAGCCAAAGGCTTTTTCTGTCTTAGAATTTTCACGGGCCTCAAGTCCTCTCTTGCATCGGCTAATATCGTGCGGTGAAGCCACGCGTGGGTACCCCGGCCATGGGACAGATCGTAACCGAGAAGCTCGATTGTCATAGCTGTGGCGGCAGAAGCCCAGAGTCCAGACTGTGGCCCCGGTGGCATGTGCAGCTGGGGTGCGAGAGGCGTGCGAGAGCATTCCGTGGGCCTCTGCCCTCACCCATGACCTGCAGCTTAGCAAGCGGCTCGGCGCTCAGGACGCAGAGGAGACAGTGATCCAAAGCGAAGAAGTACCAGGCCTGTCATTCTGAGCCCATTGGTGCGGAAAAGCTGGGAGGGTGGAACGTGGATGTTGGCAGGGGCTTTAGTCCGTACAGCGTGTGATGGATGATAAGATGCGATGATCAAATCTAATACGTCTTCATTACATGTATGGACCTAGCTTTGCTTATCCGGAAGAGGAATATCGCTTCGGCACTCTCTGCAAGTGAGCGGAGGGAAATTCGCGTCCATAAAATGGGGCTCGTAGGCAAGCCGAGGGCGTGGTGGATGGCGCCAAGTCCTTCTTGAAAAAGCGACCCAGGTGTTTTTGGGGGAACTTGTATTTCGTCGCGACAGAGACACCGCGAACGCCCTTGGGGTGTCCTTTCGTCATTCCATGGCCGAGATACCGCTTGCGAGGAGCCAGTCGTCCGTCTCCATCGCACTGAGATCAACGCGGACATCCATGCTCTTGGGTGAGGCTGAGGGGTGTGCTCTCATCCCCACGCCATGTCCACCGTTGACTGGAGAGAAATGCCAAAGTCCGAGACCGGAGGGAACTCGTCAGTCCGCGCCTGACCCCAGCCTCAAGTCCGGTTTCTTAGCGAAGACGACGATCCAGAAACCCACCCAACGATGCCACGGGTGCACACAGTGAACGCCACGCGACCAAGAATGGACGACGATGATCTTATCAGATGAAAATTTTTCTTGATCACGAAGACCTCGCATGGGTCTCGGGGTCTGGAGTTAGATGATTGGAGGGCTCCATTGAAGCAAGCAAGCTCGGCGGATAGCGGCGCGGCGACGGCGGGTACCTACTGGTATGTAGCAAGGCAGAATCACGCCCCCATGACACTTGGGAGGTGGAAGAAGCTGCAAAGGTAGGAAGGTGGGGACAGTGGGAAAGTGGATATTGACTTATCTGATGAAAATTCTCCTTGGGTAAGTGGAAATTAAGTTATCTGATCCGCTCGGAGAACTCCACTCTGCCGAGAATAGTGGAGCCGGGCTGTTGGTACAAGTAATACCAGGGCGTAATTTTGGTATTCCACTACTTTTCAAATGACGCTTGTATCAGGCCTGGACGGCTGTCCGAATTCTCCCAGGATCATGTCATGGTCCCATTGTCGCGACCAGGAATGCCATTGTCGGAAAATGGAGTCTCTTCTTCGAGGCACAGCTTGGTGGCATCAACCCGGCACACACAGGGGAAGGATCCCGGCTCTCCCAGTTGTCGCCTGACCCGGAAAGGGTTCTGAGAGCCGCGATCCTTCTATGTCAGCGATCGAGGTCCCATCAATGCTTCCACCACAACGACAATTATGATACAACATTCACGCACACCCATGGATGGCAACAGGAGCACCGATGTCCCACCTCTCGACTTGGTGTGTGTCGGTTTTGACATGACCGGCATCGCCAACGCCGTCGCTTTGAGGGAAAGAAATGGGCTCAGCAAGGATACTCTGTTCCTGGAATCCCAATTGGAAGCACTCTGGAAGCCACTCCGGAGCACACCTGCCTCCAGACTGAGGACCTCATTTCTCAACGACTTGATCACCTCAGAGAATCCGCGCTCCCACTTCACCTTCCTCAACTACCTCCATGCGACCCATCGGCTCATCTTGTATGCCAACAGCGCTCAGATTCGCCCGTCTCGGGAAATGTTCTGCGATTATCTGAGATGGTGTGCTGGCCGCCTTCGGGCGCAAGTCCAGTACGGCAAGATGGCCACCAGTGTGCGACCATTGAGAGACGGCAAGGGGCGGGTCGCTGCGTGGGAAGTGGTCTTTGTGGATGCCGTGACGGGAGAAAAGAAAGCCGTCACAGCCAAGCAAGTCGTCTATGCGGTATCGAATCATCCCTATGTCCCCAAAGTGCTCCACGCTCCTACAGTTCGAACTCTCGTCCTGCACTCTTCAGACTATCTGGAAGCCATTCCAACACTCTTACGCGACAATCCAAAAGCGCGCATCGCAGTCCTAGGAAATGGCCAAAACGCGGCAGAGGTATTTGATCAGCTTCATGGAATACGTGGAGACCACCAAGTCATTTGGTTTACCAAAGACGCTGTCCTTCGAGGTGATGACGAGACACCATTGTAAGTCGGCTTCTTGGATATCCACCATCGATTTCGCTTTTTAACCCTATAGCGAAATCTAGTCTATTGGAAAGTATCATGCAGCCCACTTCATCGAAACAACAGAACATGCCACCCGAGGTCAGGAGAAAGGAAGTCAATGGAGCCTCGCTCTTGACCTCTAGTTCGTCAATTGAATCGCGCCTCCTGAGACAGATATATGATGCCCAGTACGATCTCAGTGTCAAAGAGCCGGACTCCAAGAAGTGGAGATTCCAAATCAGATTCCGGCATGAAGCCGTACATGCAGAGAGAGCTGCCGACGGGCGCGTACGACTTTTCATGCAAACTCCTGAAAATCCAACAGAGCCCGCAACATTCGATGCCGTCATTGCCGCCACCGGCTTTGGGCAACCCGCTCACTATAGTGCCCTCGAGCCATTACACGCGCTGCTCGATGGGCCGAGTGTCACAGTCGATCGCGAGTACCACATCAACTTCAGGAAGGGCGTCCTCGCGCCAGGGTGCGGGATTTGGTTTCAAGGATCCCTTGCCGGTGACGGCGACCAAGTAAGTGACCTATTTCCCTCTGTCGGAGTTATCATTACTAATTTATGGAGCCCCAGAATGACGACAGCCTCCTCCAGATTCTTGCAGAGAGAAGTAGACGTCTGGCTGAGTCGGTGCTGCGTCGGAGGGCCGAGCAGACCACTTCGGAGGAGGAGAGGTCGGCGAGGCTGTAAACATTGGCCGCCTTCGGAATCGCGCGACATGGCATCAGGACTGGGAACGTGGATTTAGAGAGAGAGAGACAAAAGCTAGCTCTTTTGGCCTGTACATAGAGTATGTATTGCGTTGTCAGACGAATGGTCCCATCGCAGACGTCTGGTCACTACAATTTCGGTCTCCCTTTAGTCACCAACTGTCCCGCCAGCTGCGCGAGCTCGAACTTTCTCACTTTCCCACTCCCTGTCAATGGCACAGTGGCCGGAATGCCATCTTCTCCAAGCCAGAAAATATGCGCCGGCCCCTTATGTCGGCCAAGCTTCAGTCTCACCCATTCGCGGATGTTTTCGTCGCTGGGACGATGAGCAGTCGGACTAGGATATCCTCCTCCAATACCTCCTCGTTGGGTTGTTGCCGGAGTCGAGCCGCAGCGTTGGAGAAATGCAGCTACGACCTCGCCGTACCTGGCGTGTTTGACGCCGACGACGATGGCGCGGTCAATTGCCTCGTGCTGGACCAGACGACTTTCGATCTCCAAGGGATAGATGTTTTCTCCACCTGTCAAGAAATAAAAGGTGAGTGAGTGCTCTACGGATATAGACACGGCTTTTTCGAGGGATGGTGGATATAGACGCGGAGGAGGTTTGCTTACCCCTGATGATGATATCCTTAAACCGGCCCGTAATAGTGCACGTCTTGTCCCTGTGAAAGACAGCTTCGTCGCCGGTATGCAGCCACAGCACGCCGTCTCCGTCACGGATCATGACCTCGTTCGTTTTTTCCGCGTTTCGCCAGTAGCCTCGCTGGAGTTGGTACCCGGCGATGCAGAGCTCTCCACGCTCACCGACAGGTACGATTCTTCCCTGTCGGTCAACAATCTTTGCATGGGCGTGCGGCATGACTTGGCCCACGGTGGTGAGCTTCAAACTTGTGGGGTCGTTGTGAAAAGCGTTAAAACACGTAGGCGAAGCTTCTGTTAAGCCTGATGATACCGGACGGTTAGTTTTTCAACGGGCCCCCTTGGCTGAGTTACATGCATGCCTTACCATAACTACTGGTGAACTCGGTCATCCCGAGTTCGTTAACCATGAGTTCCATCAAGTGGCGAGGTACCGGAGCTCCTGCTATGATACCGGTTCGCAAGGCTGAGCAATCAAAGCCCTCAGGGCGGGGGAGGCTGAAAATGGAATCGAACATGGCTGGGACACCGTGAAGGGCAGTACATCGTTCTTCTGAGATGACTCTCAGGCACGCAACGGCGTCAAAGGTCTCGGCGGGATAGACCACTTTTCCACCATGAGTTATAATAGCTAGCAGGCCAAGGACCAGGCCAAAGCAATGGAAGAGTGGCGGTGGACAGCACAGCACGTCTTGATCCGTCAAGGCCATGCGGTCGCCAATGAAGCGGCTGTTGTTGACCAAGGAGCTGGAAGTACGAGTTAGATCTCCGGTCAACCTAGCGTTTTCTCGACAGGAGGAACTAGGAATCAGCAGTCTACTTACTGATGTGTCAGCATTGCAGCTTTCGGGTTTCCTGTCGTCCCACTCGTGAACTGGAGATTGCAAACGTCATGGCAGCTGAATCCCTTCGAAGCTGCTTCGAGAATTTTGTCGGATTCGATTGCTCCTGTCTCTAGGAGTGTCGTGTATGGCGTGAAGTGACTGGGTGGACCTCGTAGAATGATAATCTCCTCGACCGTGCCGGGCTCCTGTCTCAGTTGGCGGAGAAGTTGCCCGTTGTCGTGATGACCGATTTGAGGAGTGGCAAACAATATTCTGCATTCTGTGACTTCGAATAAGGAGCGGATCCAATCGAAAGGTGCGAAGGAAAACGTACCGGTGAATTTCAGAGCATACAATGCTTCAGATGCAGTGTAGGTATTGTTCAAAATGACCAGGATACATCCCAGCTTCATACAGGCGAAGAAAACTGAGACGTATTGCTCGCAGTTTCCGGCCATGATCCCGATTCGATCCCCTGGACGTAGCCCCCGAGCAACAAGGGCCTTCGCAAGCCGAATGCTTTCCTCCCTGAGACGGTCGTACGTCCATCTGGCGCCTGTCCACGGCACCACCAAGCATTCTTTACTCCCATACCTCTTGCACTGGAAATCTAGGAGCTCCCCGAGAGTAAAATCTAACAATGGCACCTCCGAATCACCATGAAGAATGGACAGAACCGTTGGAGATGGAAATAACGTGGTCTCAGTGGCGGTTTCTAGAGACATCGCAGCGGAAGGCTAACGGAATCTCAGTAGTTCCAGTGTTCAGCCTCCTCCTGCCCTAGAGCCCAATATTCAGTCGTCAATGTTATGTTGACATTGCGTAGAGCATCACCCCACTCACGTGGTCTATCAGGCTGTCATTTTTGCACCTTCTGGAGACTGACGTTGTAGGACCTCCGATCTCGGTTCGCGTAGCCGGACAGGAAAAGATGCACCGGTGCTGAAGAATTTACTTCAACGCGTAGTCCACCCTCGGCTTTCAACTGGATGGCCGGGATAAATCTGGAATGAGCAGAGCAGATTCTGCCGCGAGAGAATTTCGGTTCCACATGTTGCAATGCGAGAATAGGTCAAGCAAATTACCTCGCTCGAGACATGTGGATTGAACCGAGTAAACACTCTCTGGCATCTTCTGTAAAGGTGGCAGAGTGATCCACTGCAACACTTTCAATCAACAATCAAATCAGATAAGATGAACAAGATTGGCAAGGGAGTTTGCGTCGTGCACACCAGTGATAGCTGGCATTACATGGGTGCGTCTGTGATCTTGCAGCCTTCGTTACTTTTCCAGCGCGCCACTTTTTCACGGTGTCCACTTGTTGGGCAAAACCGAAGCCGTCTGTCTTGACTGTGCATTCAAGTTCCTAGTGTTACCGTTCACAATCCTCTCATGATGAAATGGAGGTGTGCACCAATGGTAACAGGATGTCGACGGAAACTGTGACATTGGAACAAGAAGGGGAAACGTGCGTTGGGATAACGGTGACCGCAGCCTTGACGAGCTCCACTCAATGCGCTATGCCAACATGGGAAAGGATTCTGGATACAAGGGCGGTATTTCAGGCATTTCAAAACGTCGACATTACAATACTTGTCTGACGTGGCATGAAATATTCCCCGTACTGATATGCCGGCCCCGGTGAACTTCTCCTCTCAGGGAATTTGCCTTCATGAGGGTAGCAGGAGTGGAGATATAGGCTTGTTCCTGCTATGTACATGATTGATCTTGTCCCCACCTAACAGGTTGAAATTTTGTGCGGCAGCGACGCTCACGCTGTGATTAGATTCTTCTCGCTTCGGAGGTGCAGCGCCAACATCCTCACAACTTCGAATCTATCCAGTTTGGCGACCGTTTCTCCACAAATGCCTGAATCCCCTCCGAGAAGTTGGGTCCAGCCATCAGGCGAGGGTACCATCGATCAGCAAGAATCGACACGGCCTCCTCCACGCTACCCGCTTCCCAGCTCTGCCGAATACCCAGCCGGCCAACAATCAACGCATCCGGACTGTTCCTGCACATGTCCTGGGCGACTTGAATTGCCACGGGAACAACTTCAGCGGCAGATTCCACCACCCGACTAACTAGACCCCAGTCATGAAGCTCCTTGGCCCTCACGTTTCTGCCAGTCAGAACAAGGTCGGTGGTACGTTGCAGTCCCAGTGTACGTGTCAGCCGTGGTAGACAGCCTGCCACGGGGACGATACCTCGCTTCACTTCCGGTAGGGAGAAAATTGCCGAGGAGCAAGCTATGACGAGGTCGCAGTTGGCCACCATCTCGAAGCCGCCTCCCATGCAAATACCGTTCACCGCAGCAATGATCGGCTTTTTACCAGCTCGACGGGGCAGCCCAGCGAGACCGGGAGCAGACATGTCGTTGACCACACCCGTTTTGTTCATCTCGTTCCATTCTGTCCAAAGACATATTCTGGTCAGTTGTAGTCCTAAGTAAAGACGTTGATATACAGCAGTCCTGGCGCCTGAGCATACCTTGTAAATCTGCTCCAGTACAGAAAGCTCTCCCCGCGCCAGTGATGATTCCGACCCATAGACTTTCATCTTGGTCGAAAAGCCCCCATATCTGTTGAATTTCACGGCTCGTGGCTTTGTTGATACTGTTCAGTTTCTCTGGTCTATTCAAAGTGACCTGAATGATTTTGTCATGCGGGAAAGAGACGTAAAAATGTTCAAACTGCGATGGCCTTGATCTAAGAGACATTTGTGTTCCAGGATTGGCGTCCGGGTTGGTCGCTTTCTCTGCGAGCACAATGCACGGGATGTATTGTTGATTAGCTTCGCCCGTTTCGTTTTCTCGGAAGAAGTTTGTGTCTTCTGGCCTCATGTATATATGAACTCCACGTGTACTCAAATTTTGAGATATGAAAGTAGCGATCGAAACGCTTTCTGCCAAGGTATCCGGTCCTCGGTCTGAGGAGAGCATTCTGCAGATCGCAAAGTGCTCGCCAAATTCGGTTAGGTCGCGATTTCTCGACGCACGCCCCACAGTTAAGCACAAAGCCCACGAATGGAGGATCGGGTTGCTGGGGGAGTGGGGAAGGCCTTTACTGGCAGCCCTTTTGTCCTTTCCTCGGAGTCTTCGTCCCACCCTGCAATCTCACTCCTTCCCTCTCCCTGGGAAGCTCTTCTCTCCAGACCGTAACACGGGAGAACAATTGTCGGGGCAGGAGTTTTCTATCGTTGCGATATTTATCTCAGTGGAACTCGGACGTTCAAATTCTTTCAGAATGGCCCCTAACCCAACATCTTCACACAAGTGGCCTCTAGTCAAGCTACCACACCCGTTTCTGACTACGTATCGGGTGCGCACTGTTGGGGGAACAAAGCCATCTAGACTCATCTTATCACAGGAGAGCCAGCCCGCGGAAGGACGACCATTGCCAAAACCATTACATAGCGACTCGCTCTCATGGGTAGAACTGTCGTTCAAACCGAAGGACCAGGTTCCGCCCATCTCCAACAACAGCGCGTGGGCACGAGCAGTTCGGAGTCCTCAGACAACATTCGAGTGGACGGGAAGCAGTCCGCCCTCCCTTGGTCAGATTTGGAATGTTGTTCACGCGATATATCTCGCCCATCCCACCTATGAGTACTTCAGACTTAGTCTGTCTGGCGCAGGAAAGGATGTCATTCGCCACGAGTTACTTTCCACAGGCCTAGGCATCGAACATCCGAAGCCATGGCGCCCCAAGGACGATATGAATGCCCAGTCTGACGAGCTGTTGATCCTTCGAAGCTCGTTCTGGCAAGGAGCAGCTTCTCCAATGGGACCTCGTCCAATCTGGGTGGTGGGAGACGGCACGGATGGTCCTTCACGCGAGTCTGTGGCCCAGTATCCCATCATGCCTGAGAACTATCACTTCACCATGAAGTTCCCCGGGGAGCCCATTTACACGCGTCATCCGATCCGTCGCCCCAAGCCACATCCAGGATCAATCGCTTACAGTCGCTACATACCCGAGCTAGACGAGCACTTTTCCCTCGAAGTGGTCGACTGGCGAGATCCGGAGCACCTGAGACTCTTCAACAGATGGCAGAACGACCCTCGTGTTGCGGCGGGTTGGAATGAAACAGGGACTGTGGAGCAGCATCGTGAATACCTGCGCAAACTGTGGGTTGACCCGCACGTTCTTTGCTTATTCGGACGCTTCAACAACACCCGCTTCGCTTATTTCGAGCTGTATTGGGCAAAGGTAAGTCCTCTCATCTCTCAATGGGATTTTGTTCCCAGTTCACCCTTCAATTTCATCATCATTCCGGTTTGACGCGTTCTCTCTCCATCGACAGGAAGATCACTATGGCGCCCATTACGACGCCGGCGACTACGACCGTGGCCGCCACTCACTCGTGGGCGACGCATCGTTCCGCGGCTCCCATCGCGTCAACGCGTGGTATTCCAGCTGCATCCACTACGTCTTTCTGGACGACCCGCGCACCGCCAACGCCGTGGGCGAGCCCAAGGCCACGGGTGCGACGATCCTGTCCTACGAGAACTCCCAAGGTCTCGTCATCGGCAAGTACGTCGACCTGGGCCACAAGCGATCGGTGCATTCGATCGCGAGCCGAGAAAAATGGTTTCAGTTGTGTCCGCTCTTCTGGGACGGGCGAGAGAAGCCGTTGGAATCTGCAGACCGGGCAGCATGGAACGCGAAGCTGTAGGCTTTGTGGGAAGAGGGTTAAAATCGCAAATAGTCATTGACGATTGTCGAAAAAGGTCATTTTGTTTTCTAGTCCCTGCCATCCTGGCAAATGTGACATATTCTGGACTCGTCCACACTTCGGCGCCGAAGGACATAGTTGAGATCTTTTGGAAGAGAGAATCGAGAAACGCAATGCAAATGAAAATTCAAAAAGTCATCTTGTCAGTCTTCTGTCCTAGGGCCATAGTCTTCTGCTACTCAGCCAACGTCTGATGCATAACGTTCAATCTATAACTCTCCGACCTCTGAAGCAATTCCTCATGCGTTCCGCGATCAACGCATTGGCCTCCTTCAATCAAGAAGATAATATTCGCCTTCCTTATCGTGTGCAGTCGGTGTGCAATAGCAATCACGGTGATGCCTCGCGCGGCCTTCTCAAGCCCGTCCTGCAAAAGCTTCTCCGACTCTGCATCCAAGGCACTGGTCGGTTCGTCCAGGATCAGCAACTTGGGCTTTCGCACCAGTGCCCGAGCGATCGACAGCCTTTGCTTCTGCCCTCCCGAGAACTGGTTGCCATTTGGTCCACAGAGCGTTTGGTAGCCGTCGGGCAAGGATTGGATGGTGTCGTGGATGTTGGCGAGCTTGCATGCCTCCTGAATCTCGTCCATGGTGGTCTCATGGCCCGGTCGAGCACCGAGACCGATGTTGAATTCAATGGTGCCCTCGAAGAGGACGCTTTCTTGTGGCACCAGCGCAATGGTGTCGCGGAAGCTGACGTCACGAGTCTTTGTCAAGTCCACCCCGTCGACTATGATGGATCCGGATTGAGGCGTGTACAGTCGTTCGACGAGCGAAATGATTGTCGATTTGCCAGCGCCACTAGGGCCGACAAGGGCACAGAGTGTACCTGGTCGAATTTCGACGTTCAAACCCTTCAACACTTCGACCTCCGGCCGACTTGGGTATGCGAAGTGCACATCGCGGAGTTGGACGCTAGAACCCCGGTTGGTAGCCGGAAGAGTCGGTTTTGCTTCAGCTGCAGCCTCCAGGTCTTTATCCTCGCAACATATATCAAGAGATGGAGCACCCCTCACACGTCCTTGCATCTTATCCGGTCCTATCTCAATGAGACCCAAGAGCCTTGCCACCGCAGCCCGCGCGCTGGTGAGCTCTGGGGCGAGCGCAAACATCTGACTCCAGAGCAGTGCACTGACCAGAAGGGAGAATACGACAATCATGAACTGCGTCTGAGTGTAATTGCCCGCTATAATCTGTTTGGCGCCCCACCAATAAGCCAACGCATTCACGAGGTTACCGAGTAGATAGGTCATTGCCAGCCAGAGACTTGCGTATAGGCTCACTTTGAGCGTCTCCTTGCGAGGGCCTTTCAGTGATCGTCGGTATGTCTTCAGTGTCTCTGCTTCAAGGGAAAGGGATGCAATCGTCTTGATGGATGTGATTGCCTCCACGCCGATGTCCACCGATTTAGTATATGCATTTTCGTGCCGTTCTTCAAATCTCGCGAGCACTCGAAGCTCCATAAGACCAGCTCCAAGGAGAAGCGGTACCAGAGATAGGCAGACCAACGCTATTTTCCAAGCAATTATATGCGTCAAAACAATTGCGGCGATGAGGTTGACGGTGATTGAGAACAATGTGCCGATGACGGAGCCGCTTAAGCCACCGAGCGCATTGCCATCTCTAGTAATGTAAGAGAGCAACAAGGCGGGTGTTCGGCCTTCAGACTGATGCCACTGAAGATCTTGCCCAAACAATGATCGAAAGGATAAGACCCTCACAGTGTAGACCGTTTTCTCAGCGACCCAGCCGAACCCCGACCAACTAGTCACGTTCGCGAAGAACTCGATAATGGCGAGTATGAAGAACATGAGACCGAGGAAACTGCCCCGAGAGCGAATGTAGGATTCGCTCTGGCACGGACTCAAGCTGCCGACAGTGTTTCCAAAGATCACGGCCTCCGCGGAGAATGATCCACCAACAACGCTTGAGGCGAGAAGAGAGACAACGATGATTAGGAGGTGCGGTCTCAAGACTGGTGTAAATCCTCGCACTAAAGACCACAGCGCTTTTGATGGAGTCTCGGGCTCTTCCCGCTCTTCCGCTGATTCATTGACCTCAGCTTGACTTGTTGAGATTTCAGTCTTCTCAATGGTCCCGATACCGTCAATTGACAACATACCCTCCTCGGTAGCACCCTTTGTTGAAGAACCTCGATCTGATAGACTTGTGCTGTCTGATGTCTCGTTCTTCTCGGACGTGGATCCGAGAGTCTGCAATCTCACTAGATCGGCGTATGCGCCGTTCTTTGCCATCAATGTTGAATGGGTTCCCTCTTCAAGGATGCGCCCCTTCTGCATGACTATAATATTGTCGGCACCAGTGATAGTCGAAAGTCGGTGAGCAATGGTAATCATAGTTCTGCCACTGGCAATGCCAGATATGGCCCCCTGGATGCGCCGCTCGCTTCTCGAGTCCAGAGAAGCGGTAGCCTCATCCAAGATGAGAACCCTGGGATCTTTAACAAGGGCCCTAGCTAGAGCAACCCGTTGCTTCTGGCCGCCGCTGATCAGCCGCCCACTCGATCCCACCATGGTCCCATACCCGTGTTGCAATGCAACAATGAACGCATCTGCGTCGGCGAGCTCTGCGGCCTTTCGGACCAAGGAAATAATCTCGACGACATTCGAACCCAGCTTCTCTGCTGCTGCCGCCAGGTCCTGGCCCTCCCTGACTTGGCTGGCGAGATCTGCAAGGTCTGGGCCAAGAAGCGTTGTCTTCAAATGCGCATGACTGGGATGGCTCGAGTTGATCAAGCCATGTGCGATGTTCTCCAATATGGAACGGTCCAGGAGCGAGGGGTCTTGCTGCACGAGGCTGAGGAAGCTTCTCAGGTCGTGAAGATTCAGATCCCGAAGGTTATGACCGTCGAACAAGACTTGGCCCTGATTAGGATCATACAATCTTGTAAGCAGTGCCGCAATGGTGGATTTGCCACTGCCAGAAAACCCAACTATGGCCGTGTGTTTCCGGGGAGGAATCCGAAGATTGACCTGGTCTAGAACGGTGACTTCAGGTCTGGATGGATAAGTGAATGAGACATCCTTGAACTCAAAGCTGCCTTCGGCTCGCGAGAGGCGAAGCCCCGAAGCAGCTGTGCCATCGATCAACGGCTCGCGATCCATATCCTGACGCAGCTTTTGAAATGATGCGACAGCCGCTCCAAAAAGGTGCAGAAAAGGCGCTACTTGACTCAGAACCAATGTAGCTGTCAATGTGTTAGTAAAGTCTTAAGGTGGAGCTCGATTCTAACGGACCTTCAATCAAAATGAAGACTACTGTAAACGCCACACCCACGGAGGCGGTCTTAGCATCATGTCGTACTGCATCCGCAATCCGTCGACTTGCTTGCCAGAATGCTAGACCGTTCGCAGAATAGGCGATGAAATATAGGACCCCAGATTGTACACCAACCGCCAGCGCCTTCTTTAAGCCCTCATGTTCTGAAGACTTGAGCGCCTTGGAGAATTTATTCTCCAGCCGGGTGTTTGCGCGGAATGCGTGTACGATGACAACATTGGAAAGTGCTTCCGAAGCAATCGAAGCGGCGGTAGCAGCATAATCCGACATCAGCCCAGAGTACTTCTCGACGTAATGGCTTCCCACGAATGACATCAGGAAGTAGGCCGGTATCAACGAGACGAGCATGGCCGCAAGCTTATAGTCTTTGATGAAAGCCACGATATATGCCGTGATGAAAAAGGATAGACTTGAGAGACATATTCCAACTTTCTCAGATGTACCTGACCGGATTGCCTGGATGTCGCCATTAAGTCGAGAGGCGACTTCTCCGGGAGGCAGATTGTCGAAATACGACGGCTCTTGTCGGAGCAGATTATGTAAGTAACTCTCTCGTAGTCTCTGTGCGAGTCGAGCCCCGTTCAAACTCCAGCACGAGAGGTGCATGTAGATGGTGACGAACTGAGCGATGGCCAAGTACAAGATCAGCAGGATTTTGTTGTTGACGCTGTCTTGGTGCTGTGACCGAGCACTGGAAGTGTCGGGAGAGTCGCAAGTTGCGGAATTAAAGTCGTCAATGAGCTGACCAAAAAGGATTCCAATCAATGGGAACGGGATGCCGGATGCTATCGCAGATAGTATAGCCAACAATAACATGCCCGCATCGACTTTGGAAGGGCTACCAGCAACAAGGAGGCGAGGGTAGCCCACGAGTTTCTGGAAGGGGTTCATGTTAACACAGAGCTGGCGAGGCTGCTTGCAGCCTTGGGAGTGTCGTGTCCGTGTGCTTAACCTGTAAAGACTGCCCTTCTGGCCAAGATATCCCTCGAGCACTACTTAGCTCGTCGTTCCCATTGTGCACGACGTTGGCAGTTTGCATTGCCGTAGGAATTGTTCCAGCGTCTGAATGAAATCTCTATCCACTCCGATGCCGCACTGAGAGGACTGCCCCTTGGGGGTTAATGGTTGGGGACGTGGCTATGGAGGTGGGTCTGAGCAACAGGGCATACGGAAGGCGAGTATGGGAAATCAATCAATATGGAAAGGGCGAGCGTAACGGGGCGTAAAATGACCAGGTTGGTAAAGTCAAAATACCGTAAAGGCCAAGAGATTTAGAAAATGCAAAGGGATGAAAGAAGCGCTCTTCAACACCGATCGGTACCTTCATCAAAACAGCTCACTGGAATAGGGAAATCCACGAGCATTTTCTCCCCGCGAAGTCGAGATTGTCAAACGCAGAATGCAATGTCCTCTTGCGACTCACTTGTCCCCGGAGATCTCGGCCCCAGAGAAGCCATCCTCGAGTCGTCGTCCGAGGGTCAGGCGAATGTGAGGGTGTTTGTTGTTGTTTCTACAACCAGAACGGTGTCCTTCAAGCGTGCCGTCCTGGTTCAAGCTCTTGACAACATGGGGGTCTTTCGGCTAGTTGTTGGAGCTTGACTTGTTTCTTCAGAGTTGAGGGCGATGAGAGAGAATTCCCCATGTCCGTACAGCGTCACATTTGCCCACCCGATCTAGACATCCAGTCAACGCCATTGGATTCTCACTGCAGCCATTTCAGGACTAGGGTTGCTGGCGCGACGATATTGCTGAGCGACCAGCTAGATCCTTGCCAACGAGACTGGGGCCTCTCAACGCACCATCACTTCTCTTCATGCTCCGACATCGCTGATGCCTTGTCACAAGCAATCCATCTTCTGTTCTTTCCCTGGAAACCCTGCAGGCATACGAGCTATGAGCTCCGTTCGGTGGATCATTCGGTTGACGCTCGTCGCGAAGAGCAGAAGCAGAGCAGGTTGATGTGGGAGGGTTGATGGAGATGGTGGTATGGGGTCCTCGGCGGGGCAGGCCGTACGAGTAGAGTAGTGAGTAGCGTGGTGAGTAGATGGCGCAACGGGCGTGTCCACTCAGGCTCAGATGTTGTCGGGCACTGATGGTGCAACTGCCATGCCCATGTTTTCCCGAAGCCGACGAGGTGGCCAAATCAGAGCGACGCGTGGTGAAAAATTTTATCGATTACTGGGTAGATTACCTCTCGTCTTGGCAGTAACCCACGCTGGATGCTTGGCATTGCGCTCATCTCAAACGACACCAACGACATTCCCGGTCTTGTCCACGGCGTCCACATCGCCCACATCTGTTTCCTTCGTCCCGTGTATACTGTGCATAACGAGACGGAACAAATACCGTGCTGAAATACCGGTGTATTGATACGAGCTGTATTTCAATACGAAACCCCCATCATAACAAGACCCGTCATGGAAATGACAAGAAATCCTCCGACCCTCGCATGGATGATGTTCTCCTCTCCAAATGCCTTCTTGTCTGCGACGAAATGTGGGCATGTGTCGGAGCCCACAGGCCTGAGAAATGCCATATCCTGGTCGACGGTGCAAGGTCCCTAGGTGGAGCCCCGCCTACAACTTCGCATCAAAATGCTAACCAAACCTTTGCTGCGGGATGATCCAGTGACTCGTCTGAATCTCAATTGAATGGAGTAGAGCTTGAAGTCCAACTCATCTCCCCGATATTGAGCTCTGCGGGCAATTGAGAAAGCTGAATTGCCGGTAGAATGGGTTCTATACAAGTCGACGAGAGGGATGATCGAAGCCCAGCAAACGGCCCTTCTGCTGACACAGTGTCTACCGGAGAAGCTGACGCTGAGGGCTTCTGGTCTTTCAAGATCGCCGGTCTTGCATCCGATCAACCCAACACTCCAACGGGTCTAAGAGAGGAAATCTTGCTCGTCGCATGGCTTCTCGTTCTCCTACGAACCCAAGACGATGGTCAAGTCTGGTTTGATTGGGCTTACGAAGGGCGAGGAAATGGTGCTCTTCACGAGCCTGTTAAAAGACGCTTGGTGATGGATGAATTAATTACAGGGTTACAAGACAATATCGGACAAGTTGGTGCTCGAATTGCTCGCCACATCACGGCATGCACCCAAACTCAGCTACCTGAAGGCTCCGGCCCTGTTTCACTTCTGTTGAGCACCAGTTCCCTGTCTCAGAGGCCTGAAGAAGCGAATGATCAAGTGAGTAAATGATGAACCCGAGGATGCCGTCACTGACGTCTCGAGCGAAGTGTACGCTGCATCTTCAAGTACAATTTGACCATGGCCGTCTCAAAATTCGCCCTGTATGGCAGACAGAGAACATGTTGCAATATACCATGACACGACACGTTAGAGCACTGGTCGATACCGTCAAAATGTGCATTTTGAATCCGGACCATCCCATTGAAAGTTGTATTCGGCCGACAGCAGCTGATCTGGATGAAATATGGAAGTGGAATTACCCGCTGCCCCCTTCATACAACTTTTGCATGCACGATGTGATTGCCCAGCAAGCCCAGATATTCAAAGACAAGTTAGCAATCTTATCCTGGGATGGCAGCCTGACGTATGCCGAAGTGGACCGATATTCTACATCCATAGCCTACTCGCTGAAAGAAATGGGTGTCGAGTTGCATGATGTCCTACCCGTGTGCTTTGAGAAGTCAAGATGGACCATCATTGCCGTGCTTGCGGTGATGAAAGCAGGGGCCACTTTCGTGCTGATGGACCCAACCCTTCCGCTTGCTCGCCTGCAAACCATGGCGAAACAGGTGGGAGCAAAGACGATGCTTACATCCCGGAAACAACACGACTATTCGGCCGCAATCCTGCCCGAGGGGAATCTCATGGTTGTGGAAGAGAACTCATTCAAGCACGTCTCATGCTCGCAAGTGACGCCCAAATTGACAGTCGTTCCCCCATCTACTCTGATGTACATAATTTTCACTTCTGGAAGCACCGGGGTCCCGAAAGGAGTCTTGATTTCTCACGAAACCTATACCAGCAGTGCCGTTCCTCGGGCGGAGGCAGTCGGCTATACGGAGCACTCCAGGGTTCTTGATTTTGCGTCGTATGCTTTTGATGTCAGCATCGACAGCATGCTTTGCACTCTTTCGAAGGGCGGATGTCTCTGCATTCCCTCCGACGAAGATCGGATGAACGACCTGAATGGAGCAATGCGGAGAATGCAAGTCAACTATGCTGGCCTGACCCCTTCGGTGGCCCGCATATTGGACCCGGATGTTGTGGCATCGCTCAGCGCCCTTGGTCTCGGAGGGGAGGCAGCCACCGCAAGAGAAGTGACACGCTGGGGCCAAGTCACGAGGATCGTCATAGGCTACGGCCCATCCGAATGCACGATCGGATGTACCGTCAACAGCAGCGCTGCCACCGGCAGGGACTATGTATCCCTTGGGAGAGGCAACGGGGCTGCCATATGGATCGTCAACCCCACTGACCACGAATTGCTCATGCCGGTCGGTGCCGTGGGCGAATTGCTTGTTGAGGGTCCTATTGTGGGACAAGGCTACTTGAATGATCCCGACAAAACTGCGGCAGCCTTTGTCAGCGACCCATTGTGGCTCACCGCGGGCCATAATAGCTACGAAGGTCGGCGGGGCCGCTTATACAAGACTGGAGATCTTGGGAAATATGATCCTGATGGCTCTGGAGGCATTGTCTTCATTGGGCGAAAGGACACGCAAGTCAAATTACGTGGACAACGCGTCGAGCTTGGAGAAATCGAGTACCAGCTCAAAGCCAGACTCCCTCCAGGCACCAATGTGACTGCGGAGGTGATCATGCCTTCAGGTTCTGGAGGTCAACCTACGTTAATGGCGTTTATTGCATTTCAGTCTATGAAAGGACAAGACACTACTGATCTACTATGGGCACATCCCCCTAAGGATCTACAGGAAATGCTGTCAGCAGCTGATGCGGATTTAGCCAAGGTGCTGCCACGATACATGGTCCCAACCGCATATGTACCGGTCAACTTTATTCCTGTGATGATATCAGGCAAGACCGATCGCAAAAGACTAAGGCAGTTCGGCGCCGCATTCGACCTGCGACAGTTAGACCAAGGCACAATTAACACCGCTTCTCGACAGCTGAACGACCTGGGGCAACTGGTGCGGCGGGCCTGGAGCCAGACATTGCGGCTCAATCCAGAAACCATTCGGCCTGACGACAATTTCTTTGCACTAGGCGGTGACTCGTTAATGGCAATGAAACTCGTCTCTGTTTGTAGAACTCAAGGTCTCGATGTCACCGTGGCGAACATTTTTCGCTGCCCTACGCTCCTTGCGATGGCCGACGTGGTCCAAACCTGCCGCTCTCAAACAGGGCCGGAAACGCCAGCCTTTTCGATGATCTCCCAGGATGCTGAGAGTGCCTGTGTCGAAGCGTCGCAGTGGTGTGGCACAGATCCAGCCGCCATCGACGATATCTACCCCTGCACGCCATCCCAAGAATCGCTTTTTACCTTCTCCATCAAATCAACACGAGCGTATATTGCTCAGAGAGTCACCTGTATTCCGTCACAAATCAGCCTTGATGCCTGGAAAAGGGCTTGGGAGGAGGTTGTCGCGGCTAGTCCTATGCTGCGCACTCGCTTAGTGCAACTCCAGGACCCCGGTCTGCAGCAAGTTGTGTTGAAAGAAAGCATATCCTGGAGATATTCGACTGATTTAGCGCAATACCTTGATGATGACCAGAGTGAGAAGATGGCACTTGGTCAAAGTCTAGCTCGATATGCCATCGTCGACAACTCAAAGGATGACAAACGATACATGGTCTGGACCATTCACCACGTCCTCTACGATGGGTGGTCCGAGCCTCTGATACTCCGGAAAGTCAGCAATGCCCTGCAGGGTAAGCCAATCGAGCCACAAGCCGAAATGAAGGACTTTGTCAGATATGTGCGAGATGTGGATGAAGTCGGCGTTCAAGAGTTTTGGCGGCAGGAATTGGAAGGAGCCGTTGGACCTCAGTTCCCGCGTCTGCCCTCTAGAGACTATTTGCCAACTCCCGACGGCATGCTTGAACATCAATTTGCACTTGAGACAAACCTCGGATCAACTTTCACAATAGCTACATTGATCCGTGGTGCATGGTCGCTCGTCGTGTCACAGTATACAGGAAGCGACGACATCGTGTTCGGCGAGACGCTCACAGGTCGAGACATTCCTTTAGCGAAAGTCGAAAGCATTGAAGGCCCGCTGATCGCGACTTTACCATTGCGCATACATATCAACCGAACGACTTCTGTACAATCTTACCTACAATCTGTACAGGAAGCCGTACTTGTCCGCACACCCTACCAACATGTTGGAATGCAAAACATCAGAAAGGTTAGCCGGGATGCTCAACATGCATGCGAAGCCGGCACGGGCCTGGTCATCCAACCAGAACCAGAGTATGTCGGCACCGAACTTGGTTTTGGGCAGACGGATATCGTACATGAAGCGCTACATTTTAACCCGTATCCACTTATGTTGGCTTTTGGAACACAAAAAGGTAGTTTGAGAGTCTGCGCGAGCTTTGACACCAGCCTAATTGGCGCCGCACAAATGAAACGAGTACTCGCCCAGCTAGAGACGGCCTGCTTGCAGTTGACGAAGGATCATTCCCGGAGAATAAGTGAGATTTCTTGTCTGCCTGAAACGGAACTCGATCAAATCTGGCGCTGGAACAAAATTCCTCCGTTGTCCTTGGACAAGTTTTCCGGAAGGCTTCGAGCAGATGCCAGTATCAATCAAGGATCAACATATCCTCCTGCGGTGGTCCCTTGGGTATGTAACCCACAAAATCCATCCCTCTTGTCGCCCATTGACAGTATTGGCGAGCTTTGGCTTGAAGGGTCTTTCTTTGCAAATGATACCACTTCGTCTCCGACCTGGCTTCGGGCTGGAAGCTCCACTTGTGCTGGTCGATCCGGAACAGCGCAACCGACCGGCGACTTGGTCCAATTACGAGACGATGGCACATTTATTTTCATTGGTCGAAAGGAGAATCGCTCAACAATCCAGGGCCATGTAATGGATATCGCAGATCTTGAAGCTCATGTCACAAGACATCTTCCTTCAAAAACCCGAGCCGCTGCAGCGGTACTCCAATCGCGACTGGACGAGAGTCAGCAGTCAGCCGAGCATGAATTGGTAATTTTCGTCGAGCAACAGCCTTCTCAGGAAGAGCATGTTCAGCTCATGGTAGCAAAACATGACATAACTTACGATGCACCTGGCCCATTGAGATTACACCTGACTATCGATGCTACGATTCCTCTCGGCCTTGCTATTGCCCTGAAAAAGCTTCACAAATTCATCCAAAATTCTTTGCCACCGTACATGCTTCCCTCTGCGTACATCGTGGTTGAGAAAATACCGACGGAGATGGGACGAGTCGATCATAACCTGTTAAACCAGCTAGCATCTAGAATTCCTAGATCTGTGCTCACCACCCTACAGGAAAACTTCCAGGAGGCATGGAAGAAAACCTCCACGCAAACAAGCTTGACCACCCCAGAGACCATTGTGCGGTCTGCCTGGGCGAAGATACTTAGAATAAGTCCAGACAAAATTGACCCGGACGACAACTTCTTCCGCCTCGGAGGGGACTCTGTGCTGGCCATGAAATTGGCGTCGAGTCTTCGGGAGCAAGGACATACTCTGACAGTGGCCGACATCTTTCAGAACATGAAGCTTCGCGACGCGGCTAGAGTGTTGAAAGTGGACCAGGTGTCCATAGAGAAGACGCAGGATTACAAGCCATTCTCGATACTGCACGGAGTGGACGTTGGACCGTTCTTGTCCGACGTTGTCCGACCGAAGCTAGCTGATCCACGTTGGTCTATTCAAGATGTCCTGCCAGTAACCGAGTCTCAAGCGGTCGACGTCAAGGCTACAATTCAGGTCCCGCGAACATCCATACAATACACAATGTTGTACTTTGAAAAGGGCATCAATCTAGACAATTTGATCCGCGCCTGCAACGAGTTGGTCACGATTCACGACATTCTGCGCACAGTCTTTATCAAGCACGAGTCGTCGCTCTTTCAAGTTGTCCTGGTGAAGCTGGAATCGCTGGTGACCATTCAACACTCCGACACAGACCTTGAACAGTACGTCGCCGCGCTCTGCAAGGCGGACATAGAATCAAATTTCCGCCTGGGGTCACCGTTCCTCAAAATGTTCCATGTCGAGGGTACAGATGGCAAAGGGTGCCTCATCATAAGACTGTCCCATGCTCAATACGATGGCATCTCTTTGCCCAGGCTGCTTCGAGATTTGGAGGCCTTATATACAGGAGGAACAGTTGGTGATTGTAAGCAGTTCTCCGCTTACATGGGACGACTTGACAATGAACGCGTCAAGAAACCAGCGCTGAATTACTGGCGCAATCTTCTGAACGGCTCAAAATTATCGATTTTGGAGGGACCGTCAGCACGGCACGCGACAAAATCGATATTCCTAACCAAGCCCGTCGACGTTTCCCGCCGTCCCACGGAGATCACAACAGCGAGTCTACTGACTGGAGCATGGGCACTCGTCCTAGCTCGCCGTCTCCAGCAACCTGATGTGATATTTGGCAGCATCACTTCAGGCCGCAACATGGACATGCCAGACGTGGAGAAAGTCATGGGTCCGTGCTACCAGTTCACACCAGTTCGAGTGCCATTCGAGGCTGGATGGACGGCGATGGACCTCCTGCGCTTCGTGCAGAGGCAGAGTGCCGAGTCTGCAGCCTACGACTTCCTCGGTTTCGGAGAGATATCCAGAAGCTGTAATACGCAATGGACGACGACGTCGTCATCGTCATCACACTTCTTCTTCGACTCCGTCGTCCATCACCAGGATTTCGAGGACTTTGACACAATGCCCTTTGCGGGAGGGGCTTGCAAGGTGGAGATTCAGAACCCACACGGCGACGCGGCTCATCCCCTGAAGGTCGTCTCGTTTGTCCAGAGTGGGCAGACGCATGTCGGTGTTGTCGGGAGTGAAAGTGATCAGGCCTTCATTGAATCGCTCCTCGCTGAATTGGCCGCAGCTATTGAAGAAATTTCCGCCGATCGACCAGAGATCCTTCTGCTTAATGGCACATGACCCGACCGGCGAATTGATCATGGCCCATCGTAGCTTGCTTTTACGGACGTATACATACTTCATAGTGATTGACCGATGTGAGATATTCTTCCCCCGTTTCTTAGCAAAGGCTTCCAGCAAGAATATAAATATATACACAGTCTCGTCGCAACTTTCTATCGGCTGCATAAACAATCGAGTACGATATCCCGCTGAAGTCTGCCAGTGATTGCGAGCGACAAGGCTGCGCCTCCCAACATACTTCGCACTATCAAGCTTGACCCACCAGATCGAGACTGCACTCTGCTGGTGATTGTGTCCGTTGTTAGTCCCGTGACTTTAATACAGGTAGACACAATTCTCATTTGGGGCAACATCTAGGACAGCGCCCCGAGGTCAATGCCCGATGTATGTGCAGGTATCGAGTAGATAGAGAGTTCCCACCCGTGGAGCCCGAACAAGGCCACCCAATAAACCTCCCCCAGGCGGGGAGAAACTTACACCAAGTGAGCTGTGCCGTCCATATTCGTACACATCAAGCCACGTGGGATCAAAAGATGACGGAGATTCAGACAAACCATGCATCCTACGCTGCACTTTCTGGTACACAGATGGGTTTTCGTACGGGTCGGCGCTGATGCCAGGCGATTCGAACCGTGGCTTGCATACGGAGTACATATATGTGGAAGGCTTACGTTGTTTGACATGACCCCCAGCATGCACCGGAAAAAAGCCACGGGGCCATTGGTTATCATGTACTCGGTAGTCGGTGGGAAAATATGGGTGGCACGTCCGGGGAGGAATTCCGCGATGGCCGCTGAGCCGCCTTTTTCCCAAGGCTGAGGATGGACTGGATGCCGTGTTCCTTGATAGGCAAGTCCTCCCAAGTCCGAGGCTGCTGCCATTCCAGCCACGCAATATTTTAGCGGTTGATAATATTTGAGATCGGAACTGAACAAGGGGATTCACCGGCTAGGGGGGAAGCCAATCCTCGCTATGTAACAAGTTTTAGATTTGCCATTCTTCTTGACTTCAAGGAACCTCACGTGGATTGAGTCATCAAAGCATGTGATGACCAATGAAAGAAGAATGCAAGCATGCAAGAAGGGCCGTTGCCAAAGACTACTCCGTACCGAGTACGATCATCTCGTAAAAGTTTCGTCCCGGATGCCTTTCTTGAAAAAAGCAAGGACAAGAGTTGGGCTAAGACGTCATGGTCTCGACCAGGGCAAACCAAGGATCGTGAGGCGTAGGTATGCCACTACACTGACGAGTGGACAAAGGAAGTGTCTCTCTGAGTCAAGATGGCTGCATTGGGTTAATGAGGGAGTCGAGAGGAGGCAGGTGTTGGTGGTTGTTGCAGTTTGTCTCAGGCCGCCACCCACAAGCCATGTCGGAGGTCGGCATGTCGCAGTCTACGAGCTCCGTGTCATGTGACCGGCAACGAATCATAGGCCCGCACGTGCTGCCCGATGGGGTCCGAGGGGCTGTCGGACATCCAGATTTGACGCCATCGCGCAGCTTTTAATAGACATTTTATTCCGGCACTGTAGCGGTTCGCCCAGAAGGCTGGCAAGGGCTGAACGGCTAGCACGCACATGCCAGTTGCAGCTCCAAGGTCTTGCCAATTGCCATCCAGATGCAGGTATCGGACAATAAGGCAGGTGGATAGCGTCTTGAAGACGGAGGAGATGCGCACGGAATCACCATTCCAGGCGAGGTTCGTTACGACACCGAAACTCACATAGATTGATACACCAGAAACGACCTCCATGAAAGTAACTTCTGTGGCGGTCGGGCCAGGGGCAGTTTATAGATGAAGATTGCATCTCCTGGAACAAAAGACATCGTAAATGTACAGCCCAGCCCAGCCCAGCCCAGCTTGAGTCGGCTGTCGGAGCTGGGGGCCGAATGAACGAGCGGTCTCTTACAGAGACCATGATCGATAGCCGAGACTGGAAGCTTGGAAGTGGGAGAAGAGAAAAAGGAAAACACGATGGCGTTCGGAAGTCCGCTGGCCAGAGGGGGGATAGTCAAGCATGGAAGTGGGAAGCTGATCCATGAAGCTAATCTTCAAGCATGGACACGGAGTGGCACCCACGTACTCGTGTGTTGCTGTTAGAGCCCCTAAAATCTACAAAGGGACTAGTGCGGCCACACTAAACACACAGCAGCCAATCCCAATCTCCTCCTTTGTCGCGCCAAGGTGTACCTAGCGCCTCGTCTCTCCTGCTACCTCAGGCTTCGGGGCGTCTATCCTGGGACGCTCTTCTGGGCTTAGGGAGGGGCCGCTGGGCAAGGTTCTACTGGCAGTTCTGGTTAAGTACAGGCTTGGCCTAGAGCCCGCTAGCCCTAGTACCTGCGTTAAGTGGCCGCCCGGAACATGGCTGGCATGGTCGCGCTCGTTAAAGACCGCTTCTGCTTTTGGTGAATCCTCCTCCCACCACTCTAATCCTTCCTGTTAGAGACCAAGACCACAAACTGCGCCTCGCTGATCCCGGACTTTTCGTATCCCATCCTCGTCACAGACCTGCACAGACCTCCTGCAATTATAATCCTCCAACACGAACTCTGCTACGTATCCCCTCGGGCCCTCTCCTCTCTGCTGACGCTGAGCCTGCGACCAGCCTGAAAATACACTTTTTGCCAATATCCCCTTGCCTCGCCTGCGCCAGTCCACCCAACCCCCAAGCCAGCTTCCAGACCGCAGATTGGGCCTGAAAGTGAAAGTCCTGCTGACCAGCGACTCCTGGGCGCTGTCCTGCCCCCTTTGCCTCAGATCCTCTCTCCCTTTACATGTCGTACTCCTACCCTCTCGCGGGGTCGATATCACTCTGGATCTTGCAACAGTCTTCCGTCTCTTCCTCACGGGGCCTCGTGTAGCCCGTCGAGATCTGCCAGATACCATCTCTTCACCCTCACTTTCGTTTACGCCCACACTCTCTCAATCGTTTAGTCCGACCTTCTCTCCATCCTTCAGTATGGCTTTCAGTGACGACGACGGCTTCACACAACCCACGCAGAGCTTTGACACGTCCTCTATCGCCAGCATTGCCTCGTCCCTTGCCAGCGATTTTACGCAGACCACGGGCACGGGCAGTCGTTTCTCACGCACCAACACCGGCGCCTCTCAGACGACCGCATCCAGCTCTGGCGCCAGCACCTCTGCTCCCGCATCGGCCACACAGACAGCTTCCACCACATTCGCTACATCGATCGCTCCCTCAGCTGGATCCTCAGACTCCGCAGACTCCAGCTTGAGCAGCCATGCTACCTCGGCAAGCAATGCGGCAAGCAGCACAACAGGCGGTGCCGTCACCGTATCGGAAAACTCCTCCTGCAATAGTATTTCCTGCTCCTCCGCGTTGAAAGCAGCCGTCGCTGTCCCGATTGTCGTTGCGGCTATTGCAGGGATTCTTTTGTTTTTCTTTTGTGCAAGGAGGCGGAAGAGACGCGCTGGTGCCGTCATGTCGGAGAAGACACCGAAAAAGGCGGGCAAGAAATGGACACGGCACCTACGAGCCTTTTCCTTCGACGCAGAGCTGCTCATGGGTGGTCGTTTCTCCAGCTCCAACAGCATCCGCAGCCGAGATCCAAGTGTTCGAAGTGGCCGGGGCACGCTTTCTCGTGGAAGTAATCACAGCGGGGAACCAAGTTTGCACAGCATTGAAGAAGTGGCCCCTCCTTACCGAGATGCTGTAACCCATGTGACGCCCCCCAGTCCAGCTCGGTCCATCCCTCATGTCACCACGCATGCGGCTGATCCTATTCCTCGACCATCCTCAACGGCTACAGCACCACCTCCCTACCGATCCATCGTTGGGGGTGCCGGTGGAGACCCGCCCTCTCCTTCCACGGTTCGAAACCCGTTTGCAGACTCGGCTCCGGTGAGTCCTATCGAAGGCTCACCTTTCAACGATCCCCCTGAAGGCGAGGAAGCGTCTGGCGCGCTGGGTCCTGCCTTAAGCCGGGGTTCATCGATGTATCGAAGCGTCATGACCGACGACGATGTGACCCCAACCGCGTCCGAAGCTGGGAGTATAAGGCAAGCAGTGGTGGGCAGGCGTGTGTCAGTCAGGAACGGCGAAGGCACGAGCGGTAGCGGCGGTGGCGGCAGCAGCTAATACTCTGTGATTTTCTTACGTTCTTAATCCATGGCGCGGCGTTTGGAACCGGTGGAACCGAAAACTGTTGGCCGGCTCTAGAACCTGCAAGAGCCTTGTTTTTTTTGTGGAATGTTGACGCAGAATGTTTTGAGATGTCCGACTATACTGTACATGAGCGAAGCCTAGGGCAAGAAGCAAAAAATATCTAGATTGATGGTAAATCGAAACGTCCAATATTGCTGGGAACTCGTGAGATGGATGATGAAAAGGGTCTTCGGTCTTTATATCATGCTCGACGTTGCCGTTGTATTCCATGTGCATTGTGCCTTCGTGCTCTTTTTTTGTTTTCTCTTCTCGCTTGTTCTCAATGCCACGGTCGTACAATGCAGGAACGGACCTTTCGGCGAACTTGGTATGCTTGTATTCCCTGTTGCTCGCCAAACATTTCAGCTATCCAAGGGCCGACTGCAGGCCACTGGCCTGATTGTCCGGTGTACACGTGCGACGACACAGCGAGCAGGGAAGCAATTCGAGCCGCATACCGTGGTAGTAGCCATGGTATTGTTCTGGTAGCTCGTGTGACCAAGAGGTTTGCTACGACAGTAAGCTTTTCTCATCATCGACCAGCAGAGGACTCCGTAACGACCTGCTTGTTGGTCGACGCTACGCAGATACAGAGAAGATCAAGGTCGAGATCGGCGCAGTGGTGTGGTCGTGGGGGCCCCCTTACTTTTTTGGACTTTGCCCGCATTTTGCCCGAGTCTTTTGCCCCTTGCTGCCTATACTTGTATGGCGATTTCTAAAGCAGGAAGTAACACTAAGTGCGATGTAGGTGCAGGGCCACTGAGGCCACAATGACCACGAGAAGGCCGCGGGATCTCGGCTTCAAATTGAGGTTCAAGGCAGAAGAAACCTCGAGCACCTTTGCGAGTGACAAGGCTATCATACTCAGGGTAAAACGAAGCGAGCGAGCGAGTGGCTCGCTTGGATCTTTGCACCGCGTCGAAGCTTCACTTGGCTTTATGCAGGTCGCCACGAAAAACCAAGCAGAAGGCCTTCCTGTCCCATGATGCAACGTTGATCTACATACATTCCATTATCTCAATGACTGCTGTGTCCTGCACACTGCCTTCTGCAAGGTTGACTTTCACCCTCTCCTCCACTCAATTCCGCCACTCTCCCTCACAAGCTGTTATCGTGGCCATTCCCCAGCCGTTGGGGGTCCGCCCATGGCCCCCATTATTCTCCGGAGACGGAGGAGCCCACCGAGATCAAACACAATTTTCAGCAATCTATCCGCCTCGTATTTAGCCGGGATACCCTTATTGGTGATATAGATTTTCTGTGGACACTTTGGAACGACTCAAGACTTCACCTTCATCCACAGCTCTGTGGGAAATATGGAGAAGATGGCGACTTTGATGGCCTTCGAACCCGTTCGAGTGGAGTTCTGGGGTTACATGAGTATCTCCTTCTCAACGTGATCGTAATGCAGGGAAATGAAAGGTGAGGAAGTGTATAAGGGTGCTCTATCCTGGTCGCCTCGCATGGTTCTGTCCCGCTCTTCTCTTCCAGACCACGCTGTTCTCTCAAGACACGGGAGCTGAGATACAAAAGTCCTTGCTGAGAATACTCGGTTCTCCCACGAGTTACTGCCAAAATGGCTTCTCATGAGCTCCCCCAGGACTACATCCATGACTCTGACCAGAGTTCTTCGAGCGGCGTCAAGATCGACGCAACAGAATTTCAAGAAAACATTGGGACAGCAACAACCCTGGGGCGAGAGCCACCTCCATATGTGAAGTCGCTCAGTCCAGAGGAGCGAAGGATCGCAGAACGAGCCCTCGTTCGAAAGATCGACTTTCGTCTGATCCCTATGATTGTCATCATGTGCGCCCACTGGACCACGTCCCTCTACAGCTAATAGTGAGACTGACATGGTAATCAGGTATATTCTGAACTACCTGGATCGCAACAATATTGCCGCAGCTAGACTGGCTGGCCTCGAGGATGAGTTGAGACTTCATGGCACTCAATACCAGACGGCAGGTTGGTCTTCGCCCATTCACGCCAGATGCAAGTCCACATTTACTGACATTTTTTGAATCTTTTTAGTCAGTATTCTCTTCGTCGGTTACTTGCTTATGCAAATCCCGTCCAACTTGTGCCTCAACAAAATCGGAAAACCGCGTGTCTACCTTCCCACAGCCATGATCATCTGGGGCACGATCTCCGCTGCTACAGCTGCTGTCCAATCCTTTGGAGGCCTGATCTCTGTTCGATTCTTCCTCGGTTTCGTCGAGGCTGTATACTTCCCAGGATGTCTCTATTTTCTGAGCGCCTGGTATACTCGCAAAGAGCTAGGTTTCCGGACAGCGATGCTGTACTCAGGATCGCTTATCTCTGGTGCCTTCTCGGGTCTCATCGCAGCAGGCATCACGAAGAACATGGACGGAACCGCGGGGCTACGAGCTTGGAGATGGCTTTTCATCATTGAAGGCAGCGTTACCATACTCATTGCGTTCATTGCAATCTTCGTTTTGCCGAACTTTCCTCGAACGACGACGTGGCTGAGCACAGAAGAAAAGCAGCTGGCCGTGTGGCGACTTGAGGAGGACATTGGCGAGGACGACTGGGTGGGTGCCGAGGAGCAGACTTTCTGGCATGGATTTAAGCTTGCGGTTAAAGATATCAAGATGTGGATTATGGTGAGCTTGCGGACACTCTTCTTACCCTATCTCATCGGATTTGTCTAACTCGGTTTTGTCTAGATGCTTATGCTGTTCTGCATCGTGGCGTCTGGCTCCGTCACAAACTTCTTCCCCACGGTGGTTCAGACACTCGGATACGGCGACATCGCCTCGTTGCTGCTCACAGCACCACCATACGTGCTGTGCGTCATCACGGCCTTCTTCAACGCCTGGCACGCCGACCGCACAGGCGAGCGCTTCTTCCACGTCACACTGCCTCTCTACGTGGCCGTTGGATCCTTCATCCTCGCCGCCGCGACCACGGCAACCGCACCGCGCTACGTCGCCATGATGCTCATGGTTCCCGGCGTGTATACCGGCTACGTCGTCGCGCTGGGGTGGATCAGCAACACGATGCCCCGACCGCCCGCCAAGCGCGCCGCGGCGCTGGCGGCCATCAATGCTGTCAGCAACACCTCGTCCATCTACGCGAGCTACATGTTCCCCAAGAGCGACGGGCCGCGCTACGTCCTGGCCATGAGCGTCTGTTCCGCCACGGCGTTCGTCGCCATCTGCGCCGCCACCGCGCTGAGGATCATCCTCGTCCGGCTGAACCACAAGCTGGACCGCGGCGAGTGGGTCGAAGGCGCGATCAATTCCGGTTCTGCTTCCAGCGACGGCAAGGCCGTGGGAAATAATGTCATTGTCCAGGAGGATGCGGTGCCTGCGGAGGCAGTTGCACGAGGATTTAGGTTCTTGATATAGTACTACGACCGAAACTGCTGTACTCTACAGTGGACTGACTGACTGACTGAATGACCGAATCCGCGAACGTCGAAATTGTGGTATGGCTGGGTACGCGGACTGGTGCCGCATACGGACAAGTTGACCGCTAGACATAGACTAGACTATATAATGAATTATGGGCAGATGGTTGAATGACCATGACGATGTCATATCAATGTCAAGACTCAAAATAGAATACGAGGGCATAGATATACAAGGATGGAGAAGAAGGAAAGCGGAGGTTTACGAGTGGAAAGTTCTATTCACATCCCGTCCTCCGTCTCTCTCTCTGTGTGTGTGTGCACGTTGTGCTGCGAGCGAATATCAGGAGATGTAAAAACGCCACAGCCCGAACCTCAGTCTCGGTCCTCGATCTCAGCCTCAGCTTTAACCTAACCTTACGCTTGACATCAGGCCCAGCCTTATCATCATCACCAACCTCAACCTCAATCCCAAGAGCCAGCCTCACTTCCAGGAACTCAGCCTCAAGACCAGCCTAGTGGCCTCACTAGCCTCAGCCCCGACCTAGAGGATACGAAGAGCAAAGAAAAGAATACTGTACCAGTACGTACTTGTACAGGGAGGCTGGGGTGTGTCATCAGGCACAATCACGAGACTATGTACCTACTCCGTACTCCGTATTCCGTACTAGGTACGGAGTAGTGGACCCCATTTACTTAGCACTCAGCCTCGTCAACTAGCTCGCTGCACTGATGAAGCACGTGATAGAGGGTCCGGAGCGGAGTCGGAGTGGAGGCTATTTCGGAGCCTTCCTTTTCAGAGGTTTGTAACCTCCGGGAACAAGTTATTAGAATGCGTCAGGCAGGCCGATTATGTACCGTACAAAGGACAAGTAGAAAGTCGTTGAACTGGTGCAGCGGACTTTGGCTTTTCACCTCCTCGGAACACTCCGTCGGCCGTAATTGCGCAGCCCAGAGCCGAAGCCTCGAATGAGCACAGGATTGAGTTTCACATGTGATGATTCAGCGCGAGAAGCACACACACGCCCCTGAAACAGTACCAAATCTCTCGGCCTCGGCAGTCGCCGCGTCCCTTCATTATTGCTCCCTTGCTTCTAGTTGTGGCTGTGCGTTGCACAAAATGGCTCACTGTGGCGTGACACGCCTCTTCTGGGAAAGTGACCAGGACAAGCGTACAGGACAAGTCCTAAACTGGGTGTAGCAATAAAATAGTGCAAGGCCTCAATGAGGCGTGGCGAGACAGATAGAGGGATCTTGAAATGTTGTTTGCGGCGATCGGACTACTCCTGCGCTCTTTTTCCGTACATACTGTAAGAAGGTTGTAACAGCGGCAGTAGGGCACTGGCGGAGCTCTGAGACGATCAAACATCGGCCGCTGCACCTGGCCAACTCGCGACGGTGGAAAATATCACCGTGGATCCGTGGTCCACACAGTGACTTCGCTTGGTAGCCAACCATGGCGCCGAAGAAGAGATTTGTCCATTGATACCGAAGGTAACGGGTTCATTGAATGATCGATTTGAATCCATTGTATGCTTGCTCCATGTCGAAGGCCAAATCCCTGGCCTGCTCCTCGCTCAGCTCCTCTGACGTCTTCATCTGATTGAGCGTGATCAGCCATTGGATAATCTTCCCGCGATGTTCAAAATCCTGGTCTGTGACTTTGTTGACAGACTGGATCACATCTGACAGTATTGGATGTAACTGGGTCTTGGAGACTATATTCAAGCGGAGTGCATCAAGAAATGTGATGAAATTCTCCGTCGCTGCGAGGATCAAGCTCCCCGAAAGGTTGCCTTGGGGAGCTGTAGATCCAGGAGTGGCCTTTGCCACGGTGATTGTTTCCACGCTGGAAAGACCGACTTTTAGACGTTCTTTGGCGCGGGGACACTCAATGTCCCATTTCTGCGTGAATGTATCCAAGTCTCCAAACTCGCGCGCCACATTTTCATCGTTCAATATCGATCGATACTGCTTGAGCAGTTTCGAACACATGTCCGAGTACTCTGTTTCTGGAAGCGCATCTTTGATGTATGCTTTTTCCAGTCCGTCAAGGGTGCGAATGATGCTGTAGATCTCGGCGAGGGAGTCAATCAGGTCACGCTCGGCCGAAGAGTCCGCGAGTTTGACTTCTTCGTCAAGGTTGATCCGGGCGGAGAGAGTGTTTGTTGCTGGATAAGCATAGGGGGTTGGCGCATAGGCCAGATTGCGGGTTGGAGGGTTGCCGTACATCGTTGACTGTCACTTAAGCAGCAAGGTGAATATCAAGAACGATGGTCAGGTGAATAGCGAGGCTGAATAAGGGAGGTGAACTGACTGTAATAATAGAGGCTGTGAGGGGAAGTTTGCCAAATTTGGCAAATGCGGGGAAACTCCGGCACAACTTCGGCTTGGCATAATTTTTTCTCGTGCTTCACAGTTCGTCTGCGAATCGCGAAAGTTAATGTAATCAACCCTTTGTGTCAGACTGCAAAGGCCCCTGTTGTCACCGAGACGACCTTGGCCATAGCCGGCACCATGGGCAAACAGACGAAAGCCACGAAAAAATTCGAGAAGAACCGCCTCAAAGACACAATCGAACGACGAAAAGAGTTCGCTAAGATCAAACAGCGGCACCAGCAGAAAGCGAAAAAGAAACAAAGAGCGGCGCAGAGAGCAAAAGAGAGGGAAGGGGATGTCGAGTCAAATGTTGAGACTGACGATAATGAAGCTGAGGATATGAATGAAGATGAGTTCTTTCAGGAGACGCTGGATATCCCAGAGCATGAGACAAAGACGCCGAAGAACAAGAGCGGAAAGCGGAAGAGAGACGAGAATATCAATGATGAACCTGGAGACGTTGAGAGCGATGGCTCAGAAGATGCAATGGAGGGCCACAAAACTCAACTGGCTGCATTGGCCGAGAAGGATCCTGAATTCTACAAATACCTTCAGGAAAACGATGCAGAGCTATTAGAATTTGGCGAAGACGACGATCTCGCGGCAGTGGACGACCTCAGCGAAGAAGAACCTCCCCCCAAGAAGCAAAAGACCAAGGATGCCCATACAGAGGAGCCTGAGTCACCGGATGAGGTTACCCTTGCGATGGTCGAGAAGTGGAAGACCTCCTTGACCGAACAATTCTCCATAAGAGCTCTCAGACAAGTGGTGCTAGCTTTCCGCGCCGCGGCGCATGCGGACGATGAAGAGGATAAGGTCTTCAAATACAACATTGCCAGTCCGGAGGTGTATCATGAGGTCCTCATAACAGCGCTCAAGCAGGTACCCCTGGCTCTATCGCATCATCTTCCAGTCAAGGAGTCCGCTGCTGGCAAGTTGCGCATACCGACAGATTCCCCCAAGTTCAAGACTCTGGCACCGTTGATCAAATCACACGCCTCATCTCTTCATTACTTGCTCGAGCATTTATCAGATGCCAAGACCTTGAGGTTGACGCTCGAGTCCTTGGAGCCGTTACTCCCATATCTACTCCAATTTCGCAAGTTTCTGAAGGTGCTCACGAAAGCTGTCGCATCAGTCTGGTCTAACAACTCTTCGGATGAAGCAACAAGAATCACCGCTTTCTTGGTCATTCGGCGATTGATGGTTATTGGTGACGCTGGGATCCGCGAAGCTGTCTTGAAGGCGACATATGAGGGCGTCGTCAAGGGTAGCCGCAATACGACAATCCATACTCTTGCGGGAATCAACTTGATGAAAAACTCAGCAGCCGAGATTTGGGGCATTGACCAGAAGGTCAGCTACACAACAGGCTTCACATTTATTCGCCAACTTGCCATTCACCTCCGTGGCAGCATTACCAAACCGACCGGGGACTCATACAAGACCATATACAATTGGCAATTTGTCCACTCTCTTGACTTCTGGTCTCGGGTATTGTCCAGCCACTGCAACTCGCTCTTGGAAGCACAGAACGGCAAACCTTCACAGCTACGTCCACTTATTTACCCGGTGGTACAGGTCACACTGGGCGCGATGAGGCTGATACCGACATCCACATATTTCCCTCTTCGGTTTCAACTCATGCGGTCTCTGCTGCGTATCTCGCAAGCAACCGAGACATATATACCCTTGTCAGCCGCACTGCTGGAGGTGTTGAACTCAGCACAGATGAAGAAGCCCGCAAAGCCGTCAACTGTACGACCCTTGGATTTCGCATCGAACATCCGGGCCCCTACATCACATTTGAAGACGAAGGTGTACCAAGATGGCGTGGGAGAACAGGTGGTTGAATTACTTTCCGAGTTCCTTGTACTGTGGACCAAGAGCATTGCATATTCCGAGCTCCAACTGCCAGTCATCATCATGCTGAAGCGATGGTTGAAGACAGCTTCGAAGCCGAGCGGGAACAAGAACGGCAAGCTCAATCAATCCCTTCTCGTGCTAGTACAGAAGTCGGAAGCCAATGCTAAATGGATCGAGGAAAGGAGGAACAAGATCAACTTTTCCCCGAAGGACCGGACGGAGGTGGAAACATTCCTGAAAGACGTACAATGGGAAGACACCCCTCTTGGAGCGTTTGTGGTGTCGCGAAGAAAGCTACGGGAAGAAAGGAGAAAGGTGCTTGAGCATGGGAGGAAGGAACAGGAACGACGAAAGGCGACGGAAGGAGATGCTGACAGCGATATCGAGATTGCTTGATTCCACATAGAGGGCAACAAATCCCTATCAATGTCCGACAGTGGCTCGCCATTGACAATGGCACAAGATGAACTATTCATTGACCAAAGAGTTTTCTTTCAGTGACGACGGCCCAGACGCCCTAATTCTCTCTGTTCCTCGGTCGTCACTTGTCTGCAGGATCCACGGGCTTCTGACCTTGTTTTTCAACCTTGTGCCTCTACCCCACTGCAGGCTTCTTGGGATCCTGTTTGACCGGATCGGAGCTCTGAACTTCGTCGTGACCACCCTGCACACTGCCTTGTCCAGTCGGGTGCGCTATGCTGCTGGTGTCCTGCGGAACATGTCCTGTGGCCTCGATCCTCTTATGCTCTTGTC